AACTACGACATCCACGACAAGAAATTGCTGGCTATAGTAATAGTATTCAAGTAATGGAGGGTCTATCTTGAAAAAGTAAAGCATACTATTATTATAAAAACAGATCATAAGAACTTGACTTACTTTATAATAATGAAAGAGTTGATCCGAAGACAGACAAGATAGGCTAAGATTCTGTTATAATATAACTTCAGAATCATACACTGCAAAGAAGTAGAGAATAGATATACAGATATATTGAACCACAGGTCAGACTATGAACTAGATAAAAAGGCTATCGAACCGGCCATTCTAAAGCAGAACACGGATAGGTTGATCAGCTATAATAAGACCAATCTTACAGCAATGTTGAAAATAGGTAGTAATCTAACTAAATAATTAGCTAATACTATAAAAGAAGATAAGATACTCCAGAAAATAAGTAAGGACTTACTGGACAAGATCACTATTAATAAAGATAGACTAGCCTACTTTTATAGCTTAATCTTTATACTAACCGTGATGAGAATAAAGATTATAGCTAAATACTATGATAAATCACTCAAGGGTTACTTAGGAGTGAAAAAGATTACTAAACTAATTATAAGGAATTACTACATTCTGAACCTCAGATAGAAAATACGTGATTATATTAGACAATGTGAGACATGTATTAAGAATAAGCCTGTAAGATATTACTCTTATGGATAGATACAAGTACAGGAGGCGTTATAATGATTATAGAAATAGATAATAATTAACTTTGTTAGTCTATTATCTGAATTAGAGAAATATGATGCTATTATAGTCATCATTAATCACCTTATTAAATATATTTATCTTATATTAAGTAAGATAATAATAATAATAATACAGATAGTAGAACTGTTTCTTGAAAATATTATTACACATTATAAGATACTAAAGTATATTATATTAGATTAAGATAAATTATTTATTTTAAAGTTCTGGAGATTATTTATAGATCTTATAAGAATTAAAGAATAAATAATAACAGCTTACCACCTGCAGATGAATGGGTAAATGGAAAGGATTAATCAGATAATTAAACAATATCTGAGATATTACGTTAATTATTAGCAAGATTATTAGATAAATCTGTTATTAATAGTACAGTTTTTATATAATAATGCTAATTACTTAATTATTAGAGTCTTACTGTTTTATATGAATTATGATTATCATCCCAGATTCTTAGAAATGTTACTAAAGAAGTAACTAGTTACTGATATAGCTGAGAATATTGTCACATTTATAAAAAACATGTATATACAGTTATCCTGAGATATTGAGTTTATAAATTTATAAAGTAAGATTTATTATAATTATTAATACAGAAAGAAACCTGACTTAAAAAGAAGGGAGAAAGTGTTTCTACTTTACAGAAATATTAAGATAAAATAATTAAGCCAGAAGCTTGACCATCACAAGCTAGGACCATTTATTATTAAAGATAAGAAGAGGCCGGTTAATTATAAATTAAGGCTACTGAAATTAATGAGTAAGATCCATCCAGTATTTTATATCTTATTATTAAAACCCGTACCAAAGAACACTAGAATCGCAGAAAATGTGGATATCAATAACAATATAAAAAAGAATATAAAGTTAAAAGAATCCTAGACTATAAAAAGATTAATAGTAGATCATAATATCTGGTGAAATAGAAAGAATATAATATCTCAGAAAATATGTGGAAATCTATTGAGAATTTGACAGGTTATTACTAGCTTGTAAAGTAATACTATTAATAAACAGGTTGAAGTTCGCCTAGAAAGAAGGAGAACTAATTAACTAAGTCAGGCTAGAATTGTCTGACACAGCGGTAAGTTAAGCAGCATTATGCTTGTCAGCCAGGCACTCCAGCTCCCAGAGATCCTCAGCGCTTGGAGGATCCACCTTATCCAACTGTTCCAACATATTCGAGTCATGATCTAATATCTGCTCGCCATGATCTTTTAGAAACTGTTGTTACTTGAACAAACAAGCCACTTTGGCAGCAATACAGGCCTGTTTAGTAAGAGCTTCAGCAAGTTTATTTTATATATCTGATTGATTATATTTTAACTTATTTTACTCCCTATCACTGTAAAATCATTTTTCACATTTCTGACTGTGATAAGTGCAGGCAACATAATTTCGACTCTTTAAATTCATGATGCAAGAAATATTCTTTAGAAAATAATGCTCGCAGGAATTCTTAGTAATGAAACTGCTCTTATAAATCTTGTTGGACTGGTGAATGTGCTCCTTCACCCGATCACGATTAACGTAATGACAAGACATGATGACCCATCATGAGAAAAGAAAAAACTGAGAAAACTCAACTGATACGCAGGAGGGATACGCATCTTTATGTCTCTTGAGGATAAGAAACCTCGAAGGAGGGGGAGTGATGTTACAGACCCCTGCTAGCCAGGTCACTAGCGGAGCAGACTCGTTAGGCAGAAAGCGACAACAAGGCAGGACTCGGACAACCAGCAACTCTTATCGAGTAGAATCCTGGTCTGAGTAATGTCTGAAGTAGCGTTGTGTCACGTGACCATCTACCATCAAGGGTATACGGAAGATATACTGGGATCCAGGAATGTGATTAGATTAATCCTTAATCTACCCTGAATAGTATACGATATGGTATATGAAGGATAGGATATAAGGACACTTTTTCATATACTTAGCTAGTTCTGTTCTTCGTGCTTAATAACACTATCTTTAAGTAACCATATGTTTTGATAAAGCTTAGTAACAATACTTGTCTGTACTTACTTACGGATAGCTGCACGGCACTATCTGGCCTTACTTCTCTTCTCTTGTTCAGGACCAGTCACCTCTAGATAGTCATCATTCTGACTTGCCTTGATTCAGTTCGAAGGTACGTATTGGAACGGAAGCTAAGCTAACAGGAACAGGGAGAAGCGATCCTAGGGTTTGACAATATGGTTACTTAAAGATAGTGTTATTAAGCATGAAGAACAGAACTGGCTAAGTATATAAAAGAGTGTCCTTATATATCTGTTCTTTGTATACCAAGTTGTATACCTTCCTGTATACCATATACCATATACCATATACCTGTTTGTATACTATTTCATATACCCATGGTCACGTGATGCGTAGCTGTCCCGGGTGTCGGTTACTCAGATCGGGATTCTACTCAATAAGAGTTGCTGCCCGTCCGGACGTTGCCTTCTGCCTGACGAGTCCGCCTTACTAGTAGCTTTAACTAGCAGGGGTCCGTAACAAAAGTCTATTCTAATGTTATACTGGAAATAAGCTATAAATAAGTAAATTAAAAAGATTAAGATTATAAAAATATATAATATTATAAGAAAGTCCCTGAGTACCTATATAATTTTAAGAAAGTAAGTCTTCAATTTGAAAATTAATATTAAAGACTATATTATATAATTTTATACTAGATATATAGTCTGTAATAACTACTAGATATTTAATAGAGATTCTAATAAATCTTTTATTTTAGTTATTAATAAAATTATTATTAAAATATTCTTTATAATTATAGTTTTGAAAGACCTAGTTTAGTAGTAATATAATTTTATTTTTATATATTTATATATTGAAATTAAAGATAGAAATATATATAAAATAACCAACAGGCTATTATAAAAATAATATTAATAATATTTATAAATTCAATCAGACTTTATATGGCTTTTAGTAAGCTATCTTTCTATAATATAATACTTTTAATAGCAAGCTTTAAGAAATAAGATTTATTATATTATAAGAAGACCTCTGTATCTACTAAAAGAGTAATATCTTTCTTATTATTTATATTAATAATTTTATTATTGCTGGCCTAACTCAACAAGATCTTAATAATATTGAAGCCTATTTTTATAAAGTATTCAGTCTTGAAAAATTAGATAAGTTGAAGATCTTCCTTGACTACTACATAAAATATAGTTATAATAAAAATATAATATTATTATTCTAGTTTATTTATATAAAAGAATCCTTGATTATTACAGACTTATAGAACTTGTTAGTTGTTATCTACTTAATAAAGATATTCTATATGAAGATTGACTATTAGAAGATAATAACTGAGGGGGTTGATATTGGGAAATATCAGAATCTAATAAAATACTTTAACTAGCTTATTATAAAAATAAGATCTGATATATAATACTTTATATTTAAATTATAAAGATATCTAATTTTACTGATTATAACTTATTGTAAGACTTTAAAATTTATTTATTAATATTTAAATAGAATACGCAATAACAGGATTATTTTAATATTAAATTATAATATTAATATAAAAATCTATATTAATACTGTTTATATTAATTATAAAGATAGTAAATTAATTAAAGAATATATTATTTTCTTTATCAGAAGTCCAGTTACTTGATTATTAAAAAAATAATTTATTTTAATATCATTATTTACTGTTACCAAATTCTGTGTGTATAATTCTACTGTTAAAAATATTTTATATATTAAAAAATTAACAGTAATATTCAGTCTTAAAATTTCTGATAATAGTAAGATCCTGATTTACAGTGATACTATTAACTTATTATTTTTAATTATAACTGTTACAGTCAGTTAATTAGATAGCTTAATTATTAATATCTTTTTATAATAAATTTAATTAAATAAGAAGAGATTAAGATACTTTATATTCTAGAAAAGAAGAACTTTGTGAATAGCTTTATTAAAATACTTAATTTAAAGACATTCTTTATATTTAAATATCTGTTAAATATAAAATCCTGCTTAATAACAAAATTATTATATGCTTGATACTCCGCTCTGCTATAATCTATCTGATATTAATATTTTATTATCTAATTAAATAAAAAGTCTAGCTTTATATATATTATTTTTAGCATCCCTGCTCGCTTAGAAGACTGTACATAGACAGCTAGTTAGTTAGTAAGTAAGCGCGTCACGTGTCTTATCATGTTAGCCACTATATTATTATTCTTTTCATCCCGCGTAGACAGAAGCCTCCTAGCTAGTCATACCAATATCACTCGTTTTCTTCGGCTTCATGTCCTAACAGTTACTAATCAGAAAGGTTTGGAAGATGGATCTTGTGTCTAGTAGTATTATCGTGCGGTGGTTCTTCTGCTAACCTCTGTCTTCTACGTGCATGCAATGTTCTATCTCCGCCATCTCTACAACTACACAGATCTATACACTACAACCGACTCTCTCCCCTCTTCCTCTCCCTCTCCCCTTCCTTCTTATTCTCCAACACATACCGAAACCTCGCCCTTCCAGCCTCCATATCCCTCAACGCCCCATTGACCTCCTCCATCGGCCGTCTCTCCACCCACGGCACGACGCCCTTCTCCGCCGCAACCCGCAACATCTCCCTGACATCGTCTCTCGAGCCCACATTGGACCCCGTCACCGTGACTCCCTTGCCAATCAACTCCCATGCCCTAATCCGGGGTAATGGCGTCTCCGGCGCTCCCACCAACACGAATGTGCCCTCGACCTTCAACAGCCTCAAATACTTCCCCAACGGCATATCATCCCCATCCACCGTACAGATCATCACATCTACCGTCCTCGCCCACCTCCTCTCCCATCCCTTTTCCTCCTCCGTCGCGAGGAATTCATCTGCCCCCATCTTCTCCGTCACATCCTGCTTCTTCCGTCCCGTCCGCGAAATCCCGATCACCCGATCACACCCCAACGCCTTGGCAAACAAGATCCCCAGATGTCCGAGCCCACCGATCCCCACCACCGCAACGGTTTTCCCCGGCCCGGCACCGTATTTCCGTAGCGGGGAGAAGACAGTCACACCCGCGCAAAGTAACGGCGCCGCCGCCGCAGAGGGAATCGCATCCGGGATCTTGAATACAAAGGAGGCAGGCCCGCGCCAGGTACGCGCGAATCCACCGTAGGTTTTCGGTCCGGTGCGGGATTTGTTGTTGCCCGATAGGTCTAGGTAGCGACTATTGTAGGTGGCGATCATGCGAGGACAGTAGTTCTCGCGTCCGGAGGTGCAGGCGATGCAGGTGGCTTGGAGGCAAGAGAGGGTTTGGGCGCCGATGCCCACTCGGTCGCCAAGTTGGAGGGGAGAGGAGGTTGTGTCTGTGCTGGGGGTTGTTGGGACGGCCGAGCCGATGCGGGTCACGATGCCGATGATCTCGTGGCCCACGACGCAAGGGTAGTCGGTTGGCCCCCAGCCAGAACGGAGGGTGTGGAGGTCAGTGCCGCAGATGCCGCAGTGGGTGATTTGCACTTCGATGTCGGTGGGCGTGAAGGGTTTCGGGGTGAAGGTGGTGAAGGTGAGTGGCGTGGTGGGGGAGTGGGAGACCCAGCCGTGGAATTGGTCGGGCATTTTGGGGTTCACTATATTAGCAGTGATGATGGAGAGAGAGACAAGGAGAAAAAGGTGTAGTGAGGAGGTCGAGGAGATTGGCGGGGAAGAAGAGGAAGTGCGGAGAAGCCAAAGGGAGAATTATAAGGAAAAGAGGAAATGCCGAGGTTCATCGATGGAAGGAAATGGGCCCGAAGGAGGAGTGGATCGACACCACGTGGGTTGCTGAATGATATTATATACCTAGATAGATAGTACATAGGTACTAGTACAATTAATTAATTTACCCGGAGAATTTATGTCTGTCATGTAGATTTGCTGCATGGAAAATAGACGTTCAATTTCTACTTCTTGCCTTATGGCGAATATGAAAAGGCGCACATCGTTTGCGGGATGTGGCAAATGGTATCATGACTATTACTCGGCTGCATCAACCACCACCACCACCACCACCTCCTCCTCCTCCTCCTCCTCCTCCTCCTCATCATCATCATCCCTCAAACTCCCCTCTCCTGACACCATTTCTCCACCTCTCGCGCCAACTTCTCCTTCTGGTCCCGCACCATCTCCATCATCGGCTCAACCTGCGTCTCATAAGCGTCGTAGCCCTTCTGGCCATCCGGTCCCTCGCCATTGCCCTTCTGGGGGGCCAGATATGTATCGTAGATCGAGATCATCAAGTTCATGACGGCGGACAACTGGTTCGGAAGCCACTGCACATCGTTAGTATCGGTTGCCACCCCTAATCTATCGAGGCCAAAGACATACCGTCACAATCGGACTTCCACCCGTGGCCGTCGGGTGCGGCGTGCGGCGGATGATGTACTCGCGGGCAAACAGCCAGTGGCGCCAGCGGAAACTCCGCACGTGGTTAAGGGTCTTCAGGAGGAGAATCGTGGTCTCGGTGTCTGCGAGCGCAAAGTTGCGCACCCCGACCTCTTCCGACTTGGAGTTGATGTGCGCGAGGAACTCACGGTGGGGAAGGGGTCGGTAGGCCCGGAATTCATGAAGCACCTTGGTGAGCGGGTTCGAGGGCATCGGGATCTGGCAGAGGTGGTCGAGCAGAGGGATCTGCGTATACTCGTTAGCTTGGGTTGCGTGAAGGAAAGGTATCAATTAACCTACCATGCTGTCGTTCGCGCCACTCTCGCCCCGGAAGAAAAGAGGCTTGTTGTCGAGCACTCCGTCGTAAACGACACCGTTGGGGAACATGGATTGGGAAGTGATTCCGAAAATAAAGACGCGGAACGAGAGATAGTCCTGGGGCTTGGAGTTGGCCCACATGTCTGCCATTGTTAGCTGACGCACAAGTAGGTCTGGGGTTATACATACCCTCCATGGCTGCTTCGATGACTTCCATCGACGACAGGATTTCTCGGAACCCATCATTGACCACTGACCGGGATCCGTTCTGCTCGACCGTATCGACAACCTTGACGGCTCCGCTGATCAGGCCGCTCGAGAACTTCACCATGTCCACATGGGTTAGGATGAACCCGGCTTCGGAGCTCTTGGGGTCGAGTCCGTTCTCAAAGGCCCGCACCAGCCGGAGGTTAGGGTAGACCAGGCCCTTGGACGGTTCCTCGAGGGTGTAGTTGAAGAGAGAGTAGGCAGCGGCATAGGACAAGAAAGGAGGAATGTCCAGACTATTATATGTTAGTTGTGACAAGGTGATGGCTGGGGGGGAAGCAAGAACATACAGTTGAGCACAGCGGTACATCGGACGAGCGACAGACTTGGGCAGCAGCTCTCGTCCCAGCCCATAGCCGCCCTCAGGGTTCTTGCACCAGTTCTCCCAGCAGGGCTCAAGGATATAGGCCGAAGCGAGGAAAGAGTAGTCCCGGAAGAGAGCGGCGATCATGTACAGGTCCGGAGCGCCCTCCGCCGTGACCTGCTTGTCGATCTCATCCGTCAAGTCCGGCAGCTCGGCAAGCACAGCAGGGCCCAGCTCGTACGTGGCAAGCAGACCTGGGGTGCCATCGAGCTTGAGGACCGACATCCGCTCAAGGAGGGACATCAAAGGCTGGAAGACATCGGGCAGTGAGGTAGGGGCAGTGAGGTAGGGAAGGAAGCCAGTCGAGGTGGTGATGGTGAAGGGGTCCAGGGACCGGGGCAGCGTAGAAGGGTCATCATGGATATGGGGGAAGCGATCCAGAGTGCTGTTGGGCAGGGGCACTCGAGAGGGAGACATGGTGTAGGAGGTGCACGACAAGTGGGCAAGTGGATGATGATGATGATGATGTGATGACGATGAGAGAAAAGGTAGACAGAGACAGAAAGTCAAAGAGGGAGGAAAGAAGGAAAAAAAAGAATTTCCCAGTGGGAGAGTTTATGGACTCGGGAGGACCTGGGAATGAGAGCCTGGAGAGAGGGATTTGGGCGGGAAAGCAAGCGATTCTTATAATACTCTCGAGGCCGGTATCAATTCCGGCCTCGAAGGCGCCATTACGAAAGAGGCAGGAAAACTGCGTGGAGACATCAGACTCAATCGTGATAACGCAGTACTACAGATGTTGGATCAGTTCAGATGATATATTGGGGTTCTGCGATGATTCTACATGGGAATAGCACCCCTTGCAGGCCGGTTTGTCCGTCCTATGCATGCCCATCGACTCTATACAAACTCTTGGCAAATGAGGGCACGCCAGAATCACGGGGACGCGCTATTCCCGATTTAGAAGGGTATCCCAGCGGCACTCTCTGCTCGTTCTCCGTTCTGGGGGCTGGGGGATGGTTAAAAGGCCGAATCCCAACAATATTAAGTCCCCGCTAGTGAAGAGGCTCATTTTTGCTCGGAAATTCATCCAATATACGGCCGTACTTGCCCTAAAGGCCCGTCATCTACCTCATGACCTGCTTTATACTTCACCAACCGCCAAGGCTTGATGTCTTTTGACCTGCCGCTGATTGGCCTACATCCCTGGTTCGGACCCGATTAAGCTTCCTTAGTTGCAGGAGGCCGGAATTGGGCCGGCCTCCGATGATAGCCGGCCTTCTTTTATGCCGGTCTGCTATCGCTCCTATCTCGGACCTCCGCCGTCCATCCGTTTCCCGTGCTGTGCTTGGCTGATAAGCACTGCTGTGGACAATAATGCGTGCCTAGGAGTGGCATGTGTCTTGCTCGAAGCAGTTCCAGAATGCTCTTTTGTACAAGTTGCATTAGTCTCTTCCTCCATTTTGTTCCCTTATTCCGTAGTAGCGCCGTTATTGTCCTTAGCTTGGCACTACGACTGGCTTGGATACATCAAACAAAGGCTGAAGTATACGGAGCTGGGTGTATAATATCTTGATCTCAGTTACTGTACATTTGGGCATATTCTACAAGCATATAGCCATCGCATCTCATGCGGACAAGTATACCTGCAGAGTCGTTATGAAGAACTTCGTCACAAGGGAAACGAGCATACCAGGTACAAGTCCATGATCTGCAAAGGCCGTAGTATATAGTCATCACGATTTTTGCCCTTGATGTGTTTGCCCTCCACTCGTTTCGTCAACACTGGGAGAGACCGTTTGTAACTTCCGATACTCCTCTTCCAGCGCCCTTTGCATCTCGAACTCGGCCTGTCGCTCCCTTCGGATGCGCTGTTTCTCCATATCCTGTTCGACTGCCTTGTGCATTCCCTGAATTCCCCGAATGAATTAACTACTGTAGTTTTGTTGACCAGAAAGATACCGCCGACATACCACTTTCTCTTGTTCTTGGGCCCAGTGCACAAAGCAGATGATCCCCGCCGTACCAAGGCCGGTCGCGGCCAGTGTCAATTTGGAAGCACGAGACATCTTATAAGAAAGCTTGTTGCAATTTTCGTTAGGAGACAACGAGCAATTGACGAGTCATCCAACCGACTGCGCGAGTGGCATCATGTCCAAATCTGCACCGGATCATCGGTGATTTATCAGCGATGGCGGTGTTTGGTGGCAGAACCGCCGACCGCCTAAGGGGTCATTCGTGGCGTCGGGGAGATCGAACGGCGCATCACAAGCTCCACGACTCCACCTATCTGGATACTGTTGCAGCTTCGACGCTCTTGCTTTAATAAGCGCCTATACCGAGAAAGCCTATCGCCAAAATGGTGAGGACGACATATCGCTCTACTGGGAATTCATCATACTGACTTTGTTCCGACAGTCCGCTCAGAACTCCGCAGGCATTCAGACCCTCCTCGATGTAGGTCTCATCGGACTGGACTGAGCGGGGTATAGTGTTGACTATCTATATGCTAGGCCGAGAGAGAGGCTCAGAAGATTGTCCAGCAAGGTTAGTTGCTCTTTTCCTGCATTACTCTCCAATCATCAATCAGTTGCTAACGTGTCGCATCATCCAGCCAGAGAATGTATGTCATCAGGCACCCGATACCCACAGCACCCAGGCTAACGCCCTGTGTAGACCGCACGAAGCGCATAAGGGAGGCGAAGTCCGAGGCGCAGAAGGAGATTGAGGAGTACAGAAAGCAAAAGGAAGAGGAGTTCAAGAAGTTCGAGGCTGAGGTACGGCATGACGTTCTAATCTGCGGGGTTGGACTCGGCAAGAGTGGTAATCAGGTGGGGTTACGGGCTAATAATACCGCTTTATCTAGCACTCGAGTGGATACAAGAAGGCTGAGGAGGATGCGAACAAGGAGGCTGAGGTGAAGCTTCAGGAGATCAAGGACGCTGGCAACGAGAAGGGTGCCAAGGTCACTGAGGGTCTCATTCATGCCCTGGTGGATGTGAAGCCTGAGGCGTCGGAGAAGATCGTGATCAAGGCATAGAAGATATGACAGTCGTCATTGCGGAAGCATGAGGGGTTTTTGTTTGTGTCATTTGCTTTCAGCCTGTGAATAAATATAGTTCGGATCCCGCTGTTTGAGCATTACATAAATTTCCATGTCAAGTCCTGTCCAAGGCTGGCACTGAGCCACACTGGAGGTTGCCTGGAATTCTCAGTGTCCATATAAGAACGATAAGGCCGATGATGGTCAGTATGTAAAGAGCTTACTTCAACCGGTCTCAGTATGCAATATGCAGAATACATAAATTCAACTCTTCGAAAGCAGAACAGCACTCAGCACTCTTTCAGCGTGGCTATTGCGTTGCAAGCTATGGTGCCATGAGATTGTGGCCTAAGGCATACTTCTGGACCAAACAACCGTTGCGTCATCAGGAACACCCGGCACGCGGCCGCTTCGTGTATAAAATTCTCTCGTCTACATTCCAGACCTGGTGAGATAAAAATAAAATGAGATATGCTGTCGCCGGCTTCCACGGCGCAAGGTGCATCAAGGTTAGATTCCAATTTCTGTCTGTCGGCTATTCAGCCCAGCGGTTTCTTCATTCTTCTACGCCTAAGCACCATCCAGAAGAGCACGACGCCCCCGATGCTCTTGATCCGCGCCTGGAAGACCTGGGTAAGGTTATTAGAGATGAATACGCGATAGTTAGGGAACAATACGGTGAGTGTCAGCTCATTTTGGCGCAACGTCAGCTACGACCCTCGTTGTGCTAACTGGCCTATCGTTGGGCAGATACCCCGAAACACCCTGTTGTTCTCGCACATGGACTTCTTGGATTTGATGAACTGCGTTTGGCTGGGCCTTATCTTCCGGGGGTTCAGTACTGGCGTGGGATCAAAGAAGCTTTATCGATGAAAGGGGTTCGAGTGATCACGGCAACAGTGCCTCCCTCCGCATCCATCGAATTGCGTGCCGAAGAATTAGCGAAGGATATCGCCATTGGCGCACGCGGGGAGCATGTTAATATTATCGCGTAAGTATCTTTCCTGGACCCTATGATATGTTTTGGTCTGACATGGGATAGTCATAGCATGGTAAGCGTCACATCTACTGCCTTGCAGAGGCTGTCATTTACACTGGCTTTAGGGGTAAGATCTAGAAGAAGTCGATTGGCTCCCTGGCAACTGTTAATCGGTGTTCAAGCGGGCTTGATTCTCGATATATGATCACACATTTGAAGCCGAATGATTTCAAGGTCAAATCGTTGACCACAATTGCAACCCCACACAGAGGTATGCGATATCACCGGCATCGGAAAACACTCACTCAACCGTTCTAGGCTCTGCTGTTGCAGATTACGTCCTCAAGCAGATAGGTGGTGGGTTTGCCCCGCCCTCTTACCAAAAAGGTCTAATATAATCTGCAGATGACCGTCTTACACAGCTAAACTATGCGCTCGATCGGCTAAAAGTAGAAACCGGCGCATTCGCCCAGTTGACGCCCGACTATATGACAAAATCTTTCAACCCCACGACGCCAGACATTGAAGATGTCCGGTAGGTCCTTGTCGGCAGATGTTCCTGTCCGTAGTAAGGCTGAGTCTGTGCAGATACTTCTCCTACGGGGCGGCAATGCAGCCAAGCTTCTGGTCCGTCTTCCGTCTGTCCCACCGTCTCTTGGAACAAGTCGAAGGGTACAATGATGGGCTAGTCAGCGTTGCCAGCAGCAAGTGGGGAGGCGACCAGGGTTACAAGGGAACCCTTGAAGGCGTAAGCCACTTGGACTTGATCAACTGGAGCAACCGACTGAAGTGGTTGGCTGGTAAAATCACGGGAAACAGACCAAGGTCGGCCAATGGCCTTACACCACTGTATTGTTGATGCGAGCACCCCCACTGACATTGGCCCAATTGTCCCATAGGTTCAACGCCATTGCGTTCTACCTTGATATTGCAGGTAAGGCGCGAGGTCTCGGCGCAGCATCGGTTGATTAAGCCCGGCTAATAATTCGGACGCACGTCTCGTTCTAGACATGCTCGCTAAGGAAGGACTCTGAGGACGGCGGGGCGCAGTCATATTGGAAATCTTGGTGCCTAGAGGCGTGCTTGTAGTGTGGAAAGTGGACGACACCCAATGATTGAAAGAGGTCCAGTTCCATGGTCAGTCGATGCCACTGTCAATAGTACTAGATAGCATGTAGTCCTGCCTAGCGCCCGCCAGCCCGCCCGTGACGTGGCGGTGCAACGGCTTTCAGTTGTTCTCCGGGTGGCTTAGCTTCGCCAACCCCGGGTCCCGACGCGAATCGGTGGCCAGCAAAACCGCGCAACGGCCAAAGACAAGCCAGCCCTGCGAGAGGATCACCATCCAGTCTGTGTGCCCGTCGGAGGATGTCATCGACTCATCGAGCCAGCCCACCGTATGATTAAATCCCGGGCCACGAAGGAACTCCCCCCCCCCACCACACCGTTTGGCCGGTCAGCGCATCCAGCTTCCAGAAGATAAAATTCTTAGAAATCGTCCATGCTGAAGGCCTGAATAAAAGGTTCCGAACGCGCCGGGAGCTCCTCCTGGACGGGTGCCCCACGCGCTGCCCTTTTCGTCCCCTGGCTTCAACGTCATTTTCCACTTTCCAGCCTGTAGTCCTGCCCACCTCTCCGTCCTCGTTTTCTTCTCCAGCGTCCCCACCGTGGGCTGGTTTATATTACCATTCCTCTGTTCCTCCGATTCCCCTCAGTAGTAAACTGTTCCATATTTCTCCGGGAGCACCGCCGATCCAGTGCACGCCTACCGGTCAGGCCAGCCTCACCCGCAATCGGGCTTACAGGGTGGTCGCCATGTCTGTAACCATCCACCTGGACCGGCCACACAAGCATTTCACCAATCTCGACTTCCTGACGGGAAATGTGGTGCTACAATTGCCGTCGGAAGCTGCAATCGGAGGCATCCAAGTAAAACTAGAAGGAGAAAGTCGGACGCGCCTGGCAGGTCCGCGATATCCACATTCTGAACAGTCGGATAAGAAACGTACCGAGATTGAGGTTCACAAGGTGCGAATTCCGAGGCAGTTCCTCCGGGCCTTCTCTTCTATCGCTATCCGATGTGGTATATGATGGGGTTTGCTGCAAGCAATGCTGACCATCCTGTATAGATCCTGTATAAGGTTGTCACCGTTTTCCCCACAGCTGCAGTATTCAATTCGGACACACCGGACAAGGCGTATACTTTTGCCAGAGGGACCTACGAGTATCCCTTTCAGTTTAAAGTATGTACCATTCTTCTATTCCCGTCCCGTGGCGGGCAAAGCTAACATTGCCTGCCAGTTTCCGTTCAATAATGCTTGCAGCTCGCACAATAGCATGCTCACGAACCTGAACATCACGGGGCTGAGGGTAGAAATGGCCAAAGACACCACTCGCCACGTGAAGAAGACGCTCCCTCCCTCGCTAAGCGGCTTCCCGGGAATGGCAGATATCCGGTATTATGTGAAAGCGACTGTAATCCGTCCGCAATTCTACAAAGAGAACATCCGAGCGGTAGGATGATGTCTTGTCCCGTGGAAAGCGATAGCTGTCAGGATAATGTCAGTGCTGATTATTGGCTTCTAGATCACCAACCTCAACTTCCTCCCCATCGAGCCGCCCAGGACGGGCAATCCGAGTGAAGAGACATATGCAAGGCGACAGCACCAATTTATAAACTCCCCCAATGTATCCAGAACGAGAAGCCTTTTCCAGAAGATGTCCAGCAATTCGCTTCGAGACGCCGCTGGTAGTTCCCCCCGCGTATCCGCCGACCTACGGCTACCCAACCCGTCGATTCTTACATGCAATGAGCCTGTACCAATGCGAGTCCTCGTTAAGAAGCTGTCGGAGTCCTATGAGACCATTTTTCTGCAGATGATCCAGGTCGAGCTCATTGCTTATACCAATATTCTCGCCCATGACTTGAGACGAACCGAAAGTGGAACCTGGGTCCTTCTAAGTCGGAGTAACATGAGCATACCTCTAGGAAGAGGCGGAGATCCCGCGGATACTGAGTACACAATCGACGCTGATATGTGGAATCGCGTACCCTTACCCAGCACGGTAGCGCCGTCGTTCGAGACCTGCAACGTCTCGCGAACCTACGAGCTCGAGGTCCGGGTGGGCCTGACTCATGGAAGTGTTGGGAATATGAAGGTAGGTTTTCATCTGCACATTGTTGGACGCTTTGCTCACTGCAACCAGCCTCAACTTATCATTCTTCCGCTACGGATGCCCGTGAAGGTCTACTCCGGCATCGCTCCTCCGAAAGCACTCCTGGAGGCCATGGCAGCCAACGGGCAGCATAAACCGACCGTTGCCACTTCCGACCTCGACGGGCCGATGGATAACAGCATACGCCCTCCAATGCCTCCTCGACCTCCTAGGCCTCCTAGGCCTTCCGGCGCAGATGAAGAAGACTACGACGATGCACCTCCCAGCTACGAAGATGCGATGGCTGAAACTCTTAGTCCTGTGGATGGGCCCCGTCGAGAGTATAACCCACCAGATGCCTCCTCTTCCGATAGATCTGTTGAACCTGGGGCTGATCCGAGATCTCCAGTTGGAAAGGAACCTGAGGCGACCACGCTTTACGGCAATCAGGAAGCGATTTCCTCCTCAGAAACACTCGATATGCTCCCCGAAACTCCGCCAGAATCTCGGTCCGGGTCACCCCCGACCTCTCCAGTTGCTCGTCAACAAAGTGTGCTCAAGATCCACAAGGCTCTTCCCCTGGAGGACAGTCCTCCAGAATATCAGTCAATTGCAGGTGTCAAGTCCCAAACGCCTCAGAACCAGGTCAATCGTACGTCGTCCCAACCAGGGATTCGGCCCATGAATCTCGGAGTCCCCAACAGGAAACCGGTTCCCCGGAGTCCAAGCAGGGAGTCCTAGATCCATACCGGCAGCTTTACAAGTTGCTCTTGATGCATCATATATAATAGCGATGATTGACCTTACCGTTTGCAATTTGAAGGCCCAGATTTGCTAGTATTATCGCACACATTGTGCTGGAGTTAATGGGGGGGAAGGGCCTTCAGTGAAAGTTCAGACTATACTCTAATCTTCGATACCACATGACGCGTGTTTATAATGTGCAGGCGATCCGGGTTGTTTCGTTGCTCGAGGTCCAAATTATATTTAATAAAATGGTGAATAAGAATAGGATAACACAGTCAATACGGAGTGCTTCGTACACAAGCCATAGTAATAGGTGCCTTAGGTGTTAACCCCCAACGGGGCTTAGCGGCGATCGATCCAACCAGCGCTGCTGCTGGTCGCCAGTCACGTCTTTCTTCCCGTCACTTTTCTACTTCCTCTGCTCCGCGCTTTCCAGTCGTCCAGTTTTATGATGATTGCTGCTATTCTAGCGTTCAAGACGATCATGTTGTGACCTTGCATTCGGCTGCAACTCTTTTGTGCTACTTTTTAAACTCTTGCACCTAATTCCAACGCGATAAGTCGACAAGCACCTCGTTTTGAAAGGCACGACGCGGCGGTTTCTTGCATGGCTTTTTATCAATATTTCGCACCATCGTACTAATTCCAATGAGCTGCTGCTAGTTTATTGGCCCAAAACAGGAGCAGTACTTCTCCAAGCATTCCACCATGCGTCTCCATCTTATCATCCAGCGGCACGGCCTGCCCGTCACGCGCATTCTCTGGACAACGTCACCGCCGTCTGCTTTCGGCCACAATGCGCCCAGTGCTTCGTCCATGCTTCCAGCCGCATCATCTGCCCTGGCTTCGACCCGTGTACCTAATGCGCTGTATTCTAGTGGCAGTTACACTATCGCACAGCTGCTGGAGGATGTCAATGAGGTTGTTCCGCTTGAGACGGAGCCAGCTTTGTTTGACAGTGAATGCAGTGGACAGTGGGGCCTGGAGGACTATGTGGTTGAAGTTGGTGGCTCAGAATGTTTACATTTCATGGAAGTCGAAGGACTGCTGCGGGATGGTGATGAAGTCTTGTAAGGACCGTTACCGGGACCACTTTCTTTCTCTTGCTATTAGACTTAACTAATGGGCTTCTCCTCGACAGAATACGTGCCCTCCAGATGTCAGACCTTCGAGTCAGACGGCTTTCCGGTCGCCATCAGATATCCTCTGACGGCAAGCATCTTATCGATGGTGTCCCTTTTGGAAAGCCGTTTTTGAAAAGACCTACAGCGTCACGGCCCGCGATCACGATCCCTCCAAGGAAGAGACGACGTACTACCGCTTCAGGTTGGGATTATGGATCACGTTACGAAGAGGATGACACTGAGTGGGCGCCGACCAACCAACTCGGCTTCACCAAAGAGCTTTCCGTTCTCAAGTCAGATGATCAGCCGCAGCCGCAGAAGGGGAGGCATGATGAATACGTGGATGCGTGTCATGATGACTATGAGGATTACCACGAACCTGAAGAAGAGGGAGACGGCACGGTGATCCGACATGCTGTTGATGAAGCACCTAATGACCAAACCTCGGAGAGTGACTCAGACATGTCAAATAATGACGATGAAGACTTGGCGGAAGAACTAAAGGGGCTTGAGGAGGATTTGGAGGTCTCGTCCATGCCCGTGGCAGAAGACCTCGATGTGGAGCAAGCTGGCTATTCGCTGCGCTCCAAGCAAAGTGCTTTTCAAACAACACCAAGAAAGAGGCCTCTAGGTCTAGATGAAACTCGCCGGGATTCGAAAATGGTAACGTTTGAAGACCAGAAAATGGAGCCGTCCGTGTTAAACCCGAATGCTACTCCTATCAGCAAAGCAGGGTCAGCCCGGGAGGATCCCATTCCCTCTGTTCCGGATGCTAGCGATAGCAGCTCATCCGAGAGCGACTCAAGTGATTCTAGCGACTCTAGCATCTCTAGTGATTCCAGCAACTCCAGCGATTCATCATCGGATGAAGACTCGGATTCTGCGTCAGAAGTTTCGTCGTCCGATTCAGAAGATGACACAAGTTCCGATTCAGACGACATGTCCACGTCAGAGTCGGAGGACGAGCTTTCGGACTCGGATGCGGAACTGCACAGCAAGACCATTCCGCCCGGTGCGGGGTCTTTGAGGACCAAGAAAAGCAACCAGCGTAACAAGATGCGACGCCGGCTGGCAAAGCTCAAGGAACTTGGTGCTCTGCCCGCGCAGGCCGACTTTGCTGCTCTCCGTGAATGGGAGGAGACCAACGGGCGCTCATACTACGTTCCCGAACAAAAAGGCGATGCCAAAGAGCAAGAGCGCGCCGAATTTGAAGCGAAGCGACAGAAACTGCTTCGTGATCTGGAATCGGGAGGGATTGATGTCACTGTTGTGTCGCATGAAGACATGAACCTCCCGCAGAGTGCCGCTGAAATTGATCAAACTCAACCTGCTGCAAAAATGGCAGCAGATGATGGGAACCAAGCGAGTCCACCACCCAAACGGCGTACCCTCGATGTTGCCAGCTCCAGACGGATGCTTTTCGGCTCTCTGGGTGTGAGGACTCCACGTACCAAAGAGGACGAGGAGGCTACCCGGAAAAAGCTTGCAGGAAAGATCCACCCTGTTCAAGCTCAGAAGCCCTCGAAGGAAGACACGCCCAAGGAATCTGAAAGCGACTTGGACGAGAACTGGCAAAACAAGTTGATCCTCCGGGCCACCGAGTGTATCTACGATGACATTAAGCTGACGCCTCCACCTTTTCCCTTCGAACAGCGCTGGGACACTGAAGCCGGTGATATCATCAGACAACGCAAAGGTTGGGGCAAGAAAAGAAAACGGCGGCAGCAGCTCCAAGTCTACAATGGTGAAGAAGAAGAGTATGGAAATGGCGATTACAGCTATTCTACGGGCGATATACAACTGAACTACGACGACACCGAGCAACCGAATGGAGACATGGAAGAGATCGAGTATGCTGTGGAGCCGACTGCGGAGGAACAGCTTGAGGACACAGCAAATGATCTCCCCGCGCTGCCTAGTGATACGGCCTCTCTGCAGGGTATGGGTGCGGATGATTTAAAGAAGGGCATGGTGTTTGCCTTCCGGCAGCTGGAAATCTCCAAAGCTACGAGTTGGCAACCCACGGTATCTGGATATCGAGTAGCCAAGATCCACGACGTCTTCGAGGACGACATCGTGAAAATCCGGTTGGCCAAGCGCGACCGAAGACAGGCCCGGGATGACGAGGATTGGGATGAGGAAAACGACCAGCCTCAGTACAGTGGATTTGAAATGCCCGGGTTGGACGACGAGGAGGATGACGGCTTCCGGGAGTTGTCATTTGCCGATTTGATTGAGCCCAAGCTTCTCCGAGCTGCTGACGCTGCAGGTCTTGGGGATGTTGGGAAACCCAGCATGTCAGTACAGTAATTTCCTTTCACTCGTCTGGCGTTCATGCGCTCACCCGCCCAAGCTCCTGTGCAGCAGAGGAGTGCTCTCCGCCGAGCCCAAAACCGGCTCCGAACGAGGCTGCGGTCATGCGCGAGTACGATGACGGTCAGCCACCAGCGCGGGATACGGGAAAGGAACGGGCTGACCGGGATGCAAAGTTATTAAACCAGGAGATCGGTGATGCCGTGGAGGAACCTGCGATAAACTCCAGCCCCATCCAGTCACCGCAGTTTGTCGGATTTCAGTCTCCTGGCGCGGATTCGACCTCTGCATCGAAGGCTAGTCGCGAAGAGCAAGCCTCGGGGTCTGCCCTCCCTCTGTCAGGACAAGACACGGAGGATGACCGGAATGATCGACAGCCGGATGATGACCTGGAGATCAAAGACCCTCCCTCGGCATTGCACTCGACGCATCTCCCCGTTGACCCCGACGAAGGGAACGAGGCGGCACCCCTCTCGGACAACGAGCTGCAAATGATCAGTAGTCTGGTCAGTGCGATGTCCTCCAACTGCCTGATGGAGAAGTACTTTCCCCCGGCCGTCAAGGGGGAGGCAGCGACTCCGCCTACGAAGCAAGAGCCCGAAGATAGCCTAGCCAGGTCGCCATCGCAGTCCTCGACCTGTTCATTCGTGCCCAATCCGTTCTATGAGGTTGACAGGGCTGAGGAAGAACGGCAGCGACAACGGGCAGCTCGCAAAGGGCGACGCAACGGCAACCCGGACGGAGGAGACGGGACCATGGAGGGTTTTTCTCTGGCGAGGTCGGTGTCTCCTGTGGCGGGCCGAAGTCCCCGGGTGAAGAAGTCGCCGGTGGAGGAGCCGTCGTCGATCAGCGTTGTGCCGGAGAGCGTGCCGCGTTATTATGAGGAGCCCGGGCAGGCGCCTCCCAAGTCGCCAGCGTCGCAGGTGTCTTTCGTGGACCTAACCCTGTCGAGTCCGCCGCAGTCACCGGGCGGGAGTGATGAGGACTATGCACGATCGCACCAACTGCCGCGGGGGTCGGGATGGGTGCAGAAGAATGTTCCGCGGACACGACGGGTGACCAGACAGTCGATCGGACGACGATGAAGGGAAGACTGGTGGATGTGTATTTGCTTGTGTAAATAAGGACCCAATGAGGGAATGCATGAGGATGAAGTCACACTCTCACACTCTCATCCTGTCGTAATTGTCTTATACTAACTAATAATAGTATGTACGGTATCTTACACCGTACTACGTACTGTGTACTACTAGTGGCCCCACCCGGCGATGGAGGGCCCCACAATGCTGGGGAGTCTGACAAAACAGGGCTGCTGATTGGTGGAGGCCCACCGTTGCTGGCGACGTCATCAACATGCGTCTTCTTGACGGACTTGACCATGTCTACTACTAGATACTATACAAACCAGGATGGCCTTCCGTCGGATCTCTCGTCTGGAACCGTTGTACCCGTTGGACCCCCTCGCATTTTGTTATGTCATGGTCCGTTCAGGCCTGCCATGGAGACAGTATATAAGCTCCTACGGTGTACGCAGTGGCCTGCCTCATGGTTAGTCTGGGCACTCGGATAGTATGACCTGATTGCTGGCCAGAATCTCCTCATGCACCTACCCCTCCTCGCTGCCCGTCAGAGCTTCCTTCGTGCTCCAGCTCGCTGGTTCCGGTTCGCTGCTGGTTGCCCCTCTTCCTTGCTGTCATCGTCCTCCCGCATCGCCTACTGTCGTTGCGGCTGTCGGAATTCCTCATCCTGTCGCTGTCCCTGCTGTCCCCACTCCTTCTCGGCTGCATCCCGGTCTTTTACATCAAGACCTTGTCCTTCTTCCCTGATTCTATCTAAATTCTCCTCCTCCTCCTCTTCCTGTTGTTCCTCTACGCAACTTCCTTCTCCGACCTCTGTGCGTACATTTTCTACCAACCCCGTCAAGATGGCCCAAGAATACAAACTCAAGAATATCACGTCCCTGGCGGACGTCAAGGACCTAGACAAGGTCGAGTGCGAGGTTGACGGGATTCAAGATGGCAAGGTCCTTTTGGTCCGGTACAATGGCCAAGTTCACGCCATGACCCCCAAGTGCACCCACTATGGCGCCCCCTTGAAGCTGGGCGTCGTCGCCCCAGAGGGGAGAATCACTTGTCCGTGGCATGGAGGTATGTCTTCGTTTTCGTCGCGTAGCGCGTTCAGTCATTAATGATGATGTCGGGTAGCCTGCTTTAATGTGGTGAGCGGCGATGTCGAAGATGCGCCGGCTCCAAACGCGTTGAAGAAATTCGATGTGTTTGAGAAGAACGGCGCCGTCTATATCAATGCCGACGAGTCAGATATCAAGGCAGCTCAGAGAGATCCCGCTGTGAAGTGCAGTGCTTCTCAGTCAGAGAAGCTGGTCATTGTTGGCGGGTAAGTCTAATCATTCCTCAGATCCGATGGGAGGGTGGGGAGCAACAATAACTAATATCCGGTTCCTGCAGTGGGAGTGGCACTTTTGGCGTGGTCCAGGCGATCCGTGAACTCAAGTACAAGGGGGCCATCACCGTCATCACCCGGGAACCCAACCTCATCATCGACCGCACGAAGCTGTCCAAGGCGTTGATCGCGGACGCAGCCAAGATCCAATGGCGTCCGGAGGAGTGGTACAAGGAAGCTTCCATTGACGTTTCCCATGATGATGTGACCGGGGTCGACTTCGAGAAGAAGACGGTGACCACTCAGTCCGGCAAGTCGCACCCTTACACCAAGCTGGTGCTTGCGACGGGGGGTGTGCCTCGCACCCTCCCTCTGGATGGCTTCAAGGACCTCGGCAACATCTTCGTGCTCCGCACCATCCCGGACGTGCAGGCCATTCACCAGGCTCTGGGCGAGCAGAAGAACAAGAAGATTGTGGTCATCGGTAGCTCCTTCATCGGCATGGAGGTGGGCAACAGCCTCGCCAAGGAGAACGACGTCACCATCGTCGGCATGGAAAAGGCCCCGATGGAACGCGTCATGGGCGAGCAGGTCGGCCGCATCTTCCAGGGTAACCTCGAGAAAGCGGGCGTTAAGTTCAAACTCTCTGCCAGCGTGTCCAAGGCAACGCCCTCCGGTACTGATCCCAGCAAGGTCGGCGCCGTCCACCTGGGAGATGGCACCGAACTTCCCGCCGACCTGGTCATTCTCGGAGTGGGTGTGCGTCCTGCGACTGATTTCCTCCAAAACAACCCATCCATCGCTCTCGAGAAGGACGGTTCGATTAGAACCAACGAGCATTTCGCCGTCCCCGGTCTAAACGACGACGTCTTCGCTATCGGCGACATCGCCACCTACCCATACCATGGGCCGGGCGCAGACCAAAAAAAGGGCACGCCCACCCGCATCGAGCACTGGAACGTAGCCCAGAATGCCGGCCGGGGCGTGGCCCGCGCGATTGTCCACACCGGGTCACTGCAGACCCTCAAACCCAAGGCATTCATCCCGATCTTCTGGTCCGCCCTCGGCGCCCAGCTTCGGTACTGCGGCAGCACCGTAAACGGATGGGATGATCTGATCCTGAAAGGTGAGCCCGAGAACGCCAAATTTGCAGCGTATTACTGCAAGGGCGATACCGTGGTGGCTGTGGCGACGATGGGCATGGATCCGGTCATGGTCAAGAGCGCGGAACTGATGCGGAGGAAGAACATGCCGACCAAAGCGCAGATCCAGAGCGGGGTGGATGTACTGACCGTGGGTGTGCCGGAGTCGGTGCGCATATAATGGAAATACTATTAAGATGTCCTTTGAAAATAGCGTCAGGAATAATGATTACGTTGAATAGTACCTGTGATGATTCCCCATCCCAAGTTAACCAGCGTTGACCATATACTACATAGTAGTACATAATGTGAAAGCAGACTAGAGAAGCATAGCAGTACTAATTGCCGAGTGTAGTTCTACCTCCTAGCCTATTCTCCTCATGTTTCCGGATCAAGTAACCAAGTTAACAGACTCTATCTATCATTCAAAAAGCACCCTTTGAGTAAAACACCCTAAAAAGATAGATCTTTTGATTCTCCCATCTAACGCCAGACGTGGACAAAGCTGAATACAATATAAAAAAGAGAATAGAACACGGAGTATATAACATGGAGCGTACAGCGCGTATCAACAGGGTTCACTACACACTCACACTGACACTCATTCCCTCGACTTCTCCTTCTTGGACTTGGACTTGGACTTCTTCTCCTTCACGGGCTTCTTACTCGGCGACTCTACTTCGATATCTACAACCACGGGGGAAGGCGCAGCAGAGGTGGAAGCAGACCGGATAGCCAGTGCCCCTGACATGGAGGCCGAGGTTGATCTCCTTGGTGTCATGCCAGTAGAAAGAGAAGAAACACCGGTGCGTTCCTCCTCGAACAGACGTCGCTCCTCATCCTCATCCAGCATCGTGCCCTCGATACTGATGAAGCCACTCTCCCGCTCCGATCCAGGAATCACATCCACATCCACGACCCGGAACTTGATCGTCCCGCGCACTCGGTGTCCCGATACGGACTGGAAATAGCCCTCTGCGGCGGCGTCCTCGTCCTCATCGTTGGTGGTGTTGTTGCCGCCTTCATTGGTATCGGTATCGGCGAGGGGGTTCACGTCCGAAGCGAGAGCAATGGGTCGGAAGAGTTCTTTCTCCGGGTCGAAGGGCGTCTTGTTCTTTTGTTGGCTAGAAGAGTCGCTATCTTCCTCGTCTTCTTCGTGTGCGTCTTCGGTGGAGGATGATAGTTGCTGCTGCTGCTCCTCTTCCTGCTCCTCGCCCGGCGGAATCCACTTCCAGCTCGGGGGCAGACGTTTCCGTTCAATGCCCACGGTGAACAGGTTCAGGACGATCGCGCCTAGGAAGCCTTCCGACTGCACATTCACCCAGCCCTCGAGGATCTGGCCGCGCTGGGGTCGGAACACCAGGAAGGTCGCTGTGAGGTACACGTAGAGAACACCGTATTCGCCGGCCGTGCAGGCGAGCGTGAGTGGTTGCGGGTGAGGGTCCTCGGCGTTGACGACGCTGGTGGATTGCGGCGCGGTGCTGGAGATTGAGGCATTGGAGTAGGCGAGGACGATGCCCTTCAGGGGTGCGTAGTAGGTGAGGAGGAGCGGCGAGAGATGCTCTGCTAGCAGGGAAGCTAGGGCGTGGGTGGGCGAGATGGAGATCGGGGAGAGGGGAGGTAGAGCGTGGCGGTGGTGAGGGTGTAAGGTGAGTCGTTGTTGTTGTTGGTGGCGGAGGAGGTGGATTCATTGATGGTTGTGCTGGTCTTGCTCTTGGAGGACTTCTTGCTGCTCTTCTTCTTGGTCGAGTCGGATTCGTGCTTGCGCTTCTTCTTGCTGGGCGATGTGCTGTCCTTGTGCTTGCGCTTGCGGTCTTTTTCGGGAGACGGCAGCGTGGCGGGCCCTGTCGGGGTGGGGTCGAGGTCCATTGCGTCGAGGGCCATGGTGTCAATTGGGGGGGGTGGTGGTGTGAGGCGCAATGGAGATGCTGATTGATGATGCTGGTGGAGTGCGTTTTTTTTTTTCCTCGCTCTCTTTTTTTTCTTTTCGGACGGAGCAGTGGAGGCGGGCGGTGGGGTGGGCGGTGAACCCGGCCTTGTATACGGGGCCGCATCTACTATCTATCTACATCGTACTTCATAGTAATAGATCGTCTCCAAGGTTCGGACCGCCTCAGGACCCTTATCGTTGTCGCTCTTTGTTCTTGATGAGGTTTAATTTTCTTGGTTTGATGGCGACTTGACCTCATTTTTCTCCTTGTGATATCTTCCCTTCTGCTCATGTCGTCCCTCCTATCCTATTTTGGTTGGGCTATCCTTCCAAACGTGAGTACCGTGTCCATTCCCAAAAAGCGCTCCTCTGCGCAGCACCAGATAGTCAATCAGTCAGTTGTTAATGACTTTCGCACAGTATGTCACCTCTATTGTCCAAAGCGTCTACTATGGCATCACGATCCGCGCCGGCGAACCTCGTCCCCAGCCCGGCACCCCGCGCTATGCGCGACACCGCCGTCGCATTTACATCCTGGTCGTGACCAGCTATCTTCTCTACACCCTCTACGAGACCTTCCACCGTGTGCAAGTCGCCGGTGACTTCTACCGTGCCCTTGGTGTCTCGCCCTCGCCGACGAACGTTCCATCAAATCGCGCTTCCGTCGCCTCGCCGCCCAGCACCATCCGGATAAGGTCGGCGGCGATGCCTCGGACAGCTACTTTGTGTATTTGAAGCTAGCTCAGGATACCCTCCTCGATCCCGCCAAGCGCGTCGCCTACGATATGTACGGCCCGGATATGCTGAAATGGGGCAACCTGAAAACGTTGCAGGAGTTTGCCCTGGCCGGGCTGCAGCGGACCCTGCCGAAGTATCTGATCGGGTTGGTCACGATCGTGGTGCTACAGTTTACCTATTGGTCGGAGTGGGGTCGCTATGTAAGTTGCTCTTGGTCTTTTGTGCTGTTCCTGGGTTTGAGGGTGTGATTGATGGCTAACGGAGGCCTGTCTAGTGGCGCTACTTCACCTTTGCTGCGCTTCTTACCCTCGAATCAATCCTTCTCACCCGTCCTGCGGCTTTTATGGTCCCTGGAGGATATATCCCCCCCGGGTTGCACGGGCTGTTGGGACTCTCGTCGAAGGGCGCCGAGTTCTATCTCTTGCCGTTTCAGATTTTGACCCTCGCGCAGCGCGCCTCGGTCACCCTGCACATATTCATCTCGCAGCTCACGCCGCCGGAGATCAGGAAAGGGTCGTCTGGTCCTGATGAGCGCCTTAATCCACAGACCATTCAGCGGCTGGGACAGCTGGTGCAGCTCTCGCGCGCGACGGACGGCGAGGCGACCCGGCTGATGCAGTTGGGGTTTGCGCCGTTCAAGGGTGATCGTGAGGGCGTGACCACGCTGCGAAAGGGTATGAAGGAGGCGCTGGTGCTGGGCAGCGTTCGGGCCAGTGCCGGGGTGCAGCAAGCGGTTGCGGAGGTGATTCGGCGGAAGAAGCAGGGGAAGGCAGATTAAGTGGTGGGCGAAATTGTGGGTTTTTCCTTTCGTTACTGATTATATAGTAGAATACATACGAATTTTATTTCTTCTATAAATTGATTCGATAATTATTTTCTGTATACTTTCCTTCCATTTGGGTAGAGTGATGGCAGGCCATCCCATTGATCCCGGTATAAGATTCAGCCATGAAGCGATGCATCAATCCTTCCTCCTCCTTGGCTGGAGGTTTCAACCGTGGCCTGTTTGCTCCGCCAGTCCCAGCCTTCTTGATCAATCTATATGTAGATTTTTTTTCCTCTCGTAAATATTGTTATCTAGCAAATAAGTAATATTAAGATGGGCGATGCTGTACGGTACAGACGATGAAGGCCAACCCGGCCGATCGGGGGCCAGAAAATGCTGGGCTTAGAGCTGAGGGAATTAAATTGTAAATTGATTTTCTGGATCCCGACGACGGTTCAGTTTCCTTAGGCTGTGATCCTTATTATTGATTGGTTTTGCGCCCCCCTCACCACCCCCTGGCCGGCAAGCATTAGCCCGGTTACCTGGGTACTGGTCGAATATGTACCTAGAGTGACTAGTTGCTAGTCACTAGGGACCTAGACACGGAGTAGATAGATACCTAGGTAGTACTTGTTGGATACGAATTATTTAGATGGGAGGGACGGAGTCAATGATGATTTAGGTAGGTATTCATCCTGTTTCTTTACTTGGGTTGCATATCCTGTTCCCAGCTGATGAATGATGGATGAGGGGGGATTGACCGAGGGAAATTGGACAGGTGATGCATCAGGTGAAGATGGATCATCTCATGCCCCAAGAAAAGAACGCAAAAGAAACGAAACGCCCGCTTACGAATGAAAGGATGGAAAGAAAGCAGGCCGGAAGCGGTGCTGTTCGTCTGAAAGTCTAAGCGGCCCAGGCGGGACGGGCGATCCATATTTTTTTTCCCTGCTCGCGATCCTCGATAGGGATCGGAGGGAACACGGGGGAGGGAGAGAATGTGGCTGGGTTGGTGTTGCAGAATTTGTGGTTTGGCAGAGAGGGAATGGTGAATGAGGGGATTCAGAGGAATATTACTTGTTTGCCGGGATATTCTAGGTGTAAGTGACAGGATGCGTATTGGTATCGGTCAGATGTTTCTTTCTTCCTTTGGAGGAGGAAGTACGGAGAGTGCTAGCTATCTACTACTAGTATCTAGCAGGCAGACAGCCGGTAGATAGTCGACGGACAGCCGGAGAGAGAGAGAGGAAGAGAGAGAGCGAGCAAGCAAGCCAGCAAGCAAGAGAGAGGAGCAGCCTAGAAGATGGATGGATGGATGGATGGTTCTGTACGGAGTACGCAGTATGCGGTAACTATCTAACTCTCTATGGCAATTGTACTATGGAAGGTCCGGCCTTACCGCCCAGACCACAGAGATACGGCGATACCAAACGGATACCACCTGATAGCTAGTGCAGCCCCGTATCAGACGGTACGCAGACGCGGCGGGAACGCGCCGGGGCCGGGTGTAATAATACCTGGCGGCGAGGCCCGGCAAAAGAGGAGCAGTCGGAACTGACCTTCAGCTTCTCTCCTGGACTGACCGCACCGAAAAGTCTGGCTGTCGTTCCCTAGACGAGCAGTGAGAAACACACACACACCACAATGAAACCACCACACGGCGCCTCGACATCCCCATCCATCCCTTTCTTCCCTCCCCCGTCTTCTTCCCTCCCTTCTCCCCTCCTCCCCTTGTCTTCTTCCCCATCACCCTCACCATCACCACCCTCACTCTCACCACCACCGCCGCTATCCTCCTATCCTCACCACCGGAGTATGTCACCAGCGCCTCACACCTCCTGTCTCCCTCAGCCCTGCCAGACTTTCGCCTCGCCCTGACCAGGTCTCGCCGCCGCCCTCGACCACTGCGAACCACACCCGGTTCCCTTCCATCCCACCAACCAATCCCTCGACACCCACGTCACGATCGTCATTTAATTCCTCTCTCCCCTCCACCCCCAACTGGCCTTGCGGCTTTTTAAATTCACCACCTCACGCTCGGCTGCGTCGGTCGCTCGTCGGTCTGTCCCCCCAAACAACCCATCGGGCCTTCTTCTCTCTCCCCCACTGCCCTTCCCATCGTCTGAAGGGCATTATCTCAACAACACCATCCACCGATCTCCGCCATCATGCCGGCCGTCAGCTCTGCCAGCTCCACCACAAACGGTCGCTCCAGCCGATCCGGGGCTTCCAAGAAGATCCTCGTCCTCAAGCTGTCATCCGAACTGTTGAGTCAGTTCGTAACGCCGCCGCCCGAGGGAAAGGACCGGAAGAGCAAACGAACCAGCGTTAGCAACGTCGAGTCTCCCATCAAGATCAGGGAGCCTTCGTCTCCGGCCTCGTCATCAGCCGAACCACCTCTCCCTCCGTCCTCTGTGGACAATGCATCCGATGCTGCCTCGACCCCCGCGGCGGGCACCTCGGCTGCAGACACTCCTCGTCGCAAGGGTGTTCCTGGCCCTAAGCCAGGCACCAAGAGAGGCTTGCACCAGACGAGTGAGACCACCCCGAAGCCAAGAGGCAAGCCGGGCCCGAAGAAGAAGCCTAGATTGTGCGTTACTCCCCCTAATAGACCGTCCGTTGTGCATTTGCTAACTGTCTGTAGGGATGACGGCACCGTCGACCATGCCAAGTTGGTGGCCAACCACAAGCTAGGTCCCAAGGCCAATATGGGCGCGATCAATGCCGGTCTGCGTGCTCTAGATCGCACGGGGGCTCCATGTCGTCGATGGGAACGCAAGCCTCTCCAGCTGAAGAGCTTCACGGGCATCCAATGGATCCTGCCATCCTGGCGAACTCCCCGGCCCTTGAAGTCGGAGCACGACGAGGCCCATGGGATGGCTCTCGAGACGGGCGACAGCGACAGCAAGGCCAACCAAAGTGCTAGTGGCGTCCCCAGCGAGAAGAGTGCCGGCGACGGGGATCTCACCCCAGCTCCTCCCAATCTTACCGAAGCCTCCTCCCCCGCCATTGTCATGGCGGCTTGAGGGGTCTCTCCATCCATCCACATATCGTCCTTCTTCCTGTACATTATTTTCGACACTACTACCTTTATTTCTTTTGACGCTCTGGTGATGCTTTTCTTTGTTTCTCCTTTCTTGTTACTGGATTTGGCGTTAGGTCTAGGACGGTCACCGGGCTTTTCAGCGGTTCACTCGCATTGGGGATGTACTTCAGGCTCTGGCATGGGGATGGGATGGTGCTTATCCTGCATATTTGACGGGCTTTCTTTGCGATCTTGTGTTTGCTCTGTTCGCTTACTATCTACCTCTGTTCTGTATCAGTAGAGATGCCGCCGAAGACGGGCTTGGGTGCTCTGCGCAGGGCCTGGCGGGCCCGGGTTGGGATCATCTCGGCGATTGGAAGCACGTCGGCACATGGATACCAATCTGGACTGGAATTCCAGGATGCGTTGTTCAACATGGAATTAAAGAAAAACTCAGCACCTTTCCGCACGTGCTCAACCATTTCCACAGTAGGGATGCTCGTGGTAACTCGTGTAGGGACCATTCATTCCACGACTCGTCCCGAATGTGGCTCAAAGGCGCCTTTCCTGGCTCCTCCGAGAGAAGACCACGATGTGATGCCGGCGTCATCCATGCCTCCGGCCGGGGAAGACCCGGGAGTGATACACTGTGTGGCCCGAGCCAATGTTACATGGCTGAGGTCAAAAGCAAAGACGGGCAATTCCCTGTAGTCACTCATCACTGTAGGCAACATCGTAAGGATCTACGGGCAAGTATTCCCCTGGCAGGACATCCATCTACTTCACTACTACCTATTATCTTCAGAAGGGGGAAGGGCTGGTTTTCCAAGGGTTCAGCCGGGACTAGTCCTGGTGGTGAGTTCCGGGGATGCCCCATGGAGCCACGGCCGGGTGATACACGCCCTGCATCATCTCGACTACATCCATGGGTAGGGGGGGAAATGTCCATCTTTCTTGAGGGGATGGATGGATGCAAGGATGGGGACGAAGGGAGGGGGAGGTTGCCGTTCCCCTCATTCTGGACATGCCTACCAGTGAAGTACTATTGCCTAGAAGCAGCAGGAGTAAAGCCTTCAGCTCCGGTTTGGTCTGGTCTGGTCTGGTCTGGTCGGTTGTTTCCCCGCAGTTTTCTCGGCCAGGCCATCCGCCATGCCTTGCCTGTCATACTGTCGTTTGTTCTGGTCACGCGAGGTGTTGTGCCGTCCTTCACGCAGCATCTTCCCTCTTGTGCTCATCATTCCCGTTGCTTTGTGTTGACGGGTGAGATTGGATTCACGGATGGGTTGGATCTCCTCTTTTCTTTGTCTCTGTTGATTTGGTTCCTGGGGGGAGTTATCTCCTCTTCTCTCTCTCTCTCTCTCTCTATCGTGCCAGCAATTCTCAAGTCTAGAATTCTAGATCCGTGTTGAGTAAGTGGTGTTGCTCCACTGCATTCCGGTTACGGCAATTCCCAGGACGAGCAGCAGCAGAAGAAGAAGAAGAAGAACAGAAGAACCACAAAGAACGGCGGATCACTCGGGGAGAACACGACAACCACTGGACAAGAAAGAAAGGACAAGGAAGGCCACAGCAGGCACCTTGATTGTGGATTTAGGGTTCGAGAGTAAGTAAGTAATACTACCTCCTACTATCTCCAGACCAAACTGGCGAGGAAAGAGGCGCGTGGGACCCGCAGGCCTGACCCAAAGCAGCAGAATCCCTAAGAATAATAATACTATCTAATCATGACTGACGCATCGTTTCCCCCTTCCGGTGGAGCTGCTGCTGCTGCTCGAGCTGCTCTCCTCACCAACACTTCCACCACTTCCACCACCTCCACCTCTTCCTCCTCCTCCTCCACTTACTACTACTCCAACCCTCCCAGCTTCTCTACCATCCCCCGTCGTTCCTCCTACGCTTCGGTTCTGTCTGGGACAGCCGCCCTCTCCCCTTCGCCAAGCACCAGCATCCACCATAACGTATACAACAGCCCTTTCTCACATCTGACCCCCGCCTCCTTCTACTCCACCGCCTCTTATCCCCCGCCGCCTTTTGCTCCCGACGCCCGCCTGCTGAGGCCCTCCGCCGCCGTGGATGCCGAGATGCAAATGAACTCGCCCTGGAGGCCGTCCCCCGGCGATTCTCTGCCTCCCTATTCCCGCAAGTTCGCCAACCTCGCTCGTTTCGATCCATTTTCTCATACCCCCGGTCACTTGGCCGACTCGGCCACGCCCTACTTCACCCCATCCTATCTCCGCAACTCCCGCTATGTCTCCCGCCTCGATGCCGCCCGTCGGGCCAAGATCGCAGCCCACCGCGATGGAGCTATACCCTCGACCACGTCGAATCCCATCTCCACCACCTCTAGCCAGGCCAGTCTGCCCCGGATTGCGCCCTCCCATCGCGGGATGACCTATGATATTATCGAGAGGGAACCCCCTGGCGACGACGACCACTTGCTACCGCTTCCATCCCGATGGAACGATGATGACAAGTATTCGGGCCTGGAGCTCACGAATGGAGGGCTGGAGGTCCGCTACAACGGGCCCGTCAACAAGCATGATCACGAGGCTGCCGCCGTCCGGGCGGATAACCCCATGCCCCCGCAGTGCGGAATCTACTACTTTGAGATCACCATCATATCAAAACCCAAAGAGGGGTAAGTGGTGGGCTCTTCCCCAGGGTCCATAATTGTACTCATAGTTCCAGGATGATCGGAATCGGATTCTCAAGCAAGAAAGCTTCGGTCGAACGACTTCCGGGATGGGAGCAGGAATCCTGGGCTTATCACGGCGATGATGGCAAGTCATTCTTTGGAGAGAGCCAAGGGCAAGGACGACAATACGGCCCGACCTTTGGGGCTAATGACACTGTGGGATGTGGCGTGAATTTCTCCACCGGATGTGCTTTCTTCACCAAGAATGGCGGGTTCCTAGGTACATCTCCACCAAGTCGGTGAATGCCATCTCGAGCACTCCTCGCTAACGAACCCCAGGGAATGCATTTCGGGAACTACGAAACCTGAAAGTCTACCCATCAGTGGGCATGAAAAAACAATCGCCAGTCCATCTGGCCGTGAACTTTGGGCAGCAGCCGTTCATGTTCGACATTGATGACATGGTCAAGGTAGCTTTCCAGTCATTCATGGTGGAAGACAGAGCTAATAGTTGCTGAACAGCGTGAGAAGTCGTTGATCCACACGGAGATTGGTCTGACCAGCACGGCCAATCTCCAGCCGCCGTTGGACGAATCTGCCCTGCTTCAGGAGCTGGTGGCACAATTTCTGGCCCACGATGGCTATGTCGAGACGGCTCGAGCGTTTGCCGAAGAAGTTGCTGCCGAGTCGTCGGCGCTAGAAAATGGTCGGCAAGCGCCCTTGAAGAAGTATGAGGTCGAGGAAGACGTTGAAGCGATTAATCGACAGAGTACGACTACCTTCTTTGCTTATTTGCTATAGCAGTACTGACTGTCGGCAGAAATCCGAGCGGCCATCCTGGAAGGAGACATCGACAAGGCACTCAAGTATACTAATGCCTACTATGCGAACGTGTTACAGACCTATCCACAGATCCATTTCAAGCTACGGTGCCGCAAGTTCCTCGAGATGATGCGTCGCTGCAATGAGCCGACGGCCACGAAGCGAGGCAAATCCGTCAATGGCCTGTCGGACAACAGCGCGGTGTTCGATCAAGAAATGGAATTGGACGAGCAAGTCCAGGAGGGGGACGTGTACGAGGCTGATGGCATGGACATGGAGGAACCAGAGACGACCGCGCGATCCAACGAGCTGCTCACGGAGGCAGTGCAGTATGGGCAGCAATTGTTCCTGGACTATCCTCCCGAGGAGCGAGGCGGGGACAGGAAGATGCTAGATGATATCTTTTCGCTGGTGGCCTACCCGGATGCAAGACGGTCAGTACATGGGCACTACCTGGACCCTGCGGGGCGGATTGCGGTGGCAGAAGAGTTGAACTCGGCCATTCTCGGTATGTTATCACCCTCTTCCTTGGTTGTTGCACAGGGACAGGTTTGGCTAACGAGGGCAGTGTCACTGGGCAAGTCATCGTCGGCGGCACTGGAGCGACTATACCAGCAGACAGAGGTGCTGGTGAATGAGATCAGCGAAGAGGGCGGCGCTGGGGCGTTTATCAATGTGCGTAACGACTTTCTGCTTTGAGTGGGCAGGCAATATAGGCTGTCGCGGGATTACTTGTTTGATTACATCTGGCATATCAAGACTGCACCTTCCTCGCGCGTATAGGTTGCTGCTGGGTTCTGGATGTCTCTCTGGACAGGAGGGCGAGCGCGCGCCACAGAGCAGGCGAGCCTGTGGGGTGGGGGAGGGGGGAGGGGGGAGGGGGGAACGGCTGTAGGTACATAGGGGCGTAGGAAAGCGAATGACATGCACCGTTCTACTCCGGGCCCGTGCCATTAGTCCTTGTAGCCTCCGGCAACACGGCATGACAGCTGCAAGATGACTGGCCCTGGTTATCCTGACAACTGAAGAAGAGGTTGGGCGACAGTGACAGCGTGACAGCGCGACACTTGGCAATTGGCACCTCGAATCCATCAGGCACCGACCGGGCGCGTAGCGTCCGAGGGTGGCCGATATAGTGGTTCCTGCTGCGAATCATTTGAAGAAGGGGGGGTGGAGCCACTGAGCCAGGCTGGATCCATCGATATCACTTGGAGACTTGCGTGAAGGGTATCGAGGATGACGAAGCACGGAGGATACTAGGTAGAGTACTGCAGAATTCAAGATGCAGCGATGCAGTGATGCAGTGATGCTCACAAACGGTAATACTGCTAGGGTAATAATGCCCCGAGGGCTCCACCAATCCGCAGCGGCCGATTGCCTTGCCGCCTTCTTGGAAGTCCATCGGCCGGGCGATCGTCTCTTTGCTTCCTGAACGATGACGAACTTTACTTTGCGGTGGACTGCGAGGGCGCCCTGGGCTGGGCGGATCATTCCGTGGTTGACCGACCGTTGTTGTCCTGCTACGGTCCCTTGTTCTCTCGCTTGTTGGTGATGGTGGTGCTGGTGGTGGCTATTGCTGTTGCTGTTGCTGTCTCTCTTCTACTTTTAGTAGCAGCAGAGCAGGCACGCAAACTAACTAATCAATCCCCAAGTGTCTCGACTTTCCACAAAGCCAACTCCACTCGCCTCCCGATTTAATCTCTCACCTCAATGAACTGGCGTCTCCGGTCCAGCTCATCGCTCCGACCAGGGGTGCCAACTCACCTGCCGTCTCCTCCTCCTGCTGCTGCTACTGCTGCTGCTCCATCTGCTCCGACCAGCCATGGATTCCGATCAGAGCTCTAGCAGCTCCCAAGCCCATCATCGCCCACCGGCCGCTAGTTGCCTGCCCTGCATTCCCTCCCACTCGGCCTCCTCCGACACGGACTCCCCCCTCGCCCTCCGCTGCTGCTGTGGCCGTGACGATTGCGCATTCCTGCACCATAACCATGTCGCCCTCGAGGGGCTCGAGAAGGATTTGGCAACCGCCGCGAGGCTGGGTCAGGTACGTTGTCGCCTACTTTTTCCGTGACCTTGCCGGGCCCTTTCCATCCCTGCCCTGTCCGTTCCACCGGTGGATTTTTAAACTTCGCTCGCTTGTTGGTTCGCCGACGTCAGCATGGCCAGGCGGCGGGGGTGGTACAACCTGCCTCTTATTTCCCTTAAGTATGACTGCCAGGGATCTGTTCTCCGGCCTGCCCATCATCGGCTCTCGCTGCGTTGCCTTGCGTTGCGTGGTGTTGTGTCTATCTATCTATCTATATCCTTCCTGCCCACATACTCCGGCCTTTCTGTACATACTTTGCTTCCGCACATACTTGCCCTCGTGGATGGAGGGTCTCGTTGACTTTGTTTGGTTGCTGTATCCACCCTTGGAATTTGATCTTCGCTTGAATTTGGGAGAGGGGAAAGACAGACTGCAGTCGGTCGCTCGAAACCTCCCTCATGGCATCATCCCAGCTGGCATCCCCGGTTCTCTCCCGTTGCGTTTTTGTCCGTCATGACTGCCTTCCCAGATAAAGCTGCCATGGCGGCAGCCTCCGCCAGCTCGTCCTCGCTAACCTTTGCTCTCCAGGCCCTACTCCACCGTCATGAATCCTACATGGCCGAGGCCGAAGAGGACCGTCACCGGTTACTCGTCAGCATCGAAAACCTAGAACGCGAAAAGCGGGAGGTTCAGGCCGAGAATGCCCGCATCATCGAAGAGAACCGCGGCCTTTTAGAACAACTCGAAGGCCTCAACAAGGCCGTCACCGATTCCGACTCGCACTCCAAGTCGCTTGCCGCCCGCCTCGAGAGCACCGAGGCGGAGCTGCGCAAACTCACCTTGTCGGCGGCCCGCGCCGCCGACCTCGAAGCGCAATTGGCGCAGATGGAAGTCGAACAATCCAAGCTGCAGGAGAGCCTGCAGTCCGCACAGGAGGACTCCAAGTCGGCCGTCCAGCGCTGGAAGCAGGCCGAGTGCACCTTGCGTGACCTGCACGACCAGGTAGATCGCATTGAGAAGGAAGCCCGGGAGGAGCGGGACCGACATGCAGAGCTGGTCCAACGCATGGAGCGGCGGAGGACTGTGGAACGGGAGCTCGATGGCGCCGCCGGTCGATTGAAGGGAGCGGCAGCAGCTCACGAGCTGGGGCGTAACCGCGGCGGCGCGACGGTGGTCTCCCGCTTCGTCCGAGACATCCTGCAGGACAATGCCAACCTGCAGATGGGCATCATGGAGCTGCGCGAGATGCTGGAGAGCTCCAACCAGGAGGTTGAGAATCTGCGGGATCAGATTCTTTCGCACCAGCCGTTGGCGTCCGAGGGTCAGGAGGCACGGCCAGCCACGACTCTGAGTCAGGAACTGGAGTCGAAGGAGTCGCGTCGGGTGTCACAGGAACTTCACATTCATCACCACTATCACTCGCCCACGGCTTCGGCCGCGCCCAAGAAGGAAAGGGGCTCGCTCTTCCGTCGCTCCAAGAAAAGACGCTCGCTCGGCAGTGCTGCGGTTCTGCACTCGGCCTCGGGGACCCCCCTCGCTCGCAAGGCAAATCACCGCTCCCAATCCTCTGCTTCCTCCGCCTCCACGATACTATCACAAACCTCCGTCTCGATTCCTCCAACGGCTCCTCACCGTTGGTCAATACAGTCTCCTGTGTCGGACTCGATGGCGAGCTCTCCTCAGTCGGCATACCAGCCCTCATCGATCTTTGACCGGGTGGACCGCGGGTTTGATTCTTCCCAGCCGACGAGCCCGGACAGCACGGTCTTCACTTCCCCGCTGCGGAGCGGCCGTTTCAGAAAGGCGCAAGTTGATGCGGCTTATCGGGCGCTGGATGGGGATGGCTTGGCTGCTGGCAGCGATGATGACATGGTTCACGACTACTTCCAACGCCGAAGCAGTGCGGAATACGTGGGCAGGGCTGCGATGCAGTCTGTGATTCCGGAGGAGAGGGAGGATGCCCGATCAATGCACTATGCGGAGTCCCAGCGGGCTGTATCTCCTACAGTTCCGGATGGCGTCTTCTCCTCGCCGTATCGCGCTCCACGCCGCAGTGCCTCCCACGAAAGCCTCTTCTCCGTGGCCGGAATGGACATCCACACTCCCAGTCGTCGTCCGTCACGACTCAGCGACCTGCACTCCGGTGCCATCCCAGTTCGCATCCCTCGCCGGATCATGTCGTCCAGCGCCGACTTGTTCCCCACACCCCCAGTCATTTCGACCAGCATCGTCACTGCGGACCGAGAGCCCGCCATGCTATCCGACCAATGTCCGCAAACGCTTCTTGCATCGGTGGCGGGCAGCAGAAGCCAGACTCCGATTGAGAACGACCCTGAATCCTCCACTGCCTCCCGCAAACTCTCCTTAGGCCGACGCGTCGGCGGCTGGGTGCGCGGACACTGGGGCACAGCCCCAATTTCGTCGAACGAGCATATCGCCGAGACGCCTACCATGGCCTCGGACACACCCGCACCTCGACCCTCGTCGGCTGGCTCTAGGAAGAGCAGACACCGGCCCGAGCTGGCCCCTCTGCGCTTCCGGTATCCGGGAGTGAACCAGAAGGGGCCGATTATGGGATTCCGCCCGACGTCGCGTGTGCCGGTGTCGATACATGCGGAGCAAGTGGACGAGGGGTTACTCCGGGAGAGCCTCGCCGATGCCCACTAGCCTTATGTTTTTTTTTATAATCTGGAAAGTATCTTGTTGATCATGGATGCTGCCATTTATACATATTTTCCTTCTTTCATTGTCGATACTACCTACCCTACCCTACCCTATACTGTGACTCTTAATGAGCGTGATTCCAGCATCATCGCATGCGTACATTCTTTGCTACTTGCTTCCTTTTTTGTGTCACTGTGTTACTCTGATGGTCAGGCCGTGGAGGTGTTCTCTCTCGTTCTGCCCTTTCATTTGCTGTCTCTCATTCCTTCTTTCTTTCTGTTTCCCCTTCCTAAAGGCGTTCCGATAGATAGATTATGATACCCATGAGCGATGTCTGATTCATATACATCTTGCATACATCATATGTAATATATTCTTCGACCATATCCAATACAGAAGTTAAACATGCATCCATACTTCCATACTTCATACTTACGTCTATGCATGCCTGCCTCTTGAGCATACTGACATCCATCCATATAGGTACAATCAAGCCTCTACTCACCTATCACCATTTCAGATACACGCGTCTCCTTTACAAACAACTTTTATTCCTAGAAAGAAGCAAGGTACGAGATCCGATAGGTCTGGATCGGAATCGCCGTGGAATGAAAGAAGCCCGTCTGTTCGGATTCAGCGGGCGATTCAAACGGGATACGTTCTACGGTTAGATGTTGGTCTTCTGTATTCATAGTACAATCATTGTTAGTGTGCATACTCCCCGTTCATGCATGATTCTTAAGATTGGGAGACAGTAGAGAGGATTAGGGTTAGAGGGAAAAGGAGTGAAACGCACCACAAGCCTTCAAAAACGCCCCGAAGGTATGTTCATTGCGTAATGTGGCGGAGATGAGGAACTCTCTGACGCAGTAGTTCTCGAAGAGGTCTTTGGCGGTCTGGACGAACAGGGGGACGAGGTCGACGTCGTAGATCTGGTGATTGATCAGTTCTCTACCTTCCTAACTTACTAGGGTAGAGATTGATGTGGGTGGACAGAAAGATGGAATGGGTAAAGTGAGGTGTGAGTAACACAACGGCAACACAACCCGGCGCAACCATAAGGTCGGGAAACTCAACCCCAAAGAGGTAATGAAACCCAACCTTGTCCTGTCCAGTTTTGTCCAGTCCAAACTAGACTGAACAGAGAAAGGCAGAGAGAAAAGAAAGGGAAAAAAAAGAAGAAAAATAACAAGGGAGGTGAGAATGAGGAAGAGAAAGAAGCATACCAAATCCGCCCCCAGGGCAACATCAAACTCAACCTTGCCCGTCATCCATTCCTCCTGCTTACCATCATCATCATCCTCCTCCTCCTGGGGACAGCTCTCCATATCCCTCCCCCATTCCCAGATCCTCCCTCTAAACCTCACCCTCTCCAATTGATTCCGCTCCGCACAATCGCCAATCTGTCGCATTAGCCCCACCTCCCGATCCGTCGCAACCACCATCTCTGCCCCGAGATACTTGGCACAGAGCATCGACACTAGACCCGTCCCCGCGCCTAGCTCGAGCACCCGTTTCCCGGCAATATGTGCTTTCCCTTCCGATGTAGCAGAGAGGTATGTAGCTAGATGTAGCGCGGCTTCCCATGTTCGGTGGCCGGTTGTGCCCGCAGTGAGAATCGCATTGCGGGATTCCGAAGTGAGAATTGTTCTCGCTTCTGGTTCTTCACATCCTTCTGCTTGGTTGGTGGTGGTGGTGGTGGTAATTGGCGCAGTGTAGGTAATGTATGTTAGTTGCTGAGCTTGTTGGATGGAGGATGGTTTGGGGGTGCAGAGGAGCGTGCTGTAGGTTTCTAGTAGATTGTCGGAGATTTCCTGGCCGGGGGATTAGTTCTGGGGATTGGTTTGCGGAGATGTGTATGGGTATGCAGTGCATACTGGTAGGGTTCAGCGTACATCCTCCTCGGGGTTGGAGAGTAGGGATTCTAGTCTCGTGATGAGTCGTTTGAGAACGCGCGTGCGATATGCTGGTGGGGGGAGGGGTCTGGAGCTGGGTTCGGCGAAGAGGGCGCGGTAGATGGCATCTTGAGTGGTGGGGTGGAGTAGGGTGCGGTCATCGGGGACGGTAAGGAGAGGAGGCTCGAGTTGCTGGTAGTATTGGGCTGTGAGGAGAGGGAGGGACATGGTGATGATATCAAATGTACGAGAGAGAATCCAAAGTGATGGACTGCGGAGTATAGATCGGAGTTGTTGGAGAGAGATGTGCAGAGATTACTAAGCACTATGCTCGTGACCCCTAACTGGATGGAGACTAGCTGAAATTACTCAGCAGCTACCCGTATCTGGTAACTGGCTAGCCTGAGGGGGTTAGCGTGCCCCTAGCCGAGCCCACAGCGACTGCACAACGAAACGAAGCCAAAATTGAATCGAGCGCATCTCGAGCCCGCCAACGACTGACAGCGACTTCGACAACCCGCGCCCCCATCTGCCCTTCAGCTTCTCCTTGTCGCAAGCAGATTCTCGCTGTCAACTGCACCTGCAACCATGGCCGACGCTCCCGTTACCCTGCGGACTCGCAAGTTCATCCGCAACCCCCTGCTTGCTCGTAAGCAGATGGTCGTGTAAGCTCCCTACCATCATCAATCACCACATCGAGCTGGCGGCCAAGGAGGAATCACGAGGGAAGGGAATGAATAAAGGAAGAGGAGGCATGGACGAAAAGTCCGGTTCAAAAGGGACCGATATTTGGCAGACTCAGTCCATGTGTTTCGGTCAATATCGATATTGGACATGCCAAAAAATTTATCAGAGGCCGCCAGCAAGATGGAAGGGGGAAAACAGGCATGCTGATGATGTTTTTGCAAACAGGGATGTCCTCCACCCCAACCGCGCCAACGTCTCCAAGGACGAGCTCCGCGACAAGCTCGCCGACCTGTACAAGTCCAACAAGGAACAGGTCTCCGTCTTCGGTTTCCGTACCCAGTACGGTGGTGGCAAGAGCACCGGCTTCGCTCTCATCTACGACTCCCAGGAGGCCCTGAAGAAGTTCGAGCCTCACTACCGTCTGGTCCGCATCGGTGTTGCCAGCAAGATCGAGAAGGCCAGCAGACAGCAGCGTAGGTCGACCACCGCTCATGATGATGACCTAGGTCTCGAAATACTCACACTCTCGCACAGGCAAGCAACGGAAGAACCGCTCCAAGAAGTTCCGCGGTATCGCCAAGGTCAAGGGCCCCAAGAAGAACAAGGACTAAGCGGATCGTTTCGATGGATTTCCGTGCGGTTGAAGAGGGGGGTCGTTGCTGGATTCGAATTCACTTTCGGATCATCGGATACCTTACTACTCGGACGACGAAGACGGACGCCGCGGCCCGGGGCTGAAGACGATCAAGAAAAGGATGAATTCCCTGCTGGATATGAGGAACGGGGGTGTGAGTGGAGGGCGTTTTCTCGTTTTTTTCTACCGTATGGGGCGGCCACCGCCATTTCTCATATCATGACCCCCATGACTTTCGATGACAGGGAAAAATTCAATATCAAATCAGACTTGGAGATCATTGGGCTGTTCTTCGCGCGTGCCGGGGAAATTCGGATGGACACTAAAATCAAAATAAATTCCTTTTCTGTTACTTTGTGTTTCCCGGATGTCGATCTTGGCCGTTCTTTTAGATCCTTCAAGCCCATCATCCAGCACCAAGGCCCGACTCAGAGCCAGCCGGCCAGACCCTCCACCAAATCAGATCCACCCAACAACCCAACAATTCTCCTACCCACTCACTCACCATCTTCCTTGGATCCTGTCTATGATGATATTATCTGATCCCCAGGTCACTCACAAACCCTATTCCCCGTTCCCCATTCCCCGATCTCCTTACCTAGTAAGTACCCTTCTCCCGACTCCCCGTAACATGTACACAAACAACGTAGTTCCCGATAAACCTCCCGTGCAACAAACCCATATCCATCCATTTCCCCACCTTCCCCCCCCCATCAATCTACCACTTACTAACTACCTAAATATCTTTGTTACTCTGCCCCAGAAAAGTGTAACGCACCCACCGGCAAGCGGGGACCGGACCGGGGACCGGGGACCAGGCACCGGGGACAGCTATGTACCACATCTCCTCATTATTCACTTCACGGGTTTGACTTTGGTTGAATGTAGTGTGTAGCATGACGCATGGAGGTGAGAGGTGGTAGGTGGTAGGTAGTAGGTGGTATGTATGTAACGGCTTGGCGGGTTGTAACTCGTGGGAGTTGGGTTTGGTGGTCTGAGCTTGAATTGGGCTTCAATGGATGGATTGTCTGTTTGTTTGTTGGGGGGTGGGGGGTGTATGGGTAGGTAAGGTAGTAAGTAGATAGTAGGTGGTGGTGATGGTGGTGGTTTGGAAATAATACATTATAACTAGTAAATATCATATTATTATTATCAAGGTCGGTCGGGTCAGGTAAACCCCTTAGGCCGTCAGGCAGCATAACAAAGTCACGGGAATAATGGTAATTAAAACAGGGCAAAAGTAGTGATCTGACAAGTGACAACAACGGCGCCCTCCCTCGCCCAGCAATAATGAAACAGTCGGAACAATCAAGATCAGCGAGCCACCACGAACAAAGAACAACCAACCAAACCAGCCTTAAAATGACGCAGCCAACCAACCCTCATATTACTAGTAGTAGTGTAACATTTTCTTTTCTTTCATGTCCGTGTATGTGGATGTAATGTCACAAAGGATCAGAGCCCTGGTCTCTGAGAACGTTTTCTGCTTTCCGGCTTCCCTGTTTTCCTGTTTCCAGGGATGTTAGTTCCCTTCTCTCTGATGTTGGCGGTCTCTTGAGATCGGCGACGCCAAGGCGCTTGAAGGCTATAGATAGCTCGTGAGCTACCCTGGCTCCTGGGGACGCACAGACACCCTTATCCCTAGTACTGACTCGCCGGGATGGCGGTGTGGTGCATCTCCGTGGTCGATCGAAACGCCGAGGTGGGAATCAACGGAGGGCTGGAATGATGTCCCAGCGGAGGGCGCGTGTAGCTAAGCCCATTCAGTAGCATAGATCCTGACCCGTCGGGCTTGGACTGGCCCTTGTCTCGTCGTTCGCTGCTGCTATACACATAGGTGTCGGAGCCGTAATCCGAAAGGTGATCATGCGAGAATGTCCTCGACGGTTGCCCATCCTCCGCATTAATCGTGTCCATTGTAGTAGTAAACGACCCAGCGGAGATCAAAGGGGAAGAGGTGCCACTAGACGGCAACAGCCCATAGAGCATATCTGATGTCGTTTTGGGCCGCTTGATAGGGCCGCTTCTGTAACCTCCATGTGGGCTCTGCATACTGCCATGGTTCAAGAAGGTATTCTTAGGAGTCCAGCTGCTCATCCTATAGTCGTGCGGTAGCCCAGAGAGGGCCTCTTCTGGCGTGGTGAAGGCACACAGTCCCATCTGGGCCTGGTTTCGACTAGGATTGGGGAGCGTCCGATTTTCCCCTTGCCCTTCCACGGCAGAGAAGCTCATGGTCGGTACGATGGGTGGGGCATCGGTCGATTGAGTAAGATTAAAGAAAGCCGAGTGTGTCAAGGCCGTCTCAGCATCACTGTCCGAGAAGACTGGTCCATGGGGGCTCCTGTCAACATGAACACTATGACCCCACGTCTTTGGATTCCACGTGCATAGATCCGTAAAGACGTTTGGGGAAACACCCGACATGTATGCTGAAGACGGGGTTGTGTACGCCGAGGCATCTTCTTCGTAGTGAACAGGGGGATCGACGCCGAAAGGAAACCGGTGGTATGCACTCTGAGCATGAGCTGATCCCATGTCATAGTTGGACGCTCGTGGAAAAGATGTCATGCGAAAGGTAGGAGGAGCTGTCATAGGAGCTCCCCCTATCTTTGGAGTCATAGAGGGTACATACAAGCCCGGTCTTTGAGACGAGGGCATCGTAGCAGTACCCGAAGGGTAAGGGTTCCATGAACTGGCTTTCGTCTGCAGCATTGACGAATTTACCTATGGGTTATCAGCGCTATTTCTCGATGGCAAGATACCCGGAGACGACGCAATACATACCCTTAAGAACTGACAGTTCGTGTTTCCAGAAGTGCGGCAGTTGGAGCAGCCCTGTCCATCTCCGGGATCCCCGCTACATTTGATCTTTCTTTTTCGACACCGATTGCACTGGTTGATATAAGCATCTATCTCATGGTGCAATTACCTTGGAACTCCAGGAGGTTGACTCACTGCGACTTGGATTCGACGCCTCGTGGAGTGTCGATTCTTGCTGTCTAGCTCGGTGCTAGGGCTCATACAACCGCTGCTCCTATCAACCGACTCGTAATGAGACTCGCGCCGTCCAGAGGGTGCTAATGATAGAGCTTCTCGCTTGGATGATGGATCGAAGCCGATCTCCTCCGGGGAGTAGAGGGGTTGAGCCATTGCCTGATCAAGCGGTGCGGAGGAATACATGACGCTCTCTATTGCGAGTCTTGCATGTAGTCAAGATAAGTCTATGGAAGGTAAAAGCTTCTCAAAGGTGGCCTGGGAGCATAAAAAGGGCTGTGGATCAGGGATGGTGGTGACCAGCATGTTCCGTCTACCATCGAATATTGAAAAAGGAACCGGGAAGGATGAGGGGGCTTTAGCCGGAAGCAAGGCCAGATTTAAGTCCATGTGTCAGTGGTGCGTCGTCGTTTTGACAGAAGGCCTGGCCCTTTTTGTTTATGGTGTGTTATTTTATTTTTTTGGGGGGGGCATGGGGGAAGGGCCACTGCTGTTGGCTCCTGGGCATACCTCTGCAGACCGATCATCACCTCACCTGGAGTATTTCTCCAGGTCCCAGGGAAATTTAGCCATTTCCCCATTCGAGGTGGGTGGCTAGTTTGATACCTTACTCTTCCTGCTCTGGTTGTACCAGGAGAGCAACCTGCAATTTTCCGTGTTGCATCTCATTCAAGAAAAGAAAAGAAAAGAAAAAAAGTGTAGGTTGGAGACTCCCAAAGCATGCTGATGGCAGGCCAGCCAGGCGAAAATACCCCGGCGCTTTTAGAGGTTCGGTTTCACAAAAGTAACGTTGCACCGGTTGACATGATTTGATAGTCACCACCGCAAGGCCTATCAGTCCCAGCTGGGACGGTCAGAGATCTCTGAGCTGTTTCATCCAATCGCCGCCAAAGGGGCACTCCACCTGGGCTCGCTCTCCGCCACGCCGGGCTCTGGATGATGACATACTGTTCTCATGGACGAGATGGCGTCTGAAGTGACAGGCCAAGTCTGTAGCAGGAATTAAGCGGTCGTGGAGCAGACAGCCGCCGGCTACGTTTGCAGGAGGTCTCCCAGATGCGCCCGCCTACCCTTTTGCCTGGGCCGCGGGAGCAGTGAACGTGTGCATGTTTGCCCATGATAGGACAATGGTCGGTATAGGAACCCTTATTGGCCACTGTCGCCGGGATCAAACAAACCTCTTTCCCCCCCCTGCGGTCTAAACTTGTCTAGTACTTTTGACAGGCAGCATGCCATCTCGAATCGGATCGACAACCACCATAGCCACGAGCCACTTCAGATACCGGGAGTGAGGAGTCCTTGTCAAGGTAAGGAGAAGCCGGCTCTATGACCTAGAGATGACCAAGAACTCTCGTGCAAACGGACACACTCCAATAAGATTACACCAATGTCCCGGAAAGCTTGGTCCCCAGCTTCCCAGTAAAAGAGACCCTGACAGCCGCTTAGCTCGATTAGATCATTTTCGGGTCTAGCAAATCATCAGTGTGGGTTAGCAGCCAAGACTAGATCAGAGCGTAGCCCTGGTATATACGGACTGCCTTTAAAATTGTGTCCAGGTCACCGGGCTGGGGCTGGATCTTCACTAGACTGCATGGCTTCTGGGTTCCTGGTTTTGCCATGGAGACGCGCACAATAAGAGGGAAAGTCTGGCCCTTTTTAGAAAAAAAAAGAAACCTGGGACGAATAGGATAATGGCAACGTACTTCCTGAACCTGACGGCGACTGACAAGGGCTGTGGGCCCAGGGAAGATCTACTCCGTAGTATGCATGACGTTCAGGGGCACGGGGTCCGGTACATATTCTCACTGTCTGGCAGCAGTGGTGCCGACATCTGCTGGCGCTCAAACCCACCGGCTTTCAGACGGTGATTGGTCCAGATCGGGACAGTTTCCACTTGTCAGTAGGTCGCATCGTTCGAATAACGGCGAACGGAGCTAAGGGATTAGTGTGTTTTTGGTTGGAGATCAAGATCACACAGCGATAAGCCCTGGGTGGTCATGTTTCATAACCGGTAGCCAGTGAAATGAGCAGAAGAAACAAAGAAATGCGAGATGTGAAGTAGAGACAGTTAGAAAGAAAAAGAAAAGAAAAGAAAAGAAGAAGAAAAAAGAAAAATCAAGATAGGGAAATTAGGGGGGCTGTGTCAAAAAGGGAAAAAGAAAAGATAAAAAACAAAAGGGAGAAGGAGAGAGACAAAGTCCCAGCTAGCTGTAAGCTGAAAAGATGTGATGACCGAATTACTCCATCTTTCACCTCACTATCACCTAGTGGTTGGATCAGACCAACGGCCATTGGCAATAGGACCAGCCACCGAATAGGAGGAACCAGTGGCACTCATGAATCCCTTTTTGTCTAATCAATAGTGCCAACCGGCGTCAATTCAATCATTATTGTGAAGATAGCCCATGTTAAGGTGCACCACGTGTATCTTATTAATGACCTAGTATTTGCTGGCATAGCTGCACCGACTCAGTAATGGGATAATGGGCAGGCGGTTGGATCCAGCTGCAGGAGACCGCCCGTTTTTTCCAAACGTCCCCTGTGGTGGAACTCATGAATCAGAGGGGAAACGGGCAGGTGGCCGGACCGCAGAAGGATCTGATATCCATCACCGCTAAACTGGAGCAATTTCCCGTGGGGGGTGGTTGAGTCCCTGTTGAGTTCCCCAAACCTGTTCCTTGTACTCCGAAGAGCAGACGTCCTGCGCAGCCGGAAGCTTTTGGCATGGGGCCAACGGCAGCAACTCAGTTACAGCAGCAAACAGTGCCTGCTGGATCTCGGCCCAAGTCTAGTGCAATACTATCTCTTGCCTTAATTTTTCTCGTCCAACAGGGTTCTCCGGAAGTTATGCCGCTCAGTTGAGAAGAACGGTGGTTACACCGGGGGGGGGGGGGGGGGGAGGAGCGCCGGATCGACCATCCGACTGTGGGAACGCCTTGAAACCGCCGATAGTAGTAGTGATTGAAAGCAAAGCAAGCAAGTTGCTTCAGGGTCTGTATGACCATCACGTTGCTGTCACTAAAAGGGGAGGGGGAGAGAAGCCCGTAAGTAGTTAGTACCAACCCGACCGGGGTTGGTCATTGTGTATCTATCAGGCAAGAGTATCTAGGAGTTAGTTCATGGTTCATGGCTGATTGATGGATCATTGAAGTTTTGAACACCTAGAAGGTGGGAAGGGAGATCAATCGAAGTATCTGCTAGTACGAGATAGTACTAGTAGATAGTAGTAAGTGGTACTTTGGCCAGCCGGCCAGCCAGCCAGCCAGGCTGGCAGCAAGCCGATCGACGAGTTTAAGGCAGAATACCTAAATTGGCTGGGCGGCAGCGGCTCCGCATGAATCGCAACGGACTATTACCGTTGGCCCGTCGGGACACTAACTACGGAGAGTAAGTTAGTAAGGGAGTTAACTTGTTACTAACAGTCGCGTCCTCCGTTTCTTAGCTTTGCTGCTGCTGCTTCTTCTCCTCGGCATCCTGGTTCTTTTGCATTCCCGGTGCACCCTCTCGGCCATCCTAGCCCATCCACCTGTCGCTATCGGGCCTATTAGCGTCTCTTTCCCTGCCCTTGGGTCTTTCTTGTCTTTGACCTCTTTTTCCTCTTCCTGTCTAACGCATCGTCGATCCTCGCAGTATCACCCGCAGCTGCTGCCGGGAATTCGCCATGAGCGTCCTGCTGGAAACCTCGCTGGGTGACATCGTCATTGACCTGTTGGTCGACGAATCCCCCAAAGCTTGCGAGAAGTGAGCAATCCCCCCTTGTTTTCACTCCCCCGTTTTTCCATGGCGCTTTGATGCGCGCATACAAGTCGAGTGGCTGAACAGGAACTAAGCTGTCTATGGTCTTCCGTTCTAGCTTCCTAAAGCTATGCAAAGTCAAATATTATAATTTTTCGCCCGTTCACAGCGTCCAAAAGAACTTCACCTTCCAGACCGGCGATCCGATTGGACCCGACTCCCCAGAAAGCGACGGTGGTTCGTCGATATGGGGCTTGTTGCGGGGTCCTTCTTACCGGACATTTCCCCTCCAGCTCCCGCCCAAGCTGAAGCATGAGGAACGCGGGACGGTGAGCATGGCCACCGTTCCTTCCCCCAATGACCCTGATCTGCGCATTGCCGCTAGTCAGTTCATCGTCACACTCGGAGACAACCTCGACTACCTGGATGGCAAGGCCGTGATATTCGGGAAAGTCGTGGAGGGGTTCGATGTCCTGGAAAAGGTCAATGAGGCCTTTATCGATGATCGCGGTCGGCCGCTCAAAGACATCCGTATCCGTCATACCGCCATTCTCGATGACCCCTTCGATGACCCCCTGGGCTTGGTGGAGCCACCAGAGAGCCCTGTGCCGTCCAAGGCGCAGCTGGCTACGGTGAGAATAGCTGATGATGAGAAGCTGGAGGACAACATGGACGAGGAGTCAATGGAGAAGCTCCGACGGGAGCGCGAGGCAAGGGCGCAGGCATTGACACTGGAGATGGTTGGCGATCTTCCCTTCGCCGAGGTGAAGCCGCCAGAGAACGTCTTGTTCGTCTGCAAGTTAAACCCGGTCACTCAAGGTATAGCCCCAGTATCGCCCTTTGATCGCACCGAAACTAATATGTTCGAATAGATGAGGATCTTAACCTGATCTTCAGTCGCTTCGGGCCCATACTGTCTTGTGAGGTCATCCGGGATAAGCGAACCGGGGACAGCCTACAATACGCTTTCATAGAATTTGAAAACCAAAAGGATTGTGAGCAGGCGTATTTCAAGATGCAGGGGGTCTTGATTGACGACCACCGCATCCACGTGGATTTCTCCCAGAGTGTGAGTCTACTCTCCGGGCGCTCTTTTCCAACTTTGCTAATATTCTCACCAGGTATCCAAACTGTCCGAGAGTTGGCGCAATGCTACCATCTCCAAGCGCAGCAGCCAGCGGGGCGGCTTCGGCGGTGTAGCCGGTTTAGAAAAGAAGCGCCAGTATCGGGCATCTGAAAATCCTCGACACCGGGACGATTATAACATGGTCTTCGACAAGAATGAGCCCAATGGGAGGCCTGCTCGTCGTGACCAGTCCTACAGTCGAAGCCCACAGAGGGAATTACTACGGGATTCACAACGGGAGCGGCGAGTCAGTCGAAGTCCCAAACGGGACTCCTATCGCAGTCGGTACCGGGATCGATCTTACAGCCGGAGCCCCCCACGGCGTGATTCCTATGGTGACAGAGACCGGCGGTTTAACGACAGCGAGCGTCGACGGGATCGACGGGATCTACGGGATGATGATAGATACCGGGAAAGGCGCCGTCGCTGAGGTTGGTGATGAGGAAGTATATACTAAACTAGAGTGCCATAAGCAAGGACCCTTGAGACCCGGTCAGGACTGTCATAGGCTGGAAGCATGACCCTGTAAATATATGAAAAAGTTGACTCTTCCTCCTTCCATCAGACCTGGTATCTCAGGGGTGAGATGTCAGGTGGACAGGCAACAAAAGGGACTGTTCACAGCCCCTTCATCGGACGGGCCTATTCTAGGCTGTGTTGATGCACTGCGCCAACGCCACGAACCCGGCCCGCTACCGAGGATAGGAATGAGACTCGGCTTCCGTCAGCCTCCATCTCGTCTTTCATCGTCTTTCGAGTTTCTTTTCGGTCTTCACTTTGGAAGATCCGGCAACTGGTGCAGTCGGTGAGGTGAAACCGGGTCCACGGCTACCCCGCCACCCGCCCACCGCTACGCGCCGGTGATTGGCTGCTCCGGACCGGACGAGGGCTGCGATCGAACAATTGATGGGCGTGAGAGAATAGCGGCCCCTCATAAGCCATAATAATGTATCGGCGGCGGTCGCTAGTCCGTCTAAAAATAATGAATTGAAATTCAGGGATTCGGATGGTCGATAATAATAACAATATTGGCAGCAGCAGCAGCAGCACCATGATGGACAGTGGACTACGTAGCCTGTAGGCAGTAAGACGTAGTATTTATTTGTTCGTGACGGACAGCTCCCCCTCCTCTGCAAGCTTCAACATCACCCCGCGCTTTACGCCTGTACATCTCCCCCCCTCCCTCCCTTGTCTTTTTCCTGCCTCCCTCTCTTTCTCCCTCCCTGTTTCCCCTCCATACCCCTCTACTCCTCCCCCCCCCCCTTCTCTCTTTTGATTCCTGATCCTCTAGCACTACTTCGTTCAGCATCATCGACCATGGCTGCTGCTGCGATCAAAGAAACTGTCTCCAACCTCTTCCATGGCCAGTCTGAGCCCGCGCTGCGGGAGCCCTCGGGCGAGGAACTCCAGCAACTGAAGCAGAAGTACACCGATGCAAGACAAGGGCAGGTTTTTGCGTTTGTTGACGAGCTGAAGCCTGCCGAAAAGACCCAGCTCTACCACCAGTTGAGCAACTTCGACCCCACCCGCATCAACGAATTGGCCGAAAAGGCCCTGAACCCTCCCAAGGTCCAGGACGACCCCGTCACTCTAGAACCTCTCCCCGACGTGGCCACGGCGTCGATCCTGGACTCGGACCCGAAGGACATTCAGAAGTGGTACGATGAAGGTCTGCAGTTGGTAGCAGGCAACAAGGTGGCAGTGGTGTTGATGGCTGGTGGACAAGGCACCCGTCTGGGAAGCTCTGCCCCCAAGGGATGCTTTGACATCGGCCTCCCCAGTCACAAGTCCCTTTTCCAGATTCAGGCGGAGCGGATTGCTAAGCTCCAGCTCCTTGCTAAGAAGCTTTCCGGCAAGGATGCCGTGATCCCTTGGTATGTCATGACCAGCGGACCTACTCGTCAACCCACAGAGGAGTTTTTCCAGAAGCACAACTACTTCGGCCTCGACAAGAGCAACGTGGTTATCTTTGAGCAGGGTGTCTTGCCCTGCATCTCCAACGAGGGCAAAATTCTGATGGAGAGCAAGTCCAAGGTGCGTGGAATCTTGCACACATATACTCGGCTGAGGCTCCTTTCTGACTGTACAATTTAGGCAGCTGTTGCGCCAGACGGCAACGGTGGTATCTACCTGGCCCTGTTGACATCCGGAGTGCGGGAGGATATGCGGAAGCGTGGAATTGAGCACATCCACACCTACTGCGTCGACAACTGCCTGGTCAAGGTTGCTGATCCCGTCTTCATCGGCTTTGCCGCCTCGAAGGATGTCGATATTGCTACAAAGGTCGTTCGGAAGCGCAATGCCACCGAGTCGGTGGGCCTGATCCTTCAGAAGAACGGCAAGCCCGACGTCGTCGAATACTCCGAGATCGACAAGGAGACGGCCGAGGCCAAGGACCCTAAGCAGCCCGATGTGCTGAAGTTCCGGGCGGCTAACATTGTGAACCACTACTACTCCTTCCGTTTCTTCGAGTCCATCGAGAGCTGGTCCCACAAGCTGCCCCACCACGTTGCCCGCAAGAAGATCCCCTGTATCAAGCCCGAGACCGGCGAGGCGTTTAAGCCCGAGAAGCCCAACGGCATCAAGCTCGAGCAATTCGTCTTTGACGTTTTCCCTATGATCCCTCTGGAGAAGTTTGCCTCTCTCGAGGTGCGTCGTGAGGACGAGTTCTCGCCTCTCAAGAACGCCCGGGGCACCGGAGAGGATGACCCCGATACTAGCAAGGCAGACATCATGAACCAGGGCCAGCGCTGGATTGAGCAAACTGGCGGTGTTGTTGTCACCGAGGCTGAGGCTGTTGGTGTGGAGGTCTCTCCTTTGATCAGCTACGTAAGTAATTCCGGTTTTGCGCCAATGAAACCACCAACTCTTCCACATACATTCTTGAGACCAGACTGACGTTTTGAGTTACAGGGCGGAGAAGGACTGGATTTCCTCAAGGGCCGTGAGCTCAAGGCCCCGGCTGTGATTGAGAAGGAAGAGTGAAGGGGGAAAAGGATGCAGACTAGCATCTTGCTGGAGTTAGAATAGCCTGTATGAAATCACTAATAATGCATATCTACACCACGCGACAGCCATTATGGGCAAGGTTGCATTTATCGGCCAAGGGCGTTCCGATACTCCTTCCAGCGACGCGATTGGAACGTACCGTAGATGATACGCACGCGAACCTTGGAAATAGGATAAGGAAGCTAGAGGGCATCCATGATTTGCAGGTCGTTGGCCTTGATTGCCAGCTGGATGCGGCTATGAGTTTCACGGTTGGGCTTTACGATAACCATACAGCTTACTGATCCGACCTATACTCGTATAAGTACACCGGCAATGGAGCTCATCCTCCCATCTTGGGGGCAGGTCTAGACTGGGCCTACTCAGAACGGGTCCGACCCCGGCTTCGGACGTGTCTCCTCCAGACAAAAACAAAAAGCAAAGTGCATCGACGTCGAGACTCGAGAGAGCGCGCCACCCAGCTGCATGTCATCGAGAAAGACAGCCGCCCGGGTGGTCTTCGAGAAAAGCATTACGGGTAATGACCAGAATTAGCGCCTCAGGCCATGCACACCCGTGGCCAACCGCCAATCAATCCGGGGTCCAACCACCTTACGCGATACGGGAACGGCCGGGACCCAGGGTAATTTTCAATTCGATCCCGGTACCTTTCCAGCTCCCGTACGAAAAAAGAAACCCGGCGACGGTCGTGTCTTTCCGTTTCCTTGCTTAGCTTCATCGCTTAACTTGTTGCGATCGAAATCCTTTCCTACTCGGTCGTCTTTGTGACTTGGAAGAAACCGTTCAAGAGTATTATTCTTGCTTATTCTTCTCTCGTGGTCCGGAGGGATTGGTGTTGCTGTGTGGTCTAGTGTCCAGTGCTGGGTTTGTGTGCCTTTTTTTCCTTGTCATTTTTTTTCCCTATCATTTTCCCCCATTTGATCGCTTTGGCTTTGTCAGCCCACTTTTTTCAAGACTCAAGAGTGGGCTGTCGGAAGTGCTGCTGTTCCTCCTCCAAGGTTCTCGAGCTAACAATTCAAGCAGTCCGATTGACAAGGAGTTTTTTGATATTTGTTGTTGGGTCTAGGAAGTGAGTGCTGTCAAATGTCCCTCGTGACCTTCATACGCCGGTTCGCGACGACTTCGATTCATTCCACCACCATACTCTCCTCTCCGTTTCTGTGACCGCATCCTTCCACATGGGAAACAACTCGGTTATGGGCATTGCATTGGACGGCCAGTCGCTTGCACTGCATCGGCGACAGCTTCGCGCATGGAATATGTCGGGTCCGTCTATTCGCGCCTCCGACGAGTTGCTCCATGACGCCCACCTGCTATGTCGATCCGAACCCTCTTCAAGCACCGGATACACGCCTAGATTAGAAGCGCTGACGGATTGACTTTCTCCCTTATAGCGTAATTCTTCCAACAAGATGTTGTTGTCTCGCCGTGCCTGCTACAAGTGTGGCAACATTGGCCACTATGCTGGTTAGTTGCTTTGGGGAAGAAACGCCTTGGCCCAGGCTAGAATTTGCTAACGGGCTGACGTAGAGGTCTGCTCTTCGTCTGAGCGTCTCTGCTACAACTGTGGGTAGGCCCTGTTGATTGGCAATTTACTTCTGGCGCGTTATTTGCTGATAATCATGTGGTTCAACAGGCAAGCAGCCTGGTAGGTTCCATAGGTGTGTCACGTAGCTCGAACGAGATCTCTGATTTATCGACAGGCCATGAGTCCAGCAGTTGCCCGCGTCCTCGTACCACTGAGAGTAAGGTTTTCTGAACCTCGTGGCCGCAATGCACAGGAAGGCTGATATATATATCCGATCCAGCTAAGCAATGCTACAACTGCCAGGGTCTAGGCCACGTTCAGGCCGATTGTCCCACGCTGCGCCTTAACGGTGCCAACGGCCGCTGCTACAACTGCAACCAGCCCGGCCACCTTGCCGTACGTCTCTCGTCAAGCCCAGCTTTATGTCTCCGCGACAAGCCGTTGACCTTCTCCTAGCGCAACTGCCCCGCTCCTACTTCCGGTGCTCCCCGGGCCGCCCCTGCTCCTCGCGGCGGATTCAACAGTGGCTTCCGCGGTGGATACGGATACCCTCGCGCCGCCACCTGCTACAAGTGCGGTGGTCCCAACCACTTCGCCCGCGATTGCCAGGCCCAGGCCATGAAGTGCTACGCCTGCGGCAAGCTGGTAGGTGTCCTTGCTGTACGCTAGTGCGATGCAAGTGCTCGGGCTCATAATATTCACAGGGCCACATCTCCCGCGACTGCACTGCTCCCAATGGCGGTCCCCTGAGCTCCGCCGGCAAGGTCTGCTACAAGTGCTCCCAGGCCGGTCACATATCTCGCGACTGCCCCAACAACGAGGCCGCCATTCAGCAGCCTGTTGATGCCGCTGCTCCGGCTGCGGCCCCTGCTGCCCCTGCCGCCGCCGCTGGCGAGACCAGCGCGGAGGCTGCTCCTGTTGTGGCTGCGGCTCCTACCACCGCCGTCGCATAGAGGACGACTTTTATGACTGATCGATCCCAGTTTATGGGAGCCTGTTTCCATTCTTTCTTTTTGTAATAGGGTTTGCCGATATCGGTCGCATTTTTCATTATTCCCATGGTTCTTCCTTTGCATATATTGCGCCCTCCCTGTTTCACTTCTCGGCACCGACCGTTTTCTATTCCTATTATGTATACGACGAACAAAAGTTTCACGAAGTCTTAGGTCCCCTTACTGCTTGGATCCTATACACGGCTCAGGGTCTTATGGTTGGCGTCTATTGATCTCCTCGGGTATCTTTCTCATTTCCAAATATAGGTGCAGCAAGAAAAGGAGGAGATGAGGCCAGGCGAGGTGGAGGGCGAAAGGAGCGCAGGAGAGACATTGGTGAACCGAAGCAAGCGCTTGATATGCATGGGAAGAGGCTACAAGTTGGTACGGATGGGATTGTGTGTGATGAAGATTGTGAATGGTCTGAAGGTACCTGGCGCGGTGGTTACCTCATCTTTTCGTACTATATCCTCCATATATTCGTCGAATGGGAAGCGAAAAAAAAAGAGATAAAAAGACAAATAGCAGAAGCATTCCAGTTTCAAGATGGTATCTTGTACGGTCAAATAAACTATGCGAACTGGAGTGAAAGGTGATTCCTCGGAGTTGTCCGCCTGGGCTAGGGCTTGAAGCAAAGTCATGCCTGAAATCGTTGGTACGGCCAAACCCCGTGACGCTGGGCTAGTTCCCACCCCTGTCTACATCTCAACTCACTTTCTGCTCTGTTGCTTGGAAGGGGCTGACATGCCATCCTATCTACTGCCTTTTCCAGACCCCAAGACCGTTGAAGACCGTTGCATAACTCGATTCAGTGTTCACCATGCCCGGCTCAGACACCAGTGACGAATTCAATGATGATGTAGCTACCTATTCCATGTCTTCTTCCACAGCATGTTGAATCTTGGGATTGATTAACTCATTTTCTGGTCTATCTCTAACATTAGGCTGACCTCTGGTCGCTGGCAGGTATTCATCATTGATATTGATACCATCCAAGCCCATGGTATATCCTCGTCTGTTCGTCTTCACACAGATAGGGATACTGATCCGGCCTAGGCATTGGGATGGCGGACATCACAAAGCTGAAGACGAATGGGTACTACACGGTTGCTGTATGATCTACCCAACCTCCATAGCACTTCATCGTCTCCTGTGCGTTTAGACGGCTAACATGTTCAGTCCGTTCACGGTGCCACCCGTAAAAACCTCTTGAAGATTAAGGGATTCAGTGAGGTCAAGGTTGAGAAAATCAAGGATGCTATTCAGAAGAGCTTGGTATGGGTTAATGACTGGAATTGGTCATGAAGGAGACGTGCGTTGCTAACTGTGCAGCCCTCGGCCTCTGGATTCATTACGGCAATGGAGCTGTGCCATCAGCGGAAGAGGATTGTTCGGATCTCTACTGGAAGCAAACAGTTCGATTCAATCTTGGGAGGGTAAGATTGCATTGTCCCACTGTTGCAGTGAAGTAATTCAGCTGATGTCGCTTAGGGGCTTTCAGAGCATGAGCATCAGCGAAGTCTTCGGGGAGTTCCGATGCGGCAAGACTCAGTTATCGCACACCATGTCTGTCGTTGCCCAGCTACCTAAAGAAATGGGCGGAGCGGACGGCAAGGTCGCCTACATTGATACCGAAGGGACTTTTAGGCCGGAACGGATCGCCCAGATCGCAGAGCGCTTTGGTATCGATACTGATGTTGCTCAGGAGAACATTGCTTATGCTCGAGCACTCAACAGCGAGCATCAGTTGGAGTTGCTGAATACTCTTGGCAGAGAATTTGCCGGGGGAGAGTATAGGCTGCTGATCATTGATAGTATTATGAATTGCTTCAGGGTCGATTACTGCGGACGTGGGGAGCTTGCAGACCGTCAACAGAAGCTGAATCAGTTTCTGATGAAACTTGCTCATATGTCTGAAGGTAAGTGGTTGACTTGCTCGGGCTATACACTGCAGGACTCATGTTGCTATCCACAGAATTCAACATTTGTGTTCTGATGGTTTGTTCTCCCCCATCGTGCAGATAACTTGCTCTTACGCGACTACAGACAAACCAGGTTCAGAGCGACCCTGGTGCTAGTGCGCTCTTCGCTGGAGCCGATGGCCGCAAGCCTGTCGGTGGCCATGTGCTGGCGCATGCATCTGCGACTCGGGTGCTCCTCCGTAAGGGCCGTGGTGAAGAGCGCGTGGCTAAGATTCAGGATTCTCCCGGTCTGTCATCTTGGATGGCTCTTGCACTACCATATTAACAGTCTATAGACTGCCCCGAAAAAGAAGCGACGTATGTCATCACCAATGGTGGGATCAATGACCCTGATAAGGTGTAATTTCGATAAGGAATGATTAAAGGCGGACTATGGACGACTTGAAACGTACAATATGGGGGGGGGGGCGGGGGAGATTAAGAGACCAGTAATGTCGGGTTTCTGTCAAGATGATCTATCTGCGACCGGGATGTACTATGATGTCTGCGAGCAGTTGTTCCTGATGTGATGTAAAGCACACGGACCGAGTAGTTTGATACTCCGAATGGGAAGAGCTGCTCTCCGCCTTCCAAATTGCCGCTGTAAAATTTCCCGCTAAAGTAAAAGTCTCTCCGCGACCAACTATTCTGCGGCGTTACAATTTCCGCAAGCACTACCAAACACAAACACACTCCTTTTCCTTCTCCCAGCTCAACACAGTTTTCCCTGAGAGTCGGTCGAGATGAAGAAAGATTTTGAGATTGCGGGATTCTTAATCCTGCCCTTGCGATTCCCCTCCACGCCAGCATACGCAAAACCTGCAACCCATTACCTCTATCTCCGAGCCCACGAGCCTCGCATCCCCGACGCCGACACCCCGCGCTCCATGTTCGTTGTCAACATCCCCGCGGACACGACCGAAGCCCATCTGCGCCACCTCTTCGGCATGCAACTATCCGCCGGCCGCGTGGAACGGGTCGAATTCGAAGCCCTCCAGAGCACGAAAAAGAGCGCCGCCCCGCAGGCCAACATCGCCATGAGCAAGAAGCGCAAGCGTGTCACGGCCGATGAACTCCAAGCCCAATTGGACGATGTCGAGCTCCCCTCCACCTGGGACCGACGTCTCCAGAAGAGCGGCGCTCGCGCTGTCGTCGTCTTCGCGGACAAGCCCAGCATGGAAGCGAGTCTGAAAGCGGCGCGCAAGGCCGCGAAAAAGGAAACCAAGATTGTCTGGGGCGAGGGAGTGGAGGACCGTCTACCCTCTCTTGGGCTGCAGCGGTATCTGAACCATGAGCAGCTGAGATATCCGGATCGGGCGGAGTTGCTGCGCACGGTCAATGATTATATGACGGTGTTTTCGCAGGTCGCGGAGGCGAGGAGGCGCGAGGAGGCGCGCAAGGCACAGGAGCCGGACGAGGATGGCTTCATCACTGTGACATCTGGGCCGAAGTTGGCTGCTGCGGCTCATGAGGATGAGGCTAGGGAGTTGATCGAGAAGCAGAAGCAGAAGTCTCAGGGCTTGGAGGACTTCTACCGGTTCCAGTCCCGTGAGAAGCGTAAGGAGAAGCAGAACCAACTGCTCAAGAAGTTTGATGATGATAGGAGGAAGTTGGCGGATATGAAGAAGCGGAAGGGAAAGATTGCGGTAAGATTTTCCCTGCTATTAACATGTCTAGCTGCTAACGGTGTCTCTGTAGCCCGAGTGATGCGTTCGTTCCTATTGTTTGGCATTGGGTCGTTTAGCATGGCGTTTGGGAGGGTCGTCCAAAAAGTACTTGATTCGATAGAGGACTGGTTTGGGGTTGCTGGACGGTGTGAGTGTCGAAGCTTTCTTTTCTCCTCCTCGTTCCCCCCCCTCCCTCATATATCTGCATCTGATGAGTCCGCTGGGGCCAGAGTAGCAAGACTCAGCCGTCGGTTGATGTCATGCTGTGTCTACAAAAACCAGCTTCAATCCAATCTTCTCACCTCTCTGAAGCATCTTCTTTTACGATCTGTTTACTTGGTAGTATTCTCGTTGCGATGCTGACTTGGTGGCCTAGGTACATCTTTGCTTCTTGTAGACTATAGATATCTAACATGATTTATCATGCCGGTCCATGTTCTTAACAGTAACTGTATGTCTAATACTACTTGTACTCTGTATATCGCGAACGCACAGACCACCGCGGCTTGGCGATGACATCGTCGGCGCATCGCACCGCATCGCATCGCATTGCAACTCGCCACCAGCTCGCAATCCGAAAGCAGTCAATCTCCATGGAGAGCAACATACCCAGTATGTAGCTTGAATCCCTTCGCCTATAAGCAGCTCACCCCTCACCCCTCATCTGCTTTCAACACAGTACAATCTCTAACAACCCAAGGTATCTGAGACCCCCACCATCACAACGCCTCCCCGACTCCTACAGCTGTACACAAAAACCCCAATGGCCTCAACCACATCGTCCTCGACCCGTCGAAGCGGCGACAACAGTGGCGGCGGCGGCGGCTTCCTCCCCTCCCCGACCCCCTCCACCACCATAACTACAACCACAGGCACCGCGTCTTCCCTTCTCCCCCAACCCCGTTCGCATCCTCTCCGCCCAGGCTCGGCCAAAGAAGCAACCGTGATCAACTACGTCGACACCACCCTCCTGCGTATCGCCCGCCGTCACGCCAAGAAATTCAGCGGTGCGTTTACGGACCCTTCCCTTCCAGAGTCTGAGCGAGGGTATGAGAGCTTCCAGGAAATAGCGAGAGATTTGGAGGCGGTGGTGGATGTGCTATGGGTTAGTGGGACACGTATGTTGCCCTCTGTTTTCATTGATCTTGGGGTTTTTTTTGTGTGTGTGGTGGGACATTGGGCTGAAAATTGAGGTTGAGAACAGCATCGCTTCAAATCCCTTACTTGATTTCTTTGGCCGTGCAGGTCAATTCATATCTCGCTGAGTATCCGTTCTCGGCGGCTGCTACGTTTCGGCTGTTGGGGAAGTTGGACGAGGTCTTTGCGGGGCTTTTGGGGGATGGGGAGGGGAAGGGAAGTGTGGTTTCGATGACAGAGAAGGTGAGGATTAAGAGTATCGCGGAGTCGGGGAGGGTTGTGGTTGTTGAGGTGAGGGAGAAGGAGAGGGAGGATGGCGGTGGGCTTGGTGAAGATGAGGACGAGGATGAGGATGAAATGGAGGATATGCTGGGTATACAGGAGTATCCAACGCCTGGGAAATGGGAGATGGAGACGGCCAAGGTGTATGAAAGGACTATACAGTTGTTGGGGGATGAGTTGGGCCATATTGGGGACTTCTGTGATGATGATATGGCTGCGGGTGAGGGAGAAGAGGCCGTATGTGATGGGGGGGATCTGGGTTTGGAGGAGGATGAGGACGAGAATGAGGATGAGACCTGATGGGCTGCATTGCATGTACTATGTAGGTATTGGGTGTAACTACTCTCTGCTACCACAAATGCCGACTCAAGGTATAGACTTACTTGGTGAGACCATCCGGATTTCCGGCCCAACAATGGCCACATTAATCAGCCAGCAGGGATTGCAAGCGCGCCGCGTCCCCAACTAGCGAGCTGACACGAACCAGAAAAGAGGTGGTGACTTGTGACGCCTCGGGGGGTCCGGAACAGTCACGAGTGGAGATACATGATGTTTTGGTGAGAGTTGGTGACAATCACCTGCAACAGTGGGTCAAATAGTTAAGTACTTCGTGGTTTACAATTTGCATAGCATAACCAATTGATGGATACAATAAAATAAGAGTGGGAATGGCGTGCATGGTCTGCTGTGAAAGATCCAGGTTCCTCCGCCGAATATCTAACTAGTACCCCTGATGAGTTCTCGTTCCCAGTAGATACCTATCATGCCTGGTATCCAGAGGCAGTTAGTTCCATGGTTCATTCAGTATTGACCCAACAACTCAACCTGGACAAAAACTATTCCTTTGGTTTCGCTTTGCATCAAGTCTAGAGAAGAGGTACTAGATAGGTACTGACTAGGTAGGTACTTATAGCAAAATTACATCTTATGGGGAATGAATACCTGCTGGAAGGTGCTGTGAACTTGTATTAATTAGAGGACCGTTCCTATGCATGCATGCATCCATAACGGCTGGGTGCAAGGAGAGGATGGCAATCTGCAAGGGACAGTCTGCTTAGAGCCTTAGACGGCACGGTGGTGTAATCCATCCGACATCCTGAGTGTACATTTCTAGATGCTGTGAATGTAGTATGTAGTATGTATGTGGTGGTTGAGTCTGCATCGCAAATATGTTGCTTAGATGAAGGGACCCTCCAGCTTAATATATACTTACTGTGGTTGGAAGTAAGGGTGGTCAAAGCTAGCAACTCGGAAGGCACTAGGCAGCCTTATTAAGTTATTCCTTGTAGTCGATCGATTCAATCGGTATCTGAGATAGATATTATCCCCCGGGAAATTAATGTGCTCATGATGGATTTGGAAATTGGAATCAAGGGAAACCAAATAACCATCGGATCTCCCTTACTCATGCCAGAGCTCTTCTCGGTTCCCAACTTCCCACGGTGGATGATGGCCCGTCCTTGACCGATTGTTCTCCAGATTTCTAAAGAGTGATGACGCTCGTATTCTGGCCACTTGCCTGCTGACTGGCTCCCCCAAGTAATAGTAGGTTAAGTTACTAGTACTAGTAGTTAGTATCTAGTAGTTATTGATTACCGCTTGGATCCTGCAAGGCGATCGCGTCGCGTGCGCGTCCGGGGAGATACCGTTGACTATCTTGCTGCAATGGAGCATGGATGCAATGGAAAGTTTGAAACAGACTAGCAGCTAGTAGTCGCAACTAGCAAGGCTAAGGAAAGCGAATATCTAAACCCCTTCACGACTCACGAGGCTGATGAATTCTGTCTCAGACACTCGTGGGAATTCCAGAATCCTTACTGGCGCCCGTAACCACTAACCAGGATCCTTGGTATTATTACCATCCAGGTATTACCGATGACAGCCCGCCAGCCAAAATTACGAGCCGCCGGTGCCCGGATTCCAACCAATGGGCACCACATGGACCGCAATTCCATGGTTCGAGCTGGCCCGGTGGAGTTGCCTCACATGGACGGTGCCCGGGGGGACCTTTCATTTTTTTTGGGCTCTTTTTATAATCCACAGCTAACCCACACACACACATACACACACAGAAACCTGGTGCGGAATTTCAGGCTGTAGGTAAATCGGAATGAATACTGCTTGATCCATATGGCACCTATCTATCTATCTATCTAGTGGCAGGCATGGTCGTTCAAGTTGACTTCTTTCGAGGTTCGGACCCCATCATGGTGGTTTGGAATGCCGCTTATTCTTAGTATGGTTGCTTGGACCATCCCCGACGGCCACTATCTATTATTAACGTGAACCACAGTGGCACGGTGGTCAGTGGTAAGTAGGTTTGAAGTAATCCCTCATGGGTTGCTCCAGTTCATAGTACTAGGTACTAGATACCTATCTACTCCGTAACCCGACCACAATTGACTTATTCAGTGTATAGCACCATCCACTTCCACATGGAACCTTCTGCTTCTCGAATGTCCTGAATCCCCCATTAGTCCTCCCTCATAGACACAGCAGGCTAGCTGCTCCACGATCCATGGGTCTGGGGCGCATTGGTGGGGGCCATTTTCCTTTCATTGAACTTTTTCGCAGTCCAGGCGCTGCCATTCTTTTTCCCGGTCGCCTTTTTGGTTGGTCATTGACGGGGCTGGTATCTTCTACTACAATTCTCGGGCAATTCACTGTTGAGTACTCCGTAAGGTAAAAGAGAAAGACCGCCGCCATTTCAGCTCCGTCAGAGTTCCGCTACTTCATGGCTTTCAGCCGCCCGGCCGGACAGACAGTACCTAGGCCATGGGCGATCCATCTGAACAATGAGGGCTGAAGTGGCTGCAAACGGCAACCGATCTACGAATGACCGTCAAGGCATCCGACAAGCCAGGCGGAGAACGGGTCAAGCCTATGACGATAAGGGCCCATGGGCCATGGGACGCGAATGGAACCCGACGAGTCACCGCGCGAGGACGGGAAGAGAAAAGACCTCACGACTCTTCTGGCGGTCCTGGCCTCTGCATGTGCATCGTCCAGGTCCTTGCAGATTTCGTGCAGCCATTCGGCCATATTTATGAATCCTGAGCTCCTCCTTATGTAGGTACAGGTCGATTCAGGTTAGGATTGTCCTGTCACCATCCTCCACCCCAATGTCCGCCCCTTGTCAGTTGTTACCGTGGCCAATTGGCCAGGTATTAATTGCTACTACTAGGTAGACTGCTACCACAACCCCCTCCCCCAACAAGGGGACCCCATTACTTGGGTCCCCCTTGCCTGATGACGATGGGCTTGCGGATAAAGACCCTCGTTTTCCCACCACCTTGGGGGGTGTCGATATCCTGCGCACATGCGGTTGCTGGCCCTCTCCCTCCCTACTTGACTGGAGAGATCGTTATCAAACCTCTGTACGGTTGAGAGATCAATCGGGTCGTGATATACTTCGTCCTCTAACTTGGGAAAACAAAGCCATGGGTAGTTAGGTACAAGAGCCGGGCGGCTTTAAGCTTCACGGATTTCCAAGTTCTCGGGACCTTCAATCCAGCAACCGAGAAGACGATATGATGCAGTGCAAAGGAGAGGGGCAAATAAAAAAAAAAAAAAAAAAAAAAAAAAGAACCGGCAGATTCTATTGTCTGGGCCCGTTCAACTACCAGAGGATAGTACAAAGAATATTGCATGCGATGAAAATAAGGATCATGTCAGGCTGCAAACCCGCAGGATGCAGCAGTCATCTGGTCCCAGGGTGTTTGGTTGGGCTGGGTCCGATGGTGGATGTATCCACTGCATGTACTATGTACCTGCGATACCTGTATTGGGTCGTTCGCAGCAACACAGTAGGCAGGTATCCGTGGAGGTTTATCGACCGGTGCCTGTACTAGTATGTAGTTAGATGGGTAGGAAGGATTGACGAATGTAGTCTGGAGTTCAGAGTCAAATCGAGCAGAGTAAAGATAAGACTAGCCTCTTTACTCGTACCCTGTAGGTACTATAGGTACTATCTATCTAAATTCTATCTAGATACTTAAGTAGTCGATATCTGGACCGCGATCTAAAACATACATCCAGCAAGGTCGTACACCCGACAGACAATCCAATCCAACCTGGATGTTGAATACCAAGACAATACCGATACTACACGGAGTACGGAGTACTCCAGGCAGTATCCCGGTAAGGCCACACGATCCCACCAGAGAGTCAGGCCTTGTAGATCTGGATTTTCTGCTGCCGGGCCAGTCAAAAGGTGCGTTGAACTTCAAGAGAGCGGGGGGAAAGGAAAAATGAAAACAAAAATGAAGAATGAAAAAGGGGAAAAAAAAAGAAAAACACAAATGGAAGAGGGAAAATTGAATAAAACAAGTGAAATAGTATAGTAAATAAAAAAAAACACCTAAAAAAAAGAGTCTTCTCCTAGTCGGCAAACTTTCGTCCCACCCAGCTGGCAGCGCTGCGCCCGCCCCTCATCTCCTCAGTCACAGTAGCAGCAGCAGCAGCAAGCAGCAGGACCTGCTGCTGGTACTGGTACTGGTTGTGCTGCTGGTACTGGTTGTGCTGCTGGTGCTGGTGCTGGTGCCGGTGCTTGTGTGCTGATTATTCATTATTATTATTTCGTTTGTTCGTCTAACGATTCTGCTTCTCCCGTCCCTGGTCTGCCCTAGCAGTAGTACGTCGTAGTCATTCTTCCTCGTTTCCCTTCCCTTCCCTTCCCTTTCTCCCCTCCATCCTGAAGAATACTCTTTCTTCTACCCCTCCTCGCTTTCCTCTCTTCTTCCCTCCCGTTATATCCCCCTCTCCTTCAGTCCTCCCACCGTTCCCTTGTTCTTATCGGAAAAGACGGAGTTAGTTTGCGGATAGTTCTGTAACTCTTCTTTGTGCCTTTCCCTCTCTTTTCTGCTTTCTTCTTATTCTTCTCCACTTCGCCGGAGTTATCTCGATTCTCCAGTTCCTGGTTTCTCGGACGCCCTGGTCTTAACGCATACTTCATATTGCGCCATCCCTACACAACACATCGCTTCTCATCTCCCAAGCAGATCACTAGGTAGCGTTTTGACATTGCCTGGTAAGTTCTTACTATCCTTTTTTTTTTAATCACTCCACCTCGAGTCGTGTGATAATTTTTTGGTTTTTTCCCTGCTTTTTTGCCTTTTCCGGCCGTGTGTGGGAGTTGCCGGCCACTGTCTCGGTCTATCATCCCTTCCTATGCGATCAGACTCATGGGATTCAACCTTTGGAGGCGCCGTTGGTTGAATCGTTGGCCTTTCGGCCCTGGGCTACTATGTCCCCCAATTGCTCTGCAACCGGGTTGTCGACAAAGGCTTTCCATCCTCGCCCGGCACGGTCTGTCGGCGATCATCATGCGCCATACGATCACGCTTCCTCGCCTTGGTCAATTGCACGATGAGTTTGGACGGTCGCTCAACCGCTACTTCTTCTAAATCTACTCATGCGCCTCGGTCCTAATTGTTGAATCTACGACCCGGCTGTTACATGGCTTGTGTGTTGCTGGTCCGCTGAAGGTTTGGGTGGATCGATCGGGACGGTCGCAACCGGAGCGGGCGGACGACTCTGGTAGCATCTTCGACGAACGCGGCCATGATGTGGTGAAAAGGCCTATCTCTGGCCATTCACGCCTTGTCAGCTCAATCCCATTACTCTTCCCGGTTATGATCCATTCACTTGATGGAATATGCATATTTCCGGCTATCCCATTGCGACCACCCGAGGAACCTTGAGTCTTGGCGCCTGACTGGGCTGGGCGGGACCTGCAGTCGAGGCTGAATCCATCTTCACAGCTTGTCCCAACTTTCACCGATACATTCATTCGACCACTTGTCCCAGAACTGCCTTCCTAGCGGACTCCTCGCCTTTCATTCAATCATTCTTTTTACGCCAATATCAAGCTAATGCCTTGTACCTGAGGTGTTGCTCAATTGTCGATCTGGCGCCTTTTTGTTTTTCTTTCATCCTACCCTTTTCTGTGCTTCTTTGTCGTTTCGCTTGATTTGGCCTTGCTTTCCTTCGCACCCAGGCGATCGTCCCTCAGACCTGATATCTCGTGCTAATATCGTCTCTTCCAGGAATTGATAACATTTCTGAATCATTTCCGAGTCTGAACGATCGTACGCTCTTCTTTCCTTGACGACACCAACGAAACCCTATTCGCACGGGCCTCTTTCGGTATAGAAAAGTTTGTTTACTTGGGTTTCTGCTCTTTAACCTGCACTAAGGTATGCGCATCTTCCCATGACCCGGAGTCTTTTCTAGGAAACCTTATTTGCTAACTTGGATACCTTTATCGCAGTTATTATTACGAAAGCCGAATTATTACGTCAACATGTCTTTCCAAAATTTCGAATCCTTCCAGAACCAGCACCCTGCTGCTGACGCTGCCGCGGCCGCTCCTGGTGCTCCTGCTACTGCCGACACCACCATGACCGGACAGGCTGACCCTACCACCGCCCCCTTCCAGGGTCCTGCTCCCGGTGAGCCCACGGCTGCTGCTGTCCCCCAGCAGGCTAACGAGGGAAAGACCACCCTCTGGTACGCTAGACCCATCCTAATATATATCTCTGTCCCAGCCGTCTCTGACCATTACCAGGATGGGTGAACTTGAGCCTTGGATCGACGAGAACTTTGTTCGTAACCTCTGGTTTCAGATGGGTGAGCAGGTCAACGTCAAGATGATCCGCGACAAGTTCTCTGGGTGAGTACACAACAACGCAAACTGCAATCAGAAGGCGATCCTAATGTTGGTAGTAGGAGCAACGCCGGCTACTGCTTCGTCGACTTCGCGTCCCCTGCTGCTGCTGCTAAGGCTCTCTCCCTAAACGGCACCCCTATGCCCAACACCAACCGTTTGTTCAAGCTCAATTGGGCTACTGGTGGTGGTCTTGCCGACCGCAGGTAAGGAACAACTTATCTGCCCTAGGCTCAAGACACCAGCTAACGTTCTTTCGGTAGCCGCGATGACCGTGGCCCCGAGTACTCCATTTTCGTCGGTGACCTTGGTCCTGAGGTCAACGAATACGTCCTCGTGTCCCTCTTCCAAAGCCGCTTCCCGTCCTGCAAGTCCGCCAAGATCATGACCGATCCCATCAGCGGCATGTCCCGTGGTTACGGCTTCGTCCGTTTCTCCGATGAGAACGACCAGCAGCGGGCCCTGAGCGAGATGCAGGGCGTCTACTGTGGCAACCGCCCCATGCGCATTTCCACCGCGACCCCCAAGAACAAGGGCCCCGGTGTTGTCCCTGGTGCCATGGGCATGCCCGGCCCTGCGGGCATGTACCCTCCCATGGGCGCTCCTCCCATGGGCTTCTACGGCGCCCCTCAGCCCATGAACCAGTTCACTGACCCAAACAACACTACCGTCTTCGTTGGTGGTCTTTCTGGCTACGTCACCGAGGATGAACTGCGCTCCTTCTTCCAAGGATTCGGCGAGATCACTTACGTCAAGATCCCCCCTGGAAAGGGCTGCGGCTTCGTTCAGTTCGTCCAGCGTCACGCCGCCGAGATGGCCATCAACCAGATGCAGGGATACCCCATCGGTAACTCGCGCGTGCGTCTGAGCTGGGGTCGCTCCCAGAACAACTCCGGCCCTGCCGGTAGCCCCTACCGCCCTGCTCCTCCCCCGCCTCCCATGTACCCCTCGATGGGCATGCCCCCGGCTCACCAATACGGCGGCTTTGCTCCTATGAAGGTTGGTTCTCCTGTCAACCCACGTCTCGGTCGTCTTGAACATCACTAACCCCCCGGTTTAGTAAAAGAACTTTCCGTTTTAGTTTGAAAGAACCAGCAGGAGTTTTGTCATTTCACGATGGGTCTTTTGTGTTATAAGTCTGCTATTATCTCCGCGAAAGTTACCCTTTATAGCTCTGGATGGGCATCTTCTCCTCTGCTACGTACTTCATATGCGAGCGCTTTCATTTTTAGCCAGATTTGAGCTCTGATTTCATCCCTATTCTACCACGTTTATCTTTCTCTGTTAACCTCTTCCCTTTCCCCCTTACCACCCACCCAATCCATATGTTGCACGTTTCTCAAGTTACCCCATGCCTACCCCATTTACATTCTCATCACGTCTTGTGGCCCTAGGTCTATGTTCTTATGCGTATGACGGCAATCGGAATTGTTGAAATGCGCGTTGGTTCCTCTACTATTCCCTGGGCAGGATTTCTGCGAAAAGTTCATCTGCTGAAGTCCTTTCTCATGAAGCAATCCAATCGAATCATGTTTCGTTCTGAGGATGTTACGTCATGCTTTCTGCTAGACCGGCGGCCTGTACAACATGTTTTCATCGCCTTCTATTTCTCAATTCAGCTTACTATGGAGCACAGTGCTTTCCCGCTCATTCGATGCTTTCCCTTGCTGGTCCCCCTCCCCTCGTCTTGAGTCTGGCGCGTTCCGCGGATATCCTAGTGGCTTTGATTTGCTCGCTCTTCTGTCGCTGCTGGATCCTGTGAGGCGTCACGATCCCAGATTGGACCAGTCCTTGATGTGTCTGTCTCTTCGTTTAATCTGTAGTTAATTGCAGGGGTGATGACCTCTCGCACTCTACGTGTCTTCTCCGGCAATGATGGCGGCATCCTGTTGTGACAAGGTTGGGGCGTTCGTAAGTTGGGTTGTTTCCTTTGTCTGGCCGCGGTGGGCTGCTCCGGCATCTAATATTGGCATGTCATTTTCACGTTGTCTCTTACGGATGATTCCCCCTTCGCTCTACAGTGAGCTGTGTTCCTTTCCGGCCCCTGCCTGTACCTCGGGGCCTCCTTGTCTTCTGTTCACTGTGATCGAGAGCGCGAACTTTCAGTGTCTCGCTCACACCTGCTCGCCGTTCATGTACATGAGACTTGATAGATGCCTAGCAATCTGAATTGGGCGCATGTCGCCAGGTCTACATGTTCAACTCTTTCCCTCTCCAATGCAGTAGCCTGTCTCCCTTGTGGCAGGGTCGCACCTGCCCTCCTTGGGAGGGGGGCGGGCGGGCACCTGAAGGGAATCTGATGTCAATATCTAATCTAATATAATATTCAGGGACGCTCCTCAGGTACCCCCAACCCCCCAAATGAGGTAGGTGCTCCCTTCCGTGGCAGCGACGGCCGGGCGTCGTCGGTAACAGTCAGTCGGCGTGTAGTCCATCTTCTCCTCGCCTCCTGTTGTATCCTTCTCATCGTTGAGGCGATACCTACTCTAGGTTCTTCCCTCCCACGCGGATCAGTTCTCTTTACTCTTAGTATCTTACCACCTCCTGAGGTCCAATTTCTTCCTTTCCTCATTTTATTTCGCAGACGATAGTACTTTGGGAAGCCAGGATGCGGTACGAAGACTGGGACGTGATTCTCTTCCCCGAATCGTCCAAGGTGCCCATACAGGAATTCAAGACCCAATGTTTTGTCACCAAGGATAAAGGTCGGTGCGGCAGCGGATTTGAAGCAAAAAGCGTATCTGCTAACTTGAAGACCTCAGAGTCGCCATATCTACATAGTCCCGGCCTTGTCAGTCCGGCTTCTTGTTCCCTACCACAGAGTAATGTAGGCCAGTTGCCAGTTCTCACTACATTCGTCCCAAGTTTGCGCCAGAATACCCCCTTCCGCGTGTCGGTTCATAGCTGGCAAAAGCCGACGCCGAGCCGGTTGATGGAAAGTCTCTTGCAGCCAGACGACGCGGTGCTTTTCGAGGTGCGGATCTTTATTGATGGGCTGTGTGTATCGTAGGTGATTGCTTGAGCATTCCATTGAAGGCTAGAGGCTAAATTTGTCTTTGTCACCAGTGGCAGCGTTTTTCACCAGAGATCAGGATGGCCTCATGTTATCGGTGGGTAATTGGTCCTCCCTGGCATCAGATGCACTGCTAATCACCCTTTGATTTTCAGATCTGAGTTCTTGTAGGTTGCTCATGAATCTTCACCTTCAAACCTTGCACGAGTCATCACCTAACAGCAAGACTCTCAGACGTCGACAAGAGTGGCAATCAGGATAACCTCCGTTTTCCGCCGTTCCATCAAGAGATTCTGGAGCAGAGACACTGGGATGCAGCCGAGTTGTACGGCAGAATTAGAGTCGTGATCGCCGAGGGCTTCTGTCGGCCGCATCGCTATCCTCCGTTTGAGAGAGTCAAGGAGATCATCGCATTCGCCTTTCAGCACGCCCCTCTGCGTAAGTGGTCAGTTGGTGGACCTTCCTTGTAATTATGCTTACCGAGGGACACTAGAGGTTCTGGAGCATTCAAACATCGCCTGGCCGAATCCTACCATGTGGACACGGGAGCCACGACTCTTCAAATATAACTCAGGCATCGGGCCCAATCTCGCCCCGGAAGATTCTCACGCCCACTCACCTACTAAACAGGGTGCGCAAGGGCGCATGATAGCTTCCAGGAGCCAAATCAGCAGCCAGTCAGGCAATTCATGGGCGTATCGGAATTACCAACGGCCGATGCCCATGCCTCTACCCCAGTGGCAAAGTCAATGCATGCCAGACCCTTTTACCGATCCGATTGCACGTCATCGAGGTGCAAGATCATCTTGCGAGGATGTTCCCATGCCTGATTATGTCTCAAGCTCCGGTAGTAGTCGTGCTATCTCCAGCATGACGGGCATTAGCTATGAACACAGCAAACACCCCAGCATTGTAACCCCCGTGGATGACGAGTCATACCGACAACTGATTGAAGCTCTGAGTCCGCCAAAGCCGCTGACCCTGTTTGGCATATCTGCACCAACTAATACCCCTTCAACCACTTTACCTATGGGTACCAAGCTTTCCGCAGCTGCTGAAGCGCGTTCTGCGCCTTACACCAAAGGCAGCAGCAGAACATCGGTTTTGAAGGACATTTCACTGCCTGGAACCAGAGAGGTATCTGGGTCCAGCGCTAAATCTACCGTTACTTCCGAGACAACGACTGAGGGAGCGACCACTAGCAAGATTCAGGCCAGCCCTAGCGCACATGTCAGGAGCAGAAAGGAGGGTATATCTCAAGCGAATAAGGACAACGAATGTTCGGGAGATTCACCGCTCAAAGAGAGCGAAAAGGCTCTTCAGACGCCCTCAAGACCGGTCGTGTGTACGAGCATGAACACGGAAACACCAACTAGGTCGGACGGAAAGTTGTCTACAAGCTCTGTTCGTGGGGAGAGCTCCCCCATTTCCTAGGGTGAAACAGTGCGGCCCTTCCCACCCCAGGTTTTGTCCATGGCAGGATATCATGTCCGTCAAGCTGGAGTCAATGACTTCCACGATGCTGAATCCTAGCTTGCAGGTTCGGGATCGAAGTCATAGAGATCGATTGAAGCATTCTTATGTTATTCAGATAGACGTCTACTTCTCCCCGGTGCAATCTTTCTTGCGCCCTCTGCCAAAGTTTCTTTTGTTGCTTTATTGATCTTGACTGATGTGTCCTCTACGGGGACACACAGATTCTGAGGCTTCAATCATGAGCAGTTGAGCTATCGACTCTCGTTACCCTTATATATCATTCCTATTAAATACGGTAGTCTCTGGGCGGAGACATGTGGACATGTTGATGAGCCATGTTTGCCAGGCCAGACCATTGTGTCATAGCATTCAATGTGATTACAGCAACACGGGGGTGGTGGGGGAAGTTGTTTTTATGGCTATTAGAATCCACGGACCCATTCACGCCCACTTGCCCACTTGCCTGCTTCTTCATGCATTGAATGAGTGAATGTAAACCATGCAACCATCGGGACTGCCAAGGGGGCCCGCTCATTTCTTGCCTCGTCCCTTCCTTGTTCCAACTTCTTCCCTTCTTCCTCCTCCTCCTCCTCCTCCTCCCCGCTCCCTCCTAACAACTCCTGCCCTCTCTCATCTCCCACCCCTCCCCCCTCTTGGTTTCGGCCCAACGACTCCAACATGGATGAAGAGGACGATCAAAAACTGGTGTTCGGCTGGAGTTCCTCCTTCCTGTCCCCGCAGCTTTGGCAGTCCTATTCAGTGAGTCCATCTAGCAGTCACGCGATGGCAATTCTCTAACTCCATGACATAGGTACCTCCCCCTGTACCTAACAACAATCCCAGTATCAAAGTGGAGGATGCGCCAAACGGATTCGCGCGCTGGGCCTATAATCCATCCCCCTACCGGGGCCTGGGTCAAGATGCTCCCTACGCCAACTACATTGCCTCAGGAAGCGGGCTAGGGCAGCCTGCTGCTGAGCACCAGGCGCTCGAATTTGAATGCCCTCTCTTACCCCTAAAGTCAAGACTCGCAGCATTTGAATCGCGGAATTGGAGCAGTTCCAATGTCTTTCTTACTCCTGCTCCGGCGGAAAGCGTTGTACCGGAGAATATCAGAGCACCTAATTCTCCCCCCAGAACGACTTCCAGATCTCAAAAGGTCAGTTTAACCATTGTGTAGATTGAAACTGCATGTTCCTTGGCACTGCTTACACTTGTGATATAGGCGCAAAAGTGTCCTCGGCGCCTTGGCTCCACGAACCTATGCAAATTAAGCGAAGATGAGGTTCTTTTTTGCTACGGTGCCTTGGCGACTCAAGCATTGCTCCTTCCAAGGTTTCAGTTCAACAATAGCAAAGACTCTAGATGGGGAGTTAAGCTTACCATGTATGGTTTTACGATCGCCAGATCGAATGTTTATTCCTCTCAAAAGGCAGCCAAGGCCGATGTTTGCCGGACTGCCCTGAAGAGGCTGCAAGCCGAATACCCCGAGTGGGTTTTACCAGATGAAGAGCAAGGCGGCCCAGTTACTTCTGGTTGGGACTGGATTGAACTGTTACGAGGTAAGAGGATTGTTTCATCTTATATCTACCGATACTAACGAAGCGATGGCAGAGTACTGTGTCCAAAACGGAATTTCTGGACCAGCATACACCAAGTTCTTACCCGAAAGAGGGAATGTGTATTGCCATGGAGTAAAGGTCCAGCATGCAACCTACACTGGGCCGATGGATCATTACGCAAGTGACTATGTTTCCCGAAATACAAGTGCCTATAAGGCTTTACAAACACTCTTGATTCACGGATCTGGCGAGGTCTGCAATTTTCCCGGCCCCTTCACACTGAAAAGACATGACGAGAGACTTCTCGCCGATGTTCCGAGATTGTCTGGGTTCGTGAACCATGACATGGACAGCAGACCTCCTGTTGCGTTGAAACCACGAACAGAGCCCGAGAATGTTGGCTCAAAACCACTTGAGCGAAGCAAGAAGAGAAAGCTTGATGGCGACGCTCCCGGAAACTCGAATTTGTTGCCACTTACGAACTGCAGGCTATCATCAGTCGATGTGTGTGTTCAAGAAGAGGTGAAGCGATGGAAATTAACACCCAGAGAGCTTGCCACTCAGATTGGGGCCATGAAATCATATGTCGACAAGCTCACAAGTAATGCTGACTCCCTTGCTCTCTCTGCCGTCCTATACTAATCATAAGTGCATGGCGCTCCCCGTCGGTGGGAAGGCCATGCACTTTTGCGTATAATAGAGATCTGCGAGTTATTGGAATTAGAACATCCCGAGCTTCGGGTTGAGCGTATTGATGGACGACTTGTTGAGACATACGGAGACTACACCGCGGGGGCATACTTTAAAAACGACCCCTTTCTCACCCGCGCTGGTGCTATTGGCCATATCAGCAGTATGCAAGGCACCAGGCTCGCTGTTGAGGAATCATGCGCGCAGAAAGTGGTCGATTACCTGACGACGATGGTCCAAGAAGACTACAATATGGAAAAAGCTGCGGCGGAAGGACGCCGGCTGATTGAGCAATGGGGTAAAGGCAACAGGCGGGCTGCTATAGAATGAATCCGTTGAGAATATGAGCAGTCCTTACATGGCCCGACATGATCTGGTGCGCGATCCTTGATGACGTGTCTCGATCATGTCTGTCTGTAGGGCCTGCTTGGTTTCATTGGTGCTGATCTGTCTCTCGACAGATATTCTCCTTGTCTAGCAGCCTTGCGCTGTTGTCCTTCAAACCCTTACAATACGTGAACTGAGGATCGGTCACAGGAGGATATTGGCGGCATGGCATACTTTTGCTTATTCTTAATGTGGTGAAAACCTGGAATGGGCTTTTGCCCGGCCTCGACTGCCATATACCGTTTGAGGGTTTCAGGTATTGAGGAATGAATAGTTGGCGCATGCTTCGATACATGATGCGTATGCTGTGCATATTCACGAGGGTTGTGAGCCAATACACTCAAGACTACATGTAATGTAGATAACGGATTGATGCCAAACTGTCGGTTATCATTTGACGCCGTTGGGGACAGAGGTAGCTATATATGTTTGAACGAAGACAGCTAGCGGGGTGGCATTGAAACTACTCCAGAGTTACTTTTGCCCCAGTTCCCATACTGATACCAGTAACAACACGTCTTCAGACTGGTTTAGAGGAAAGAGCAGAGGGATGAGAAGGGGATGAGAAATAACCGCAAGAGAAAACGTAGAAGAACAAGGCACATGCGCAAAGGAGCAATTCAATTCAACGGATAAGCAGTAAAGAATAATAGAATCCAAGTAAAACAACAGAGAAGAACGTGAGTATCTTTCTCGACTTCATGAAACCATTCCCAGAGAGGAGTCAATAACGACTAGAGCCTCGATGATTAACGCCACACGACAAGAGGAAAGAACATAGGAAAGAAAGTTAATAGAAAGAAGTAAGGGGAGATGAAGAGCATAAGACGGATGTGTAAAGGTTGACTAGAGTTGGGGAAGGAGAAAAGAAAATGTAGGAAAGGAAAGTTGGCCAGGGACACATGTAGTGTGTTAGTAGTCTCGAGTATTAAATGGAGCATGGCTAACGCTAGGGGGAGAGAAACGCATCACTCGATGGCCCTTTGGTAATTTGGAAGACCGGATTAATCAAGTAAAATAGTGATGGGAAGGAAATAGAAGCAAAGTCACACAAGGTCACTGGAACGTAGCTTGAATACAAGCAGGCAAGCCCATCGGAAGCCGGTTGGTACTTCTGGTTGGCATCATAAAAGAAGGGATATGCAAAAACGGATACACCAACGCCTAGTCACTTGGGCACATATCCAAATCATGTCGACAGAACACAGAAGGATAAGGAGAAGACGCGATGAAAACAGCAAAGAGCACAAGCACAAACTCAAGTTTATGGAAATGTACAGAACAAGGGTATATGAGTTAAGGACTTAACAACCGTCGGACTTCATTTCACAAGCCGTCACCGGCACCGGTCTCAACACCATCAGTTGGATACGATATGTTGGGATCAAATCCAAAGCCAGCAGTGTCCGCATCAGTGTTGAGGAACGTATCGAAGTCGAAGTTCTCGAGGATGTCCGGGTTCTCTAGGGCGCTGAAATCGAGGTTGAAAGCAGATGCCTGCGGAACATGTGAGTACAATATTCGCTGGGCAGAAGGCAAGGAACATACATCGGGGATGCTCAGATCGTTGAAAGGTTGCTGAGTCTGGTCCGGTGGCTGTTGAACAAGCGGCTGCGGTGCGGGAGCAGACGTCGGCTGCGGCGGAGCACTGGTCGTAGCATTTGTACCGGCCTTGTTGAACGAGTTTGGATGTTGGGGGGTGATCGGAGTGGAAGGTGTTGGGGTTGGGGGGTGCTCGGCTTCAGAAGACGGCGTGGCAGCCGTGTTCGCCTGGGCGGCGGCATTGGCAGCAGCAGAACCCTTCTTCGGTCGCTAGACATGCGTTTAATATGAGACGAGGAAGAGGGCGGGAGAATAACATACCTTCCGACTATCCTTTTGATCCTTCTTCTTCGGGGCAGGCTTGTTGGCCTGCTGCGGCGTCGGCGGGGCAGCGGTCTGGGGCGATGGAGGCTGGGTCCGACCAACGTTGGCACCCGGCGCCGGTGGAGCCTGGGGCGGCGGCATGGCGTTCCTCTCTTGAGGTGTCCCCGTGGACTGAGGCTGGGCCACGGGAGATGGTTGCGGTGCCATCGGCTGGCCCTGAACGCCTTGCTGTGGCTGCCAGCCTCCGTTGGGCATCCGATTGGCAGCACCCGCCGTGATCGGTTGACCCATCTGGGGGCCGGTGAACGCAGGGTTGGAGCTCGGAGGTCGCATTCCGTTGGGACCCGCCATACCCTCAGCCATGTTCTTCACGAAGAACTGCGGTCCTCCCATCTCAGGGGGCATTTGGGCCCCAGGGAAGTTCAAAGGGGATCCGCGGCCCTGGGCCATCGCGTCGGCAGCGCTCGGGGAGCCGGGGAGGCCGGTCTGGGGCATCTTCGGGGTACCCCGCTTCATTTGGTCGTTGGGATTCGGCGATGTGCCCGCCCTGCTGCCTTGGGGCGAGGTGCCTGGTGGCAAACCCTGCTGCTGCCCGGGCATTGGGGGCTGGCCGTCAGGCCGGGCCATGCTATCCTGCTCTTGACGAGCCATCATCAAACGTCGCTTATTCTGCTGTTCGAGCAGCATAAGTTGCATCTGATAATCTTGGAGAGCGTGGTTACCGTGCTGACCGCCAGGTGTCTGCATCCCCGTCCGAACCTGGGCCATTTGACCATTGCCATAGTAGTCGCCGTTGATGGGATAGACCTGGCCATCTGGCATGGGCACCATATCCGTCTGGGTCGGCATGACACCGGGATTCATCATACCATTCGGCATGCCCTGGTTTGTCAATGCTGAGCGTGTGTGATGAATGGCCAAGTTCTGAGCATATACCTGCATCTGTTTCGACTGGGCAGTCTGTCCCGACTGCGGAAAAGCCTGGAACGAATTGGGGTTCATCGCCCGATTGAGTCCGTTCTGCATCAAAATCGCTTGTGGGGTCTGCTGGTTTGGTATACCTTGCGGCTGACCGCGTCCGTTGGGTACCAACTGCTGGCCGTTCATAGGACCACCCTCGAGGCGAGGTCGCTTCGACGGAGACGGGGCATTCTCTGCAGAGGACGGCGACTGGGGCCGATGGCCGTTCATGTCCATGTCCGAGTGCTCCCGCTGCATTTGTTGCATCATCTGCACCTGCTGGTTCTTATGCATCTGAGCGAGTTGCTGTTGCGACCTGGAAATCTGGTCAGCATCACCATCAATCACTCTAACGCAAAGGGGCCTAGAAGAAAGGGGGCGTACAGGCCAGATGTATTGTTCTGCAGAACAGTCTTCTGGAGATTGGGGGCAACCATGTTGCTCCGGCGCATATTCATCTGTGCCATCTGTCCAGGTATCAGTGGCTGTTGCCGTAATAGTTGATTGTGCTGTTGTTCCCTGAGGCGCATTATATTCTACAAAGCCTCAGTCAGATGGTCGGATAGGCTGCAAATATCGAAGAGTACGTACCTGGGTGTGTTGCAGATATTGCCTTACGTCCGCACTGTTCCCTTTCTTGCGCTGGGCCCAAAAGAAATCCCAGAAGAGGCTGAACCAGTCAAGGAGGAATGATGACTGTTGTCCCTCACTAGGAAGGTTTGGGCGGGGGAGGTCATCGGGGATCTTCAATTTATCGCCATCCTTTCCATCCGTCATCATTGTATCGCCGTCGACACCATTCACGTCGGCGTCGCGACGGTGACCCGGACTTGTCTTGATAGACGGCTCAGTATTGAGTTTGATAGAATCATCCTTCACAAGCGCCCTAGCACACTCATGGTAACCGCGCTTCAGAAAGTAATCGTATATATAAGTGTTGAGGTTGTTTATCATGTTTTCAGGAATGTTGTTGATATTTGGGTCATTACGGGGGGCCGCTGAACCATTGTTGATCATTGGGACACCTCCCACGGGGCCCCCTGCACCGGGATTCATGCCAGCCACATTCATCTGATTCATGGTGGCACTCAAAAGGGCTCAGCCACCCTCACCTGGTTATTGTCCTCGATGGGAAAGCGTCGGGGTCTGAGAGGGTTCAACGCGCATCCACCGTCTTGCGGCGAGGGAGCTCACCACAAAGGATACGAGGCGCGCGTAGCAATCAGGTCCCAAGACAAGGTGAGGAGGAAATGTGCAAGGCAAGATCACAGACGCTTCCAGCCCGATGTATGACGGCTTCGTATCTAGACCCGAATGCGCGATCGTCAGGAAGTAAGCTTAGTCCGGGGCTAATCTAGGCAAGATTGAGCCCGAGGTATCGATTCAAGCTAAGTGACGTAGAGGGGTGCCTCTGACGGAGAATAAACCAACACAGCAAAATGTGGCGATGATGACTGACGAGGGAAGACGAGTGTGGCCCACTCAGGAGCATACGCAACTGAGGGAAACGAAAGAATCTGCGGTTGCTTCCAGGATGAAGCGATCGAGCACAGACGGTAAGGACTTCTGTCGATCAAGAGGCAGAGGCAGCGAGAATGAGGAAAGGAGAGATATAGAGTGAAAAAATAGAGGCAAGAGTAGTGTACTTGTCTAGGGACCCAGCCGACCGAAAATGCGCGGTAAGATCAACCGGGGGGGCAGGGCGGCGAACAAGCGACACAGGATGGCAGGACGGGAACGAGGTATAGGAGAGAGACCAGGCCAGAGGAAACCCGACGGGTACCAGTCAGAAGCCAAGGAAATAGAGAACTTCACAAGATACACAAGTATCCCCAGAGCCCCTGCAGAAAAAGGAAAGGGGAAGAGACGGAGAGATCCGGCAGATTTGAGGGTAGGTGGAGGGGGAGGGAGGAGAGGCAAAGGTCAGGACAAGGTGTAGCGGTGGATCTGAGGTGTTCTCTGGTGGGTGGGAGGACGTGGATATCAGGCGCGGTGCCTGGAGTTGCTCAATCACTGCCGGCCGGGCGTGAATCGCTTGTTCGGCGCGGATTATCCTGCCCGGAACGCCGTGAGAGGGCTGGGAGATGCGGCTGGCTCGCGTATATCTCAGCATGCAGTTCCAGAGCACGGAACGAGTTCAGAAGGGAAACAGAGGGAAAGCCGGAAAGAAAAAATAAAATAAAATAAAATACAAGAAACGATGCTGGTGAGATAGAGGAAGAGAAACAAGAAACTCACCACAATGAATTAAACTGCAAAGCACAGGAGACACATACAGATGTTTGTGGACAAAATACACAACCGGATAATCACCTCGGAATCAGAAACAGAAGAGGCTGGTTACAAGTTATACAAGATATCGCCTGGAGTCCGAAGAACACGCGCCGAATGATCCACCCGATCTGGTGTTATGTATATAGAGTGTATCTGATACAGCGGAAGCACCCTGACATTCACAAAGAACCTCACACAACACAATGGAAAAAGCGGGTTGATTGGGGCTCTAGGGCTGAAAGCACATAGCAAGAATATACAATAGCCGCCGATGCAGGCAAATCTTGTTTTGAAGACCGGGGCCGTGTTGGGATCGGAAAAGGAAAGACAACACCGGAGGGTTAAGGAATGAAGAGTAATCGAAGACCCTGTAATCGGCCTCCATGGACGGCGGTGGTGACAGTTGAAGCTGTCTTCTGGATCGCAAGCTCGCCACTGCGTACATCCTGGCACACCCTGGGAATGATGGGATGCCCGGCCGCCAGTTCCGGTCTAGCGTATCACGTGGTACCTCTCCCGCCGGGTGAGGATTTCCTGCGCCGATCTGCCCATCCTGCCGTTCCCCGGACTATCTATCCATGTGTATGTCAGATGTATCGATGTGGGATGGACATCATACGAGATGGATATCTACTACTGTCCCGAGTGGGCTCCTTGATTGCCCCCCTCCCCTGAGTTCCTACTTCTGAATCTTGTCTGACGAGATCACAACTGGCTGTCGACGTAGCTAAATCAGCACGATCGGCCCAGATCGTGGTGTATCAGTCAGTATGGAGTACACAACAGAACCGTCTCCGATCTGTGGTGACGAGGAGCTGTCCATAGTTCGTACACTCCAGACAGCTGGTTCACAGTTATGATGTAATCTATATAGCCTTAGTCTCACTTGATAGAATCGTCTATCATATCCATGTAATAGATCCTCCCGCGGTTCTGCACAGTAAGCCTGAGAACCGGAATTGCAAGCTTCTACCGCCTCCGTGGTGTATCAATGCGCCTGTCATCCTAGCACCCGTGTAGATCGCCATGCGGGACATTCAACCTTTAATGATTCATTGTGATGAACTGCATTGACAGGTCATGTTCTCGGCCTAATCTTTCCTGTGTATTTATCGGTGCTGCTTACGCAAATTCTTATATTGTCCAAGTGTGAGGAGCTTGCGACAATAGCATTGTGTCTTTTATTGTTGATCCTGCAACGATCTTCTACTGCAACATGATTCGGTTAGTGCAAAGAACATAGATCAATGAACAGGTGCAAGGCATTCAACATTGATCGTTAATCATAAACAAAGGTGGCATCCATCGGTAACTGCAGCTCCAGATCAGCGGATAAACCCCTCAAAACACCAGACGCCTCGACTTGCATGTAATCAGCCCGGTCCAGCCCTACTCCTCATCGGGTGGCATTTCATCCTCAATGTATCTCACAAGTGACACCCGCATCTCCGTCGTATCATCGCCTCGCAACACATCGCTCACAAAATGCGCCTCAATCTGCATTTGCACCTGCCCACATAATTAGCACATCCATGCATAATGAATGCATAACAGGAAAGAGATATAAGGTCTCTGCCGCATGTCAACTTACCATTTCCAGTGCGCCCCGCAGAACTCCGCAGAGGATATTGGAGAACCACAGCTCATCTTGTGCCCGTCCGTCATCCGGCAGCTCAACGAAGTCCGCCAAAGGGTTTTCGTCAAATATCAGGGAGAATTGGTTATTATCGCTCGTCCAATTGGTTACGGTGGGGGTGATGTTGAGGAAGATTCTGAATCCAACCTGGTGGAATAGTGCTCGTCAGCCTACGGCAGTCCATGATATTTCAACCAATTCTTCTGCCTGTTGACTATAACACACCTTTGAAATCATATCCGCCGTTTCCCGAAAATTCGCACATCGCCCCACGTTGGACTTGGCCAGAAAGTCCTCAATCAGTCGCATTCCGATGTTGTAACCCATCTTCTCCAGTTGTTTATTCACTTCTTGATAGTTCCCGTCGTAGTCCTGGCAAAGCTGCGCGACAATGGTGCCGTATGTTAATGTCACCAACTCGGCGTTCACTTTGTCGACTCTAGTTCTATGAGTGCCGGAGATGTATTAGCTCTCTATCGGTCTCACACTGGCTCTGCTTATCACTTTCGAAAACAGCGTTCAAGGTGCCAGCCCAGAGCATGCAGCTTACTGACTTCCACAGCCTACCAAATTAGGTAATTAGTGAGAGGGCTGATCAAGTGGAACAAGTGAACAACTTACTCTTCCCCAATCCTAGATGCTTTCGTTGCAGATGACATGACTGCTATTTTCAAGCTCGTCAGGTTCGGCGTCAGGAACACAGAAATTGCAGGTCGGATCGAGTATGAAAGAGAGTGTTGAGATAGTCGACTGCAACAATGACAATGCACACTTCTCCCCGCTTGAATGCTTGAATCGGTGGACCGAGGACGGAGGCGGAGCTTCACGCGCCTGGTGGACCAGCGCCGAGCGCCTACCGCGCTAACCCGCGCTTACGCAGAAACATTCTTGGACGCAAGACTTGGTCTGGGTCGGCGCCTTAAGCCAGAATTCCCCGGCTAGGCTCAATTGCATTCTTATATTTCGCCGCCATCAACACCTGGTTCTACACACTTGTTGGCTGATCTAGCTAGTAGAACATCTTCGCAACTATGTCGGGAGAAAAGCGACCTGCACAAGAAGCCTTTGGCTCATCTAATCAGCTTGTCGTCAAGCGAAAGAAGTCCGACGCCGGTCTCAATGATAGTACAGCCATCGTCCAAAGCTCGTCGCAGAATGGAGCTCTGATACAAGCAGTGTGTTTCTCTTGGGATGCTTTATGAGAGGGATGCCCTCAATGTTTCATCGTTGACCTTGGTTATAGGTTCCCCGCACCAGCGGGCTCCAAGCACCGATCATGGAAATGACAGGTGAGGTGGACCGTCGTGGTGGCACGTATCATAAGCTGACATGACATGAATTACTAGGACATTCTGGTGAAGTCTTTGCTGTACGATTTGACCCCACGGCACAGCACATTGCTTCGGGTTCCATGGATAGATCTATCTGTATGTGGTTCATCTAGCTCTAAATGGCCAGGCGATGCGGGCTAATCACGGAACTCGCAACAGTGCTTTGGAACACCTATGGGCAGTGCGAGAATTACGGTGCGCTATCAGGCCACCGAGGGGCAGTTCTCGACCTCCAATGGTCGCGCGACTCGAGGACGATATTTTCCGCATCGGCCGACATGACGCTTGCTAGCTGGGACCTAGAGACAGGGCAACGGATTCGTCGGCATATCGGGCACGAGGAGATCATCAACTGCCTCGATATCAGTAAAAGAGGCCAGGAATTGTTGGTTAGCGCGAGTGACGACGGCTGCATAGGAATCTGGGATCCTCGGCAGAAGGATGCTATCCAATATTTGGAGACTGAATTGCCTATCACGGCGGTGGCTCTTTCGGAGGCAGGCAACGAGATCTATAGCGGTGGTATCGATAACGCCATCCATGCTTGGGATTTACGAAAGAAAGGCATTGTCTACTCTATGGCGGGACACACGGAAACTATCACTTCTCTTGAGATTTCACCAGACTCGCAAACCCTTCTTTCCAATTCGCATGACTCGACTGTACGCACATGGGACATCCGGCCGTTTGCACCGACGAATCGACACATCAGGACCTTTGACGGCGCGCCCGTTGGTTTGGAGAAGAACCTCATCCGGGCAAGCTGGGATCCAAGCGGCGAGAAGATAGCGGCAGGTAGCGGGGACAGGAGTGTTGTTGTCTGGAATTCCAAGTCCGGCAAGATTCTATACAAACTTCCCGGGCATAAGGGAACTGTCAATGATGTCCGATTTTCGCCGAACAACGAGCCCATCGGTAGGTTACGCTGGGGACTGATAGACGGTTACATACTAATTTCTGTTCACAGTTGTCTCTGGATCATCCGATCGAACACTCATGCTTGGTGAACTGGGCAAGTGAGAAAAATGCCTGTGCAGTGTACCCAGCCAATGTGGCAACGAGTTAATCCGTCTACCTATTAAGCAGCCTTGGTTTAGTTCGACAAAGCTGCTGAGCTCCCGGGGTTTCCGTGAAGCTCTGACATATGGCGATAGCGAGACATTATTTAGCTAAAATCTTGCTTGGCGGCTGGAATATGTCAACCAAGGATGGCAAGTTAGCCATCGGGAGCAGACCAGGAAGAATGGCCAGCCGCATGACGGGGAGAAGGTTAGCACCCGGATTCGAATACCTCCCGTGAGCGCAGTTTTTCACATCTTTGTGCCTTGCAAGTGTAATAATATACGTCGGAATGATAATGGCTCATACTTGAACGTGTAACCTGGGGATGTCATGGCTCCCACTATAGTAATCAGGTGATGGGCTAGGTATCGGTTGTGGGTTGTGGGTTGTGGGTTATGGCGATTACGATCCGGACTGCTGGCTACGTAGCCTGTCCCGGTAAAGTCTGGCAACTGACAACATGGAAGCACTCGATCAGTGCGAAGTCTATCTATTGGCTACCATGGGAATCCCAAAGGAAATTCGGCTGCGAGGCCGAAACAGGTGGCCTCCTTCAGGCGCGAGGAGTCGTTTATCCTTAATATTAATTAGTGCCATGCGCTATCGTTATCTTTCTCCGCGTTGACAGGAGAGGATGGAGAGAGCAAGGGATGTCCCGTGGGAACTGGGAAGATGCCTCGATGCACAGACCTAATGAAATGAAGTAGATAGTCAGTCTCAAATCGAAGACCCCAAGGTGTAAGATTTCTGGTCACCCAGTTGCGGGTTGTTATCGGACAGCTCGGTCTTGTTGGGGGAGGGGGCTTGTGCCTATACTTAGACGGTGGCCGTCTATATCAGGGCAACGTGGGTCATCCAGGGGTAAATGGTCAGCCCCTACGGCGATGAACGAGTCAACGAGGAGAGACTTGGTGCTTCAGCTGCTAATAATAAATACCTGGGTCCGCAGACTGGATCACGGTGTACGTAGGTACATAGTATGTAGGTAGATAGATACGGGGGTAGTAATGATGTTGACAATATTGTATATATGGACTAACCGATGCCTGCCTGAGGGCCTGTAACCAAACTAAACTTGCCTCGGACCGCTTGTTACCCATTGGGGAACGGAAGTGTCACTCGCAGTCTCGCAGTCTCGCGGTCTCGCAGAACTTACAGCCTCTTCCCTCCCTCCATCTCCCTATCGCCTTCTTCATCGCCATTCTGTGATCATGATCGTTCGTTCTTGCTTGCATTTATATTAGAAGCTCTGTTACTAATCTTCCTTCTTGGTCATTCCTCTTTTTCTTATTCATCCTTATCAGTTGAGTTGACAAGCATTATTGCTTTTTTCCCTGTGATATCTCCAACCCCCCCCCCCAAAGTTCGGTCCGAACTAGTTATCACTCGGGTATAATACTTTTCGCTGGTCTCTTCCCACCATACTGAACATAACTGCCTACTGACCGGCTGGCCTGGTGCTCGCCCTATTCCTTCGCTTGTGTGTGTGTGTCTTCGTGTGCTTTGGACTCGTTCTTCCACAACCGTCAGACCGTCCCATCAATCCTTCTTCTATCTGATTCCCCTTTTGTCGCCATCGCCGTCCTGTGATTTCCATCGCGATCGGGATTCCCGTCTTATGCTGCTCCCCTGGGCCCCCTCCTTCACCCCAGGCCTGCTCTTCATTATGAATGTATAGCGTCCGATTTCATAACCAATTTCCCAATTCGACCACAAAGATCCGGCTTCGCGGGCCATTGTCCGTTTTGCGTCACAGTTTCGATCATTCCAGGCGGTTTTCGTCAAGTTCTGCGTTCCTGCGACGCTTATTCGCGTGTTGTTCAACGAATGCGGAAGTGGGCAGTACTTATCATCGCAGAACATATCGTATTTGAGATCGGAGGGCGCCGTATTGTCGCATATAATACTACAGTCTTCTCGACAGGATCTTGACATTGCGCCTCTTGTCTGTCCCGATGTTATTGTACGACTGTTAGATTGAATGGACATGGAATCGGTTCAGCTGTCTCATTCGGGATCGACGACACATTCCAGCTCGATCCCCGGCATGTTGCCGCCCGATCGCTCTTTGCATGTCAGTTCCAGTGGAGTGATCAGAGATGACCATCTTCGGAGAGCTTCCAATCGTGAGGAGCGATTCATGTCATGGGCAACCGACCATCGTCTCGACCTTGAACAGCGAATCCTTGGGGACCGCGCCGAGCGCCGCGAATCCCGCTTGCCTAGAAGATCGACACCGTCGCATCGTTCTCTGAGAGATGTCGCTGCATCGCACTATGCGCCAAGAGGGCCCTACGTTCCAATTGAGTTGCAGTCTGCAGCAGATGGGGAAGCGCGGTCGCATGCCCGATCAGAACAAGCACCACATGGAGCACACTCCACACCAGACCCTGAAAGCCTCCGATACAGGCGATCGTGTGGGTCTAAGCTGAAGGAGAAAAGGGTGCGGAGGCGGCTCATCACGTTGGTCGTATCGACCGGTTTCCTCATCCTCGTGGTCGCCATTTATCTCGCATTTGCTGCTTCCAGTACGACATTGGGTAGGGAGCTTCAGATCCTTCTCATCTTCATGATATTAATCCTCGGGATTGTTTTCTGTCATTCTCTCACCCGATTCCTTATGGCACTTTTACGACGGCCTGACTCTGATGTTGCTACGAATCGCATACCCAGTAGGGCAGGGCCAGCCGGCTATGCGCAACCAGCACGTCCTATCCATGTTATTCTGGCCGGGGACGAGGACGTTACGGCCGCGAGTCCTAGCGCCGTGCGCGAAAAGGTCACAGCACCCCCTCCGGCATACGGTCTTTGGAGAAGTAGCGTGGTAAGCACCCACACGTGCATTTTATGCACCTTGGTTTGTTAGTTTTTTGAGGGGGGCAATTTTTGCTGACTTCTGCATTCAGAGGCTAAACCCCGACCTGCTATACTGGCAGCGCATCGAAAACAACAATACGCAAATACTCAAAGGTGTTGATAGGCATGCGAGCAACAAGGCCCGGATACCACGACCTCCTAGCTACACATCTGATAACGGCGTCGACTATGTGATAGAAGCGCAACCTCGGTCATTAACGCAATGGCGAATTTCCGAGGAGTCAAGGCGTCAACCGTAGCCCGGTGACTTACTTACCTCCCCTGTCTCGACATTCTGCAGCTGGATGCACCGACACAATGACATCCGCAATCGTTTCATTATCATCAAAATACTTCTTGCCGCGGTCACTGCGATCGCACACAGCTGGAATTCCTTTGCTTGAGATATCCCCCGTGACTTTGCTTCCTTTCTTTTCGCGCCATTCTCATCACCTTCCATACGATGTTTCCTTTCCTCTAGATTATTAGGATGAAGCGGGAGTTACATTGACATGCAAGCACTTGTCTATCTATTCGGCCAGCATTGATTGAGCGCTATTTCATTAGATTAAAGCTTGTTTTCCTGACCCTTTAGAATTCTAAAAAACCCGGGAAGTGAAGGCCCACCGTAAGCAAGCCAGCTGATTCATCAAGAGGCCCCGATTAATAATAATCAGACTCTGAGATGGAATTAAGTGCCAGTGTCCTCCTGTATCTAGTCCGAAAGGGGGGATCGGAACGGCATATCTGGCCGCAAAACCGATTCGCCGCGGGTTGGATACGACCTCACGTGCGGCGCCGCTGCTGCCACCAACAACCCTCCCCTCAAGTCCCCCTTCCCCCCAGGAACCCTTTCCCTGAAGGCAATCTGTTCGCCGACTAGCAGGGGTTCCACATTCAACCGTTCATCAGCGCGCTCCCATGCCATTGATAGCCGTTTCGCTGCTGCGGTAATGCGCTCGGGATGTTGGCACTCGCAGATGTCCGACCTTCGTTCAACATGGTTGATGACCTGGGTCTTGCTTCTGTCGCTGTGGCTTGCCACGGCCCAGGGCATGCGGACCGATCGGGTTAAGGAACTCAGGTGAGTCTTTACAGATCAATAGCCCCATCAGGTTGCTCTGGTAGAAGGCATATCGTCTGATACCTCCGATATCCAGGAGAGAGACAGAGCATATGTTCTACCATGGATTCGAAAACTACATCGAACACGCCTTTCCTGAAGACGAACTTCGTCCGCTATCCTGCCGACCGCTGGTTCGCGACCGAGAAAATCCCGCGCATGCAGAGCTCAACGATGTCCTAGGCAATTATTCCCTGACTCTGATCGACAGTCTATCCTCCCTAGCGATTCTCTCATCAAGTCCCGAGGAAGGCAAGAAAGCTTGGGACTATTTTCAAAATGGGGTGAAGGACTTTGTCACACTATACGGGGATGGTTCCGACGGCCCTGCAGGCCAGGGTCGAAGAGGAAGGGGGTTCGATATGGACAGCAAGGTTCAGGTTTTCGAGACGGTGATTCGAGGACTAGGTAGGCATTGGATCTCGCCCTTGGGTAATATTCAATGTTAATAATCCTTATAGGTGGTCTACTCAGCGCCCATCTTTTCGCTGTCGGCGATCTTCCCATCAGTGGATACAGTCCTCCGGAGATAGAAGCCGACTTTGCCAAAGCTTGGGATAAGTCTTCTTTCCCAGAAGACGGGCATGGAATCCTATGGGATAACGGATTTGTCTACGATGGTCAACTCCTACGACTTGCCGCCGATCTAGCGAATCGTCTTCTTCCGGCTTTCTATACGGACACGGGTCTCCCTTACCCACGAGTCAACCTGAGATACGGGGTGCAACGGCAGCCGTACTATGCAAACTCGCCGCTGAATGCAGCCCCTACATGTGACAACACCAGACCGGAACAGTGCCAGAGGCCTCGTCGTTCCTCGGCCCCGGAGACTACGGAAACCTGCAGCGCCGGTGCGGGCAGCCTAGTCCTGGAGTTTACTGTTCTAAGCAGGCTTACTGGTGATGGCCGATACGAGGAGCTCGCAAAGCGGGCATTTTGGGCGGTTTGGGCAAGGAGGAGTGATATTGGACTGATAGGATCCGGTATTGATGCTGAGTCTGGCAGATGGGTCCATTCATACACTGGGGTGAGTTGTTCCAGAGCACCCCCCAGGCATGGCTAAAGATATGAACGTCTTAGATCGGCGCTGGAATTGACAGCTTTTTCGAATATGCCTTCAAGTCCTACGTCCTGCTCTCTTCGGGGGAACGGCCCCCGGCTAATACCAGCAGTCCATGGCATGTCCTGGACGACCATTTTCTGCCGCTTTCCGAGTATGAACACTCGGCGAATGCCTTTCTCAATGTATGGGAGGAGTCGCATGCCTCAATCAAACGTCACTTGTATCGTGGGGAGGGCCATCAGCACCCACACTTGATTCAGGGAGATATCTTCACTGGGGCGACTCGTGCGTTTTGGATCGACAGTCTCAGCGCCTTCTATCCTGGGCTTCTTACTTTGGCGGGGGAAGTGGACGAAGCCATCGGGATTCATCTCCTGACGACAGCCGTCTGGACGCGGTTCTCAGGCCTCCCTGAACGATGGAACGTTGCCACGGGGGATATTGAGCAGGGCCTTGCCTGGTACGGTGGCCGCCCTGAATTTGTGGAGTCGACATATTACCTCTATCGAGCGACGAAGGACCCTTGGTATCTGCACGTCGGTGAGATGGTACTGCGGGATATCAAAAGGCGGTGCTGGACCCAATGCGGCTGGGCTGGCATTCAAGACGTTCGGAATGGTGAGCTCAATGACCGGATGGAGAGCTTCTTCTTGGGGGAAACCGCCAAATACATGTTCTTACTCTACGATTTTGACCATCCCCTGAACAAGATAGACCAGCCAATTGTCTTCTCTACCGAGGGCCATCCGCTCCTCATACCCAAGAACAGCACGGTGCACCGCAGTGAGCACAAGCAGGTGCCAGTCAACGGGAGAAACACAGAATCGAGATGCCCAACAGCACCTCTGCCTCCCACCTTGGGGGTCTCATCCACCGCTGCTCGCCCGGATGTATTTCACGCCGCGAATCTGGCCCGTCTGCATCTCATGCCGAGTAGAGGCTTGCCGGAAGGTCCTCTTCTGGATTATGCCCAGGACCACCCGAGCGTGTCCGTGTCCGATTTATCTTCGCCTACTAACTACACATTCTTTCCCTGGACGTTGCCTCCCGAATTGGTCCCGTTCAATGCGACAAGCTCGCCCATGACGATCCGCCCTACACTGGACATTTCGTTCCCTGCGCTTCCCGGAATGGTCATAGGGCCTGGGTCTTTGGAACGGGTCCGGGATGGCATCTTCATCAAAGCTATCGGGGGGTTGCGGCTGAGTATGGTCCAGGACGTCCCTGTGCACGGGGAGATGGGGGTCGCGAACGGAGACGAGTTCCGGGTGCAGGTGATCGATAATGTGCCCCTGGGAAAAGACGAGAAGGTATATCTTCTACGGGAGATCACATTTGATGTCCTCGACCCCACTGATCCGAACTTCACCCGCGTTCGCGACACCGCCATGATTGACATCGTCATTGACGTTATCCCAGAGACTATCCGTCGACGAAATGATTCGGATGATGGTCAAGAACCAGCTGCACCACAACATGCAAACGGGGCCATCGCCCACGGCTCCGGTTCCGTCGACGGCAAAGTCGGCAGCTTAGATACGTCTACGTCCAGCATGAAGACCGTCTTGTCGTCGTTAGTGAACACCTTGTCAACCTTACTCCGGGATGAGGTGCAGGGCCAGACGAGCCTTCCACGGAAGAAAGCATCTTCATTGCGACTATTGCTCCCGGCCGCCATCTCCACCGGTCTCGGCTCCGCTCCGCTCCCTGATGTGGAGGACGCGCCAACGGTGTCCATCACAGGCGACCCGTCCAAGCAGCGACTCACCTGGACCAGCATCTACTTCGCCGACAAGCTCTGCGACCAGCGCATCCTGCGTGAAATCGCACAAAGCCACCAGGTTCTCGTCGTCAAGCGTGGTGGATGTAACTTCTCGCAGAAGCTGCGCAACATTGCCGCGTATCCGCCATCACGGTATGCGTTGAAGATGGTCATCGTCGTCTCCTATGACGAAGACCTTGGGGAGCACGCAGGGTCGGACCCAGTGGCGCCTGGCTTGGCTGCTGTCCGCGCAGAACCCTACCTTGCTCGACCCCATCTGGACGAGACGCAGATGACAGCTGGAGGCGTCCCACGGCGCCACCTGCTCAGCGTCGTCATGGTAGGCGGGGGCGAGGAGACGTACGAGCTGCTGCGGCAGGCGACGGCCGTGGGGATCAAACGCCGGTATGCAGTACGATCTCAGGGTGTGCCCATCAACAATCTGTATATTTTGTGATAGTGTACCTAGTATGGAGTGCGTGTCAATCGCCAGCCATGTAATACCAAATCGTAATAACCGGGGCATTGTGGACCAACAATCCATCCCAGCCATAGGCTAAACTCCTCAGTGCCAAACACCTCACATATCGCAAACTGAGCAGGATATGATATCCACGAGCGCGCCACCCGTCGGGCTTGGATCGGCGACGTCCTGTCATCGGGGGCCAGGATATCGCCATCGCTGATTGGTCACGCCACCTCGGATGCGCCTGAGTCAGCAACTCAGCCACTGGGCAGGATGGCGGCGGGGCTGAAAATATTTCCGATTGGATTTCCCCAGGAAATCGGCCGATAAGCCCCAGGGTCGGACCCGCGATAAGAAATTGTGTGATGGACTTCGGAAGCAAACCGGCTTTAAGGTTTGTGTGGTTCCTGATGCTGCTTCTTTAAATACCCGTTTCCTCTTGTCTATTTGTCTTTCTCTTTCGTTTTCTCTTTTCTCTTCTTCTCTTTTACTCTACTCTCCAATCTTCTCTGATCCGTTTCATCTCCTCACACCCACCCTCTTTCATCCAAGACATCTAGATCCAGTCTATTCCACACAAACCCATACAGAGTACAGACAGACAGAAGACAGATAGAAGACAGACAACAATAACATCACCTCTCATCCCATCCCTTCTTCCCAACGAAGAACCAAAATCAAAATGCATCTCCACACTGACATCGACCCCTCCACCATCATCAATATCTCTGCCGCATCAACCACAACAATCACCAAACCAACCACATCAACAACAAGAACAACCACCACAACCACTCTCACAGCCCCTACTTCTATCCCAAAACAGCAAAACCCCTTCTACTTTGCTTACGGCTCCAACCTCTCCCCCACGCAAATGGCCGCCCGCTGCACCGTCCACCCCGACACCTCCATCCCGCTCGCCATCGCTCGCCTCCCCAAATGGCGCTGGCTGATCCACCAAAGAGGGTACGCGAACGTACTTCCTCCCCATGAACTGCGCATTGGGGGACAACTCCACCCCGATGCGGAGCAGGTCCCTGTCGCTGGCGAGGGAGATGCCGTGTACGGTGTACTGTATGATATGGGGAAGGAGGATGAACGCATTCTGGATGGGTATGAGGGAGTGGATTGGGATGCTCCGGTTGCTGAGGGTAAAGGGGGGCTGGGCTTGGACGTGAGGCCGAGGGAGCAGGGACGGGGATGTTACAATAAATGGGTGGTTGAGGCAGAGGTGGTTAGCTGGATTGGCGCCGGGGATGGGAGGGAGAAGAGGGAGACTGTGCCAGTGTTGGTGTATGTGGACGAGAGGAGGGTGAGGATGGGACCGCCCAAGGCGGAGTACATCCCTCGGATGAATCGTGCGATTCGGGAGTCGGTGGACTTGGGGTTGCCGGCGCGGTGGGCGGAGGAGGTTATGAGGCCGTCGATTCCGTCGATGTGATTTGATCAGAGTGCTGCAGATAATGGCTTACTGTATAAATCGTGCTACGGCTGCTTATAGAGACATGGCGTATATTACATGTATCTCATTGATATTTCATAGTCTATGCAAAATGTCCAATCATGTGCACGCCTCACATCGACTCAGTGATAAAGTCAAGTATTCCAACTTTTGCCCGAGAAAGAACCATCAAGTCCATTTCGGAGCCGTTTCCGGCGGTAGGCCAATTGCTTTTCTTCACCTCCGTGTCAACCATCCGTCCGTGCGAGTCGATCCGGGGCGACCTATCACTCCACATCAGACACAAGTCGGTCGGGTCGCCGCCACAGCACTATATCAGACACTGTGGTACGACCGACAGCTTCCCAGTCGATGGTTGTGAGAGAGTGTTTTTTTTCTGTTTTTGTGCGTGCGCGAAACCAGACCACCAAACAGGTAGGAAATTATTAGTGCATCTCATAGGGTCATTAAGCCTTGTCCTCCTGGCCAGTGAGGAGAGTGTAAACGGGGGCAGGCAGCTTGTCCCGTCCATGGAGGAACTCGAGCTCGAGAAGGAAGACGAAGCCCATCAGGTCACCGCCCATGCGCTTGATGAGTTCACCAGCAGCGTATGCCGAACCTCCTGCATCCTAGTTAGCGGAGAAACGTCAGAGTTGGAAAGGAAGCATACCAGTAGCAATGATGTCGTCAATGACGATCACCTTCTGGCCCGGCTTGATCGCATCGGACTGCATCTGGAAGAAGTCGGTTCCATACTCCTTCTCGTAGCCCTGGGTGTCGCAAGGACCGGGGAGCTTGCCCTGCTTGCGGACGGGGACAAAGCCAGCGCCCAAGCGCAGGGCCAAGCTAGGTCCCATCAGGAAGCCACGGGCCTCCAGGCCGACAATCACATCGGGCTTCTGGTTGCCGTTGCTCTCGAGGATGTGCAGCTCCAGGCAGCGGAGTAGGGCTTCATGCAGGGTGTGATCCGCGAAGATCGGAAGGATGTCTTCGAACAAGATGCCCGGGGACGGGAAGTCGGGGAACTGGCGCAGGGCCTCGCGCAACTTTACTTTAAGATTGGCGAGTTCGGCGGTGCGGGCGGGAGAGGAGGAGGACTGTCCGGCGACTTGGGCGGCGGTGGTGGCATGGGGAGGTTGCACGGGGGGAGTAGAAGTTGGTTGAGACATGGTGAAAAGAAGAGAGAGAGAAGAGAGGGAAATAAAAGGGGGAAGAGGGGAAACGGAGGGCTGAACAAACGGGGGGAGGTGAGGGGTGAGGAAGATCGAAAAAGGTAAAAATAGTTGAAATCGGCGTGATAAGCAAGAGAGAGGGGGGAAAAGAAGAAAAAAAAAATTCCAAACGGGGAAATATGTGAGAGGGTAAAAAAAAAAAAAAAGTTGAAGATCTTGTATGCCGTATGGTCCGAAGGGGAGGTAAAGCATCCCTGCCGTATTGTCATATTGGTAAGTTTCCCGTCACCTTCGATGCTCTCTGCCTCATGCCTCCTCCTCGTTCTGTTTGAAAGAGGGGAGACAATAAACATGCATAAACATGTTTTGCCAGTCCTATATTGATTCAAATACTTATTGGTTGTTCCAGTTCATGTCTATGTAGCTTATAAAAGAAAACAGATTGACCGACAAGAACTGCTACTACTTACGTACACAGTAGATAGTAGTAGTACGTAGTAGTACTTGCGTACCATACGAATACGGGCTGCAGGTCAGTATGGTAAGCGGCGGAAAGGCTGCCCCTCATCCGTCGCAAAACTGACAATCAAAAGAGTCGAGAACCTCTGCAGCTTCCAGACTCTCGCTCGCTCGCCCATCAACCCAGCCCATCATCAGCCCATCGGAGGGTGTTGAGCATGAGTCAGGGATGTGATCTTCCGTGGGAAAGGACGGACACCCCTCCTCCGGGCTGAACTATATCGGTACCGTGTAGAGGCACATCGTACGCGGTGCTACTCGAGCGGCCCCTCCAATGGCGCCATGATGCAAGTCACTGATTCCAGGTTATGCACCCCTCGCGCTGCTGCTGAAAACCCGCCGTTCGCTCCCCTCACTGGTCAGGGTGTCTATCTGGCCTTTCCATCATTCCATGGTCTCGCGTGGGGAGACCGGCCAGTGGACAGGTCGACTGGCCTTCCTGCTGGTCCTTCCCTCCGTATCAGCGCGCTGTGACCCCGACTGGATACTTCCATTCCCCTATGCTGCAGCGAGTTTACGGTGTGATTGCGCTGTTTTACCTGTTGGATCCAGCTGGCCCAGGTTGGTTGGTAGTAGTAGATAGGGCACCTACAAGAGCCATGATACTACAGTGCCTGACTGCGTGTGCCGGCCATGTCCATCGGTGGATCAACCACCGCCGGGGATCGTCATGCTGCGCTGGACTGTCCCCATCCTTAAGCCGAGCGACTGTCGAATGTCTACACAGTACTCCGTTATTATTATTATTATGGCCCCTTCCCGAGACGGACAAACATTCGTCAATAAATAACAATAATAACCACGGTCCGATCGACCCCGCTGTTCGCAATCCGATTCTATAAATAAAGTCATAAAGCCGTTCATTACGTCCTCGCCTTGGGGTGACAATGGCAGCAACATCACTCCCCGCCCACCACAGCCACCGCTGGCCTCGAAGTGTCGGCTTCTAGACCCGTCTGCGACTCCAGGTGACACGTGAAACTCTTGGCCCATCCCAGTGGAGGTTTGGGACGATCAAGAACCGGTTGGCCACACCGCCGTGCTCGCTCGCACTAGGTAGGTAGATAGACGATAAGCCCGGCGATTTGCTGGCTGGATGAACGCGCTAGAGGATTCATCCAGGATAGCTAGTCCTACTACGGAGTACGGAGTACTAGGTATCTAGTAGTAATAGTAGTATGAGTTGGCCCGCCAATCCACCCCCCAACGTTGTAGATTACCGGATCGCCGGTTAATTAAGAGCATGGCCGGTGGCTGTTGAACCTGCAGCATCGCCCTCTCGCCAATGGTCGCGCAATTCCCGGTGGTTTCTGAATTCATCCCCGGCCTCTCATCGGCTGCCCTTTAAGCATGTTTCAAACGGGCCCGCTGTTTATCTATCAACACCTACCTTACCCCCCCCCTGCATTGCCTCAATTAGCAGTTACCTGTGCAACAATGCCATCTATATTCCCCTCTATTGTTCTAGACTTCCTTTTGTCTTGAAGGTACTCACATTTGTGACATGCTGTCTTTGGACTGGATGGCTAGACCCGGGTGGCCCACGGTCAGTCGCCTGGGCTTCCTTCTATGCAGCATCAGTTACCGATAGACTTGCCCATATCTTGACTTCGTTGTGAAGGCGACGCCCCTGTGGCTCATGGTTCCCTCTCTACCGAAAATTCTCTATCCGTATCACCCTGCTCGGCCCCCGGCATGCTGCAATCTACGACAAGCCCTGGCCGGCGAAGGTGTGCGAACACAAAGAACGAAGAGCACTCTGGGAACACCTGGTCCTGAGGGCGCCCTGCTTGCGGGCTGGCTGGGGGTTGTATCGTTTCTAATGCTTACCCCCGGTGGTGTACTAGCTTCATTAACTTGCCGTCAAAAATGCCCCAGTGTTCCGGCCTTTCCTAGTCTACCATCTGCTGAGGCTTCGGTTCCCGGAGTGCGACGGTCATCACGGACCATATACCTTGGCCGGGTTGGTACTGAGGAGCTGCCCCTGGCCTTCCGACATGCAGCACTCGGCACTGCCGTTTCAATTGGAGTCTCTTTTAAAGAATACCAGGGTGCAGCCATATTCTGGCCCATTTTGTTGGGTGTGGGGAAGGTATTCAGTTACCAGGTGATACTACTCCGTGCTGTTGAAGCTTGTTTATCCTTGCCTTGCCGGCGGGAGGGGTACAAAGGCTTCGCCAAACCTGCTGTTTTCTACTCCGTACAGGCAAGTGCAATCTTATGACAGGCTAGTGCATTCGGCATGGCCGACTATCTATATAGGGCAGGTGATGGATCTCAAGCAACGGGGTAAATTATCTAGCTGGGTTGGTGCTAATTAGGCGCTTGGGGTCTGGACAATCGATACCACCCAACACGCACGTTCCTTGATTGCCAATCCAGGTACCATCAACTGGGCTCCACCAGGCTCATCCGAGGCGCATATCCGAGGAAACCCGGAGCTCCTGACAATAATGTGTGCGTGTGCGTGTGCATATATAGTGTCGATTGCGAACCTCGAATGGCATCCTGCATCCGCATCTGTTTCCGCGACATTGCCACTGGCCATTTCTTGTCCTGTACAAATCCTCTAAAACCAGACCATGGTGTGGCAGCATTCTTAACGCCTTGATTCAAGGAACTGTGCAGGGAGCCCGTGTGGTGCACCTGCTTTACGATACATTGTAAGCAACCAGTTACGTAGGTGGACGGCAGGCTAGCCACTCTGCAGCCAGCAATGCCGCAGCATCGTGGCGGCGCGTGCATGCTACTAATGCATGCCGCAAACACACCATGTACGCACGGATGGCTCGCCGTCTTCTGGTCAGCCATTCCTGGGCAGCAAGGCCGCGACGGATGGTTCAGTATCAAACCCTACAGCGGGATTGTCGCTTTTTGCGCATCCCCGTGTTCATTTGGCCGGGGGCGGGAAGGCTTCATGCACAGGGTACATCGCCGGGGCTTGGTCAATAATTGTGTGGATGGGACGCCATACCGGCTGTATGCTAGTGCCAATGTGTGTGGATGGCATGGTGAGCATAAAGAGCGGATTCTATATCCTACCGTTTCTATTGATTTGCTACTTTTAGGGTCTGTGGTATTGAACGATGACCCCCCCCCCAAAAAAACAAATGTATTATAAGAAAAGCCGAACGCGGGGGTTGAACCCGCAACCTTGAGATTAAGAGTCTCACGCTCTGCCGATTGAGCTAGCCCGGCTGGTTAATGAATCCCACGGAAAAGTAATGCTAGATGTTCCAGCCCCAACAGTCATCTATACAAATTGAGGTGAATAGGGAAATCAATATATCTTCACACTTCCATAGATGAGCAAATATACCTTGCCTAGCTTCCTACATCTGCGCAGCTCTGTTTGCCTTCAATCACTGTCATACCATGGTATTTAATCCTATCCGATATGTGTCTGCGTCTATTGCTTGGGCCGCTGAGGGGGGTTAGTTGACCAAAGTTGGATATGTATCACTGTGATCACTATCCATTCCCTATGAAATTTGATATACTACTCCAAAACATTTCTTGACCAGCACCATATCACAGCTACAAGACTAATCCGCCCCTTCTACGGATCCGACTTAAGAGTAAAGCTGCAAGCAATCAAAATCCCCTCCAAGCGGGCCAGCCCGCCAGGAAGAGCCGCTGAATGCATGCCTGATGTCACACCACCAGAACACCATCTAATAGTACTCCGGAGATAGACCTGATCGGCCCGACCTTGCAGCGGCTACTGTGTAAAGTCGAGTTACGATTGATGCGTCCACTTTCGACGGCATGTCCAATACTTCCAGGTGATGTTGCTGGCCACCGCAGACAGCCACGCTGTGCCGGCCCATCACGTGCAAGTCGCACGGACCAACTCGCTTAGTTTTCCGCCTATTTAATGCCGCTTGAGGCTATTCTGCCTTTTCCGCTCACTTCTCCCTCGATGTTCTTATTCCGCACTTCTGCTCAGTGCAGAAGTGCTCTGTTAGATCATCACATGTACAGCGATCTACAGTACTGTAACCCTCAGACTTGACCAATGATGTCCCCTGCACCTATCGCTGCAGAAATGCAGCAAGACCAGCGGCTAGAAACTCTGGCCAGAGCTTTCGAAGCTCTTCTGATGACCACTCAACAACTCAACTGCAAGGAGAAAAGCTTGCAGCAACGGCTGGAATATGCCTCTGACGAGGTAACTACGCCCCACCCCCTTTTCGTTGCGTACCCCCCCCCCGTGTCTCAAAGGACGAGAAAAAACGATTAGCTCTAGATCAGGAGTCGCTTTTGCGGCGGTGACGGATAAGTCATGTATTATCTGATGAGACTTGACACATTTACTTTGCTTCATGCCCATGTATACCTGAATGCACATGCTAACGGGTTCTCAGTATCTCAAGCTCGCAGGAAAGCTCCCCGGCGGAGTCGATGGTCATACGAAAGTCGTCGCGGATAAGATCCTTGGTCGCCATCCCGAGTTTGACCACCACAGAATACAAATCATAAAACCCCCGGACGTAGTAAAGGCGCTTGCCGAGTCCGGAAACGTAGGAGATCTCGCCCTTACCGCTATAACGGAAGGGCTGACGTGCTACCAATCCATCATACCTCCACATGAGGTTAGGCCGCTCTCGGATTTCAGCTCGTGTCTTGTCGCGACGAGAGCCGGAGTGCCTGCTCCCCTAGAGAAAGACTTCACTACCAAGGGCACGCAGGGAAGTTTGCGTTGTCCCTTTGCGAAGCATAACAATAAGACCTCTGAAAACGGGGTGTCCAATGGGATTCAAAGTCCTCTAAAGGATCAGAATGGGGATGCGTGTGGACATGCCGAACTAGACCCTATCAAAGCCGAACAAAGTGATAAACGCTCGAGTCGGGCACCTTCGACGCGGTCGTCCGCCACTCGATGCCCAGTTTCTCGATGTCCCATAAGGTATCTAGACCAGCATAGTCCGGAGGAGATAGCCGACTATGTTGAGAGGCACAAGCACGAGATCCCTAGAAGCCATGCTGTCTGCGTTCAACGGTACCAGCGGGACTCGCAGACCATGCGGCAGCTGGATGCAAAGTACGGTAGCCTTATCAATATGATCCAGGGCTTGTCTGCCAAACATCGGGCGTTCCTACCGGAGCAGAGCCAAAGTGGCACGGCAGCCTCGAGCTCTTCTGCCGAGCGAGTGGAGAAATGGGCGCAGGAAGTTGGTCAGAAGTCGGAGCTACATCCAACAATCAAAGAGGAGGAAGAAGAGGAGGAGGCGGCGGCGGCTGCTGGACAGGAGGAAGAAGGAGAAGAGAGAAAGAGTCGGTTTGATCGTCCTCTGCGTGAAGTCCGGGTTGGCGAATCCCCAAGCAGGCCCTGGGGGATTCCTGTCCCGGTGACGCCTCTACCTCCTACTGCATCAGCTCCCGATTCCCCAGTTGTACCTGCTGCGACCCTCGACCCGGCACCAACCAAGCCTCCCAAAGCAGCGGCCGCAGACCTACCCTCGATGGGGCCTCTTGGTGAGACGGCTATGGGCCCCCCCGACACAGCGCCAAAGAAGGGTCGGTGTCCCTTCGGACACGGTGCGCCCTCTGGTGACAAACCAGCACCCAAGATGGAGATGGAGACCATCCCCAAGCATGATCAAGTGGATTCAGCCGACAATCCTGATGAGCAGAACGACGATGAAGCACCCGATACTTCTCCCAGCCCACCGAATCAACCAACGGCCAGTATCGTGTTCAACGGACCGGTGTTTTTTGGGTTTTCAGCAGAGCAGACTGCCGCGTTTATGCAGCAGCTGGGCAAGCTGGGAACGAATGGACTAGCCCAGATGTGACGGACTTAATGACATGATTTGATTCTTCCTGCATATACTTCCCGCATGAGATATCCACCTGCCTGTATACTTTAGCTATCACGATGCCATGACTCTCCGCCCATGATGGTGTTGTCGGACTGTGGTTCCGCGCTGCATCGTTCGTTATTGCTACCCACCAGATACTATCCATCCAGGTCTGTCTATATGTAGTAGTAGCTCACCGGTCGACGACGTTGCCCCACCGATGTCGGGCTGGGCGGGCCTGGATTGGCGACTTTTCCGCGGAAACAGGCGGGCGTCGCAGCCTGCCAGCTTCCCATCCCGCCGCATCTTGCTTGCCCTGCCCCTCCCCCTCATGTCCTCCTCCAGCTCGCGACTCCTTTTCTCCCGTCTTGCCTCCCCTCGTCTCTCTCCGTCCCTTCACTCTCCTCCTTACCACTCTCGTCTCCCCACCCGCATCCCCCATCAATTCGTCACCATGTCCACCGGTCTCGACATCGTCCACACTGCTGGCGCCGCCCAACGTAAGTCCCCTCCCACTTCAATGCCAATTGCATATCCAAGTCCAGCAGAGCGCAAAGAATTCCCCCCCCCCCCCAGCCAGATATCCCAAGAACCCAACCCAAATCAACTTGCATATCAATTATCATGTACCGCTAGCTAACCCGACCAACCCGAACTCTCCAGCCGTCGGCCCCTACGTAAGAACCAACCCCAACCACCACAAGAAGGATCATCCAGACCAATCCTAACCCATCCACGCGCACACACACACAGTCCCAAGCCATCAAAGTCAACGGCCAGATCTTCCTTTCGGGCCAGATTCCCCTCACCAAGGACGGTGTTCTGATCCAGGGCTCCATCACCGAGAAGACTCGCCTCTGCTGCGAGAACATCAAGGCCATTGTTGAGGAGGCTGGTTCCAGCGTCGAGAAGATCTTTAAGGTTACGGTGCGTTAACCCCCTTTCTATCCCTTATGTTATGTGGTTGGCGAGGAGACTGGCAATTGGTCATGGTTGGCTGATGGTTGGTGGTGTCGTGGATAGGTCCTGCTCGCCGATATGGCCGATTTCGATGAGATGAACCAGGAGTACGCCAAGTTCTTTGCTCATAAGCCTTCTCGCTCCTGCTTTGCTGTTAAGCAGCTGCCCAAAGGTGTGCCGGTTGAGATTGAGTGCATTGCTTTGGCCTAAGGGCTGGATATGAATGTTGATAGTTGAATAAACAAGCAATTGCAGAGTATGTCTATATATTATTATGGCACGGATGTCTTCCGTGGCTGGTTGTATACAGGTTACCATGGTAGATATACCCCCTACGATGTCATTGACGGTCATGCTCGTGACGACCCTTTGTATGCATGGCTGCTTGGATTAAACTACAATTATGCTATGTAAAAAAAAAAAGAAAAGAAAAATAGTCGACAGCTTCCCAAACAACGTCCACCCTGTAGGCGCAGTGCTCCCTGAATTGCAAACTAGATTTGGGAATCATCACGTCCATATCAAAGAAGCCAAACGATGTTGCATCATGCTGAAACGCAGAGTGAAACACAGTGTGAAAGTTAACAACAACATAACAAAAGACCGCGAATGTCGGCCCAGTCCCTCCGAACCTTCATCGCCGGCCCAGGGTCCCAGTCATCCTGCCCCCCGCCCCCGCCATCAGGCTCTGTTTCACAATGGCATCTGCCGCCGCTGCCGCCGCCAGTCGCTCCTTTTGCCGACTGCGGTCGCGCAGATAGCCTGCGGCTTCTGGACGCATACGTAGAATTCGGAGGATCATGTCGTCGTTCGGCTCAGCCTGAGCCTCCCGCCATTTCTCCTCCTTCATCTTCTTCATCGTGCCAAGGTTCCGCGAGAGCATGATGCTCTTGGCCCGACGTGCGCTGGGGAGGCCCAGGACGCTGCCGGTCCCCGCGGCACCGAGGTGTGGTGGAGCAGAGATCCGGTTCTTGTTGGCCTGCTGGCGAGAGATCGTCGCAGAGGCCATCCGCTCAGAGGTGCGGATCAAAGTCTCGGTGGGCTCGAAATAGAAGAAGTTCAGGGTCTGAATCTCATGGTATTTGGGCGATTTCAAGATATCAATTGAAACGCCATTGGCTTCGCCAGTTTCTTCGTCAACGGCGTGGAAGAAGTTCAACAGAAGCACCAGCCAGCGCGAGACAACATCCACCTCTTGCATTGTGAGGGGCTTTTGGTGGGAGGGTTTGTCGGACAATGGGGGTACCAGCAAACTCTCGATGGTAGCAAGCACTTCTTTCCACAGACGTGCCATGACCATTTTCATGGCCTCCGAGGTGAGAGTTTTGTTCATGATCGCAAAGTTATCGTTGAAGTAGTCGAAGAGGGGGGTCAGCGCGTTTTCCACGTCCGCATTGGACGGGGTGGCAGTGGTCGATTGGGCTCGATTCCGGTTCAAGAAATTGGATACGCTGGAAATACTCAGCCCTCGGGATAACAATGATTTCAACGTCCGGCGCGATAGACAATGGCTGATATATGCGGAGAGCTAGAGTTTCCGATGTCAGCAACGGTTCTGAAGACGCCCGAGAGATGATGGCCTATTGCTTACCTTTTCCGTGATCTTGCGAGTCATGTCCCTCTCCGTCCGCTTCAACGTTCGGAACGCTTTGCCGAAGTAGAACTGTATGTCATCGCGTTCCCCTTCCATGCTCACGCGAAGTAGCAGTCGGCCCTGTGTATCCAAATCGAGCCAGTACTCCCTTGGCAGGAAATCGCTGAAATGCACGGGGTCGAGCTTAATAGAAGTCCGACCGACGTAGTCGTGGTCACCGACGGCATCCCAATCCCAGATTGTTGCGATGATATTAACCGGCCCCTGCGTTGTTATGTCGACAGCATCGTCCCACCGCGGGTTGAGGTTGTTGTAGATAATGCGAGTTTTGGCTATGCGCTTCTGGTATTCGTCGGCCAGCACAACGTAGGGGTCGCTTCCACCGTTCATATCGCACGCCTTCAAGTCTTCTGCTTCCACCACCTTGACAGTGAAAACATATGTCGTAGACTTACGGATCTTCTGGAGCTGGGGTTGAGCATGGCTTGCTATCACTTCTGCGCAACCGTCAACATTGATTTCGGTTTCCAACTTGTCTAGCTGAGAAAGGGCATATTCGACGTTATTCAGTTTGACCAGAGACTGGATCCTCGTTAGCCGGGCTGACAGTCTCTAGATGGAAATACATACCTCGGGAAAGAATTGGAACGGCTCGATTTTTTCTTTGCTCGTCCATGCTTCCTTGGCAAATTGCATCAGCCTCTCTTGGGCGGTTTGGTTCATAGCAGCCTCTTGATCGGGAGACAGTCGATCCATCTCCCTAGCGAACATCTGCTCCAAGGATTCACAGTATCTTGCCACGCCGCCCCCTATGGATTTGGACAGGGCGGTCATGAACTTGGCGTACTGGAAATCATCATCCCACTCAAGGGAGATCATCTGCTCGACAACCTGATTGAAGGAGCGAAAAATGTCGATTACAGATACGCTATGTCGGTTTTCCTCCGGAACCGCTTCTTCCGCCATGCCGTCCGCTCGAACACTGAAAGCATCTTGCTTGACTGCCTGTTCAACCCAGTCCGCAACCTTTGCATCAGTCAGGCGGATCCACCGCCACACAAATTCTTCCATCAGACCCTCGACATGGAATGGGAAGGTGACACTGTATTCTTAGTTAGCGCTGACTCCATCGGGCAATCCCCCGGGGGGGGGGCGTACTCAGGAAGGGCTTCGGTGAAGAGACGACGGATGTCCGCCAGCTGTCTATACAGGTCGAATCCATCTTGAATATCGGTCTCCTCACCCCTCACTTTCTCGAGCTCAATAATCCTAATTACCATCTCGTGAGCATCCTCTGAGAATATTGGAAGCACATTGGACAGCAAGATCAAGTAAGGGTTGACTCTGCATTTCAGTCAGCGAGCAGCACATTGAATGGTAGATACGGCGTCTTACCCCATGATCTCAGGATTTTTCCGGTAACGTTTTCTAATTTTCTGTGCAAGTTTAGTGATGGCATCACAAAGTTGGATGATGTGGTCCAGCTCCCAGGACTCCGGCTCGACTGGGATCAGTTGTCCCAAAAGCTCTTGATACTTCTCAGCTGCTTTTTGTGCGAGCCCGTCCTGCACATATGAGCGAAAACGCTCGATATCCTCGAGATCCTCGGTGTAGTTAGGATCCAGTTGAATATGGTTCTCCAGTACATACATTACCGGACCGATGGGACGAGGCTTTCCTTCGTAGCAATCCATCATCACATCGTACAGCTCCCTGAGCAGGGCTTCATGAAGGGAGGATAGTATTTGCTGCATTAACAGAAGGTCATGGATCGTCCACTTCTGCCTGTCATAAAGAACGGAAGCGACAAAGCTACTGCGCCTCTTGCCTTCTGCAGATGAGGACTCTTTCACGAAAGTGAAAGCCGAATCAAGTGTATTGAGATCGATTTCGTTATCCACAAACTTGGACCGGGCAACATCCAGAAACAAGACTATCCTGGAATAGTTGGGGATCCGCCAGCGAAGGCAGACCTCGTTTAGGAACTCCGTCGACTGTTTTGAAAAGAGCTTCATTGACGGTACCTCCGACGTAGCCTGCGTCGCCTCGATCTCGCGGTCTTTCAGGTCATGGCTCAGGGTCCGAGCTAGTATAAACCGATACATAAACCGGGGATCTTGAGGTATGTACGTATATGTATCAGACTCATCCGAAGGCTCAGTACCGTCATCGCCCAAAGACAGTGAACTGAGATCCAGAGACTGATCTATGACATACGACGACGGCCTATCGGAGTTTGTCCTCGAGAGCTCCCCCGCCGGATCCTGGTCACCAGCATTTGGATTGAAATGTGGAAGCGCACCCGGGGTGCTTTTGGCGAGTTCTGGGTTCGACTGTACAATAGCAAGCATCATCTGCGACAAATCAGGGCCCTCATTTTTCTTCCAAAGCTCATATGCTTCCTCACTTTCAAAGTCTTCCTGAGACAATGTTTTCCGAGTCTTGAGGTTTAGATGAGCCTGGTAAGCTTTCAAATCCTGCAGTGCCGATTTTCCGGTCCAGGCCCCTTTATTCTTATCTATGTCTGCCTGTACCTGGCTTAAATTCACGTCAAAGATTCTCGCCACGTGTTGTACAAGTGGCATGTCCTTGACATCGTAACTTAGAGGGGCAACAACTTCCACCGTAGTTGTGCCGTTTGTCTGCACGAGATCCTGATCCTGGGAAAGCAGTTTGTTCTCCAGGACCGACAGACGGTTTGCCAGCTCAGGTCGTTCTTTTGCCCAGTCGTGATCCTTTAAGATAAGCGCGAACAAACGAACGAAAAGTGCCACGTGTCTGTCTACCATAAGCTTCCAGTGATCATCTTCTGGGTCTTTTCCTTTGCTAAGCTCCTTAGTCGCATTCGAGTAGAAGATTAGGACGAGGTCTTCGGCCCGCCGGTCCTTCTCCATGCGCTTCTTAAATGACTGGTCCTTAAGGGTATTGAGAAATGCAGCGAATGTCCTCACGACCAGCGTGTCTTGGTATTCTTTCCGCTTTTCCTTTCCAATCAGGACGCCTGTCAACCTCTTCTCCAGCTCTGCGATGAATCCATGAGGGATGCGGGTACTCTTGGAGTCTCGCACTAGAGAGAAATCGCTCATCAGGTCGTGAAACGAGGTAGAGGCCCTTTTAGGCCTCTGAGGGACGGGCACATTCTGCACACGACGCGAGCGAGGCTGGAGGAGATAAGCTAGGTAGGCTACTCGGAGAGCGTAATTGTAGGCTGTTGAGGAGTTGACGGGGCGTCTGCGGGACCCCGAGAGACTGCGCGAATGGCGGGATTCATTCTGAAGGCTGTTAATCCGTCGGTTAATGCCTCGGGACTGAGTAGATGCCGTCGACATGAGCGGGAAGATGGAAACTCGGGGCTCTATCCAGATCTTGCTGTGTTCGGGGGTGAGAGGGGAGGAGCGGAGGGCGGGACCATGGATGGAGAGGAGTCGCTCGCGATCAAACCACCAGCATCAGCTGGAGGGGGGAGGGAAATACCACGCAAGAAAGAGAGCCTGGGCAAAATCCCTCAATTCTCAGAATCGAGGAGGCGGAGCCAGACTGGGTGGGAAACGCCGCGGGGAATGTTGGCGGCTAAAGGGACGAGCAAGAAAGGGGCAGTGGTCGTTGTTGCGGTGGTGATTCACAGTGGTCCACGGTGGTGGTTGGTGGTCTGCTCTGCGGCACCTGAAACAGAAAAAAGCTCCCGACCCGACTGACGTAGTGGGCGTCTTGCTGCCAGTCGCACCATCGTCAACCCGCCAAACCCCTGGCCCAGAGATGCCAAATATTCGACAGCCGAGGGACAGGCATTCGCGCACTCCCTCTGACATTTCTACCGTGTGCATTCCCGCGCCGTAGGCATGTGGTGGCTACTTTCGTGATCTAGACCGCTTAGTCTACATCCCACGGGCCAACTGGGGAATCGCGTATCCATTACAGAAAAGCAGCCCATTGCAGAGTATCCTCAGATATAGCAGACTCGAGTGTTCTTTTTCCCTGATCACCTTTCCCGGTGGTCTCCTCCCTAATCGCCTGTTTGGACCCTTGGATCATGATTATATGATTCTTCCTCCCCGTATATGGAGTTCGCGCTCGACACTCTAAACACCCCCACCCCACCGTAAGTGTGCATCAGCAAGGGAGATGCCGTAGATATCAGAGCCTGGAAAATACTTCCGCACGCCCGGTCACCAGGACGAGCCCTCTCCACCAGCATCGACTAAAGAACACCGCCATGGGCGCCGAGAGAAATAATTCGTATTGTATTTATGTACACACCATGTAGATCTGCTCACCAGCTGGCCTCAGTGGGCTTACGAGCCTACATCTCCTTTGTTAGCGCATGGGCTGACCGATATTCTATAAGGGGAATCAGGCACGCACCGGAGCAGCACCCGGTCCTCCGAGCTCTTTCTCCAAGCCGTCGGGATAGGTTCTGGGGACGCTGGGCCTGTCAGGGTAGAATAGGCTGACGACGCTGCACACTCCCAGGAAGGTAACAACGAACGCTCCGAGCTGGAAGAGACCCTTGCGAGCTGTGACGTGGGTATATTGTTCGGGGCTGAAGACACCAAGAATCTCGTTCTCCTCGTGGACAGGCTCGCCAAAGTTTCGTCTCTCCTGCTTGTCCCACCAATCGCCATAAGGGTCTCTGAAGGCGCGCTTAACACGGGGCGGGTTCTGGTAGTTGCCGTTCTGCATGACGAGCCCAAGCGGTGTCAATCGTTGGAGGAAGCTAGAAATTGGGGTCCTAGTACACATCCTACCTGCAATGGGTCTTCGGCCTCCGCAGCCGCAAGACTCCGGACCTGGGAGAATGAGGCACGAGGCACGGTGTGCCGGGCGGCCACCTGAGGCAGGCGGCGGGCCAAGATTCGTTGGGCCAGCATCTAGCGATCTAGGTTAGCAATGGGATCGAGGCGGCCGGAAAGAGAGGACTAGCGGGTGGCAGAGCTCGGGTGAACTGACTGTTTGTGCTGTCGAGAATTGGGGGAATGAAGGGAGGTGAAGACAACTAGGGGTGGACCGGAAGGCTCAGACGGACCATGAGATGAAGTGCAAACGGCCGTCTCGATGACGGGATTTGGGGGGCTGTGATTGGTGGAGATCATATATATGCCTCAGGCAAGGATGGTCGCGGGTGCCCTGCCTGAGGTTGGCCGCGTTGCTTACATACTCAGATCCCCCCCCCAGTACTCTCTTCGTCACTCTATGAATGAAAAAACCACCTCTTCACGCAAACTTGCCATCCCTGTGGTTTTCCGTTCACCCGTCACGCCCCCGTGCCGATAACTATGCCAAATTTCTGGTGGCACCTTGACTCACTTACCGCTACCCATTGATGCCATTTTCTTCCCCCTTGACCGCGTCCTCGTTGGGAAAACTGGGGTCAGCTGTGCACAGGGCCCCTGTCTCCGTGGTTACAAGACATGCAAAACGGCAGTCCGAACGGAATCTCCCACCAAGATGAATGCGTGACCCCCAAACCCGAGGCCTTCTCGACCGACCTTCCTTTGCCCAAGCATCCAACCGAGTCGCTGACCGATGATTCGATTCCTTCCGAGCTTAAAGAGAACGAAATCACCCCCGCAACCGATCAGCTCGAAGGTCCTCCCTCCAAGAAGCGGAAGCTTGTCGGTCCTATTTCCTCTCGTCGCTCGACCCCCCGTGCAGCATCACCTCCATGGAAGAAGGCTGGTGTCGATGGGCCAACATCCTTCATCCAGGATGGGAGGCGTAAGTCCTCCCGAGTCAACGCGCTCCCCCTCGATTTGCAGAGTCCATCCGACAAAAGACACACGCGCAAGGCCCAGAATAAGGCCATAGGCAGGAATTCTTCCAGTGCTACGAGGGGAGTCGCTTCCCTGTCGTCGATGTCGCCGTCGCAGCCGGAGTTAAACGCGAGGTCGGTCGGGGGCAGCACCGCAGTCAATGGCTCCCCGAGGACTACAACTATAAGAGGGTCCGCCAGCAGGCGCCGTCGTATCTCTCAGTCACCCGCCCCCAGGCAGCCGAACGCACGAACACGATCCTATAGCTCTGGCACTTGGCGCCGGACCTCGAATATTAGCTCTGTCGGCTCCAATCGACCACATCGTTCCTCTATGAATAACGTCTCGGTGTCAATGGTCGACGCCGATGATGCGGAATATGAGGATGCGGAAGAGGATGAGTTTGGTCAGCGGGGTCCACGGCTGCGGATCAAGGTCAAAAGGCTGCCCATCGGCATTCAGCATCCAGGGCACGTCCTGGCCCCGCGGAAGTACGGCTCGTTCAAGGAATGGTTGGAGAGTGAAGATGGGAGAATACGAGATTCTTCGGTACTCACACCGGCTGGCGCGCTCGAGGAGGCCCTGAAGAGGCGTCGAATAGCAGTAGCAGCTGAATCGGGAGGACTCCTAAGCCCGGAGGTTTGCTCTGCATATCTGCCCGAGCAACAAGAGGAGCCGCCACAGCAGTATTCGCACCAGGACCATCTTGTCGCGCATGCGTTGTACTTCAAGAAGCTCCTCGACCAGGAACATAGGCGTCATCGCAACACGGCCAGACTATTCGCTCAGTGGTGTGCGGACGCGTGGAAGAAGCGTAACAAGGACCCGGAGGATATTCTACGGGAACAGCAGGAGGAGATGCGCGGAAAGCGCAAGCAGCTGGCCAAGGACCTCCAGAAGATGTTCGACCTAGCTCGAGCGGAGGTGGACCAGATGCGTTTAGCACGTTGGGAGGAGGAGCGGAAAGCTGAAGACCAACAGGCTTTGGATCGTGCGATCAAACAATCTACAATGCTTTTCGAGAAGCGCCGCATGGAGATTCTTGGAGAAGGCGGGAGCGACGTGCCCGATTCCAGTGATGGGGAGCAAGAGGATACGGATGAGTTATCGGATGATTCGGAAGATGAAGATAATATGTCATCTACGGACTCAGAGAGTGAAGATGAGGAGAACATGGATGATGACGAAGGCTTGACTGCGGAGGAACTGCGGTTGAAATATGCTAACCTGCCCACCAATAACAATGATTCCGATCGCGAGTCAGTGGCTTCTGATGCCACAGTTTTCTCCGACCGAAGTGATACCTCGGACGTTGATCGTGCCATAGATCGTGCTACCGAGTCCCTGGTTTTGTCAGCAGAGATGCAGCCTGAGCTCGAAGAAGTGGATCCCGTGCTCCTGGACGACAGCGAAGAAGACTCTACTGATATGGACGGCGATATGGACGACAGCGAGGACGAAGAATCCGAAGCCGACTCTGACGCGGAGAGCGATGGGCCTGGATTATTGGGTTTCTTTCCCTCCAATGATATGGCACTGAACTATAGCAGCCAACATAGCGATGCTGATGAGGGCGATGATGGCGTGGACGTGGGCGACGACGCCGATGGCAAATTAACATCAGCTGCAGAGGATGACGACGAGGAACCGGAGGATCCTGATGAGGTCTCCCTCGTGCCCAATGGACCGGCGCGAGAAAAATCAATACCGCATGATCAAACCGAAGTCCTTTCTGCTACTGACCCCGAGCCTGTGTCGGCATCTCTTTCTGCCCCTGACTCACCCGTCAATCCAATCGATGCCAAATCCCAGTCGGTTGTTGAACGTTCCTCGGAGTCAACTCCTGTGCTTACTCCCGCCGAAAATGAGACCCCCGATGTCGAAATGACAGACGTCTTTGACAATGAAGACACAGTTCTGCCTGACGAACACGATGAAATAGTCCAGGATAAGCCCCCTGAGGAGAATGACGATGTCCATCACGATGTCCACCACGAAGCCTACCAAAGCGGCGAACCCTCGAGTGAAGCATCCCCGGGGACACTTGCCACCAAACCATCGGAGCCCGAATCTGTCTCATCGTACGAAAATCCAGAGAAACCCCCGCAGCCGAGTGAATCTCCTGCTCCTGGATTGAAAACGCTGGTACCGCACCTTCTCCGAGGCACTCTGCGGGAGTACCAGCATTTTGGTCTGGATTGGCTTGCTGGACTCTATACAAACCACATTAACGGCATTCTCGCTGATGAAATGGGTCTTGGTAAAACAATACAAACGATAGCATTGTTGGCACACTTGGCCGTGGAGCATGAGGTTTGGGGTCCACACTTGGTCGTCGTGCCCACCAGTGTGATTCTCAACTGGGAGATGGAGTTCAAGAAGTGGTGTCCCGGCTTCAAAATCATGACCTATTATGGAAACCAAGAGGAGCGTCGGCAAAAGCGAAAGGGCTGGATGGATGATACAAGTTGGAATGTCTTGATCACGTCCTACCAACTAGTCCTGCAGGATCAGCAAGTTCTGAAGAGAAGAAGCTGGCATTATATGATCCTTGATGAAGCGCACAACATCAAGAACTTTCGCTCGCAGAGGTGGCAAGCCCTGCTCACGTTCAGAACCCGGGCTCGACTCCTGCTCACCGGCACACCGCTCCAAAACAACCTTACTGAGCTATGGTCGCTACTGTTCTTTCTAATGCCTTCCGATGGCGATGAAGAGGGGATCGAAGGGTTTGCAGATCTGAGGAATTTCTCAGAGTGGTTCCGACGCCCTGTGGAGCAAATTCTAGAGCATGGCAGAGAAACGATGGATGAAGAAGCAAAGCGAGTGGTCACCAAGCTGCACACCGTGCTTCGACCCTACATCTTACGTCGTCTTAAAGCCGATGTGGAGAAGCAGATGCCGGCCAAATATGAGCATGTCGTCTATTGCAGACTCTCGAAGCGTCAGAGATTCCTGTATGATGGCTTCATGTCCCGCGCGCAGACAAAGGAAACCCTTGCGTCTGGAAACTACCTGTCCATCATCAATTGTCTTATGCAATTGAGGAAGGTCTGCAACCATCCGGACCTCTTCGAGACCCGGCCCATCTCTACGTCGTTCGCGATGTCCCGTTCTGTGGCTACGGACTACGAGGTCAAGGACCTTCTCGTTCGCCGGCGATTATTGTATGAGCACCCACTCACCAGGCTCGACCTAGACTTTCTCAACTTGGTACCCATCTCGCGAGAAGATATCTCTCGGCGGTTGGCCGATGACAGTACCAGGCTCATGGCGTACGGCCCCTTCAATACGCTGCGGGAACGCCAGTACCACCGCACCAACTGGCAGATGAGCTTCAATGGCACCACGGTGCAGTCTACCTTGGATGCGCTCGAGAACGAGTCTCGGAAGAGGAGGATGGCAGAGCTAGAGAGATGTCTTTACTTCGAATCCAAGCGTCACGGTCGCCGTCCGGTGTACGGATCAAGTCTCATCGACTTTCTCACGGCAGATAGCAAGCAGCGGCCTACCTCTAACGGGCCCCTGCGAAAGCGCTCCTTGGCCGACTGGCTATCGAGCCGGTCGTCCATCCTCGCGTCGATGATCTTGTCTGTCGAAGAACGTTCTCAGGCCATGGATGGATATGTTCAGAGATTCGCCTGCGTTACCCCTGCCGCGGTGGCGTCTGGGATCACCGAGGCAGCCCTGACTCCCATAGAAACCAGGTACCTTACGAAGAAAGAGCGGTTTCCGTCATATGACCCATTCCATGAGGCACAGATGCGTCTCTCCATCGCATTCCCCGACAAGAGACTGCTGCAGTACGACTGCGGCAAATTACAGAGACTCGATAAGTTGCTTCGCGACCTCAAAGCCGGTGGCCACCGGGCCCTGATCTTCACCCAGATGACCAAGATGCTCGACATCCTGGAACAGTTCCTCAACATCCACGGACATCGATACCTCCGGCTAGACGGTACTACCAAGGTCGAACAGCGTCAGATCCTTACTGATCGCTTCAACAACGACAACCGGATCTTGGCATTCATCCTGTCCAGTCGTTCCGGTGGTCTGGGTATCAACCTGACAGGCGCTGACACGGTCATCTTCTACGATCTAGACTGGAACCCCGCAATGGACAAGCAGTGTCAGGACCGTTGCCACCGTATCGGACAAACACGCGACGTGCATATCTACCGATTTGTCTCGGAGTACACCATTGAATCCAACATCCTCCGCAAGGCCAACCAGAAGCGCATGCTCGACGATGTCGTCATCCAAGAAGGGGAATTCACGACCGACTACTTCACCAAATTAGATGTCCGTGACATGATCGACACCGAAGATGCCCTCGAGAGCCAGGACGAAGCCAGTGCAGCCATGGACCGGGTCCTTGAGAACCGCGTCTCCGGCAGTGCCCGTGTCTTCGAGCAAGCCGAAGACAAAGAAGACATCGACGCAGCCAAGAACGCCCAGAAGGAGTTGGAACATGCAGATGACGGCGACTTCGATGACCGCACCCCTGGCCAAACTCAGGCCGGAACACCGTTGGCGACTGGGCCCACGATCGGGCCCGAGGAAGGGACTACAACAGCGGGTGCAACTCCTGGACCGCAACTGTTGGCCTCGCCGCAGGTACACGCAGCTGACGAGCCCGTGGATGTCGAGTCCCTGCAGCCGGGACACATCGACAACTACCTCCTGCAGTTCATGGAATGGAATATGAAGGACGAACCGCTCGTCCTGCCAGCAGACAAAGGCAAGAAAAAGTCCAAGAAGGGTAAGGAGCATCGTCTCCGCAAGAGACGTCGTTGAAAGATGAGACGAGAAATCCGGACATGAGGGACAGGATGATGGAGTGTGTTAGGCTACGAAAAGGACCAAAGCAACAAGGCAGCACGTCCTATGTAATTCTATTTGCATGGTTATTTCCCTTTCTTTCTTTCTTTCTTTTCTTTTACTTTCTTTGTACCTCCTCCACTTGGGCTCTAGTTGTTCGTTTTCCTATGTGTGCGCACACGCACATACTTCGGATTCCCCCCCCTCTCAAGCCTTGATAGCGCAAGGTGATGAAAAGAACAAGGGATGGTGTTTAGCGGGCGTTAAATTCTCTCTGTTTTCTCCTCTTTGCTTTTTGTATCCGGGAGAGAAAGGGGCCACCCTCCAAAAAGACGAAGAAGGAAGATCTCTCTGTAGATGCTGCTGTTGTATCTTATATTTTACCATTCATATTTCTTATCCTTCAGCCCTACTTTATACTCCAACTTCTTTATCTTCTGGTTCTACACTTGGATGTCGCTCCTGTGTGCCTCCATGGAGGCTTGACATGATTGGATGGGCATGATAGTGCTACTTAAGATCTAGAATATACCTAAGCGGAAGTATGAACCCAGCCCGTCCTGGCTTTACATTACGTGCTTCTGGTCACGATGAACTGTCCCAAACATTGATTTTCAAGTGACCACCCAGTGTTGGCCCAACCGTTTAGAAACCGTCGCGGGCGTTTCCAGTATCGGGGTGGTCTAATATCCACCTTGTTGACTTATTGATTGACGGGCATGTCGCGGTCGATAGCTGTGAGGGATTGTGAAACATGAGGACACCTGTAACACTCCTGCATTTTGCCAGCTACATGGGCTAGACTCGCACAGGAAGGGTCAGCAATTGTCGCCATGTGGCCCGAGACACTGGACCCTGACACGCTTCTGCGGACTGTGTCGCCTCTCTGGGTCCGGACTTAGCTTGCCATCGCCTGTCTTGTCTCGGATGTAGCTTGTCCATCGCCCCTCTGGCCCCGGAGATAGCTTGACCAACGATGAGAGAGCATAGACAGTCCAGAGCTTCGGGGGCAGCATTTGTGGTATCAGGGTGGAGTGCTGGTTTCAAACAGCATATTAATTTGCCGATGGGAGGGTGGAAAAACCTTCAGGAGCGAGCGCCTCGGTTCCAGTTCGATCCCTAAAGGGCTGGTGGAATATACCAGCGAGAAGCAGGAAGGAGAGAGGTCAACCTAAGGTAGTTAGAGTTTAGATCCACATATATTTACCCCGTACCTGAAGTCTATTTCTGAAACCTATGCAATTTACGGCCAATGCGAACGGCTGCTATGTCTGATTAGGCAGGAGACAAGTGGCCCCACGGGCATACTATCTTAGCATGCATACTATATGATGGAAACGGGCTCCATCCCATCCTCGCCGCTCAGTAAGCTAACCCTCTGTGGTCAGTACTGCGAACTGGTGCCCAGAGGGAATAGGCGGTGGAAATGATATGTGTCTCAGCCAAGATGCCTCGAGCATATTCGCCCTGAGATCCGAGATGAATTGGCCGTACCCTCGGCCTAGAGTTCTGCTTTCACCCTCAAAGGTTACATAGAACAAGGATCGTACCACGGAACTGAGACGATCCCGGGAGTAGGAGGGCCACCGCATTGCCGAGCGACTTATCCGTGAAGAAATGCGCGCGCACCCACGTGAACTTTATCGCCAGGAAGCCTCCGATGACGCAGTACGGTGCAATGATCGATTGACCAACTAAGAAGTTCTGATCGACCCAGGATAATCCCGAACCGAGGGATGGAAGCAGTTGGAGTCGTACCAGATGCACGTCCGGCACAACGGCTGTCTCCAACAGACGCCACGAGCTCTTGTCTGATTGAACCCTGGGTGGACGAGGCAGGCAGATTTACACGTCCAACCATTCCCTCACCCCTTCACCTGACCTGCTCCATAACGAGAGATCCCCACTGATCAGCAATCTGGAGATGGGGAAGGCATCGAAGGAGCCAAAATCTGGCTGATTGGCTGCCTGCCTGAGACTGGAGGACCTTGGGTGAATGAGTGGTCGAGGTAAGGCTGCCCACGACTTTGATTTTCCTCGTGGGCATGGACAAACCACGATAATGTCACTTGAGCCACGAAGCCCCAGCGCATTCCCAAAACGGGAAAACGCCCGTTTGGCGATTTTCGGATGAAAGTCTAAATACTCTTCATGACGGAGATGTATACGGATTCGGAGACTTGCGGGGTTTAAGCTGCTACCGCTGTGATCCTCTCCTCATCTTGATGCAGCCTGTTGGCCTGACGGCTTCGCGAGAACCGTTTAGGAAAGAATTGCTCCATGGATATCCGGAGGAATGCTAGCTCCGCCGACAATGATCCTCCAGCCGCATTAGTCTGCGCATGTGTGGGGGGGAACCGTTGGGGTTGAGGGAAGATGGCGACCTGTGATTGCTAGATAGGTAGGTGGGGAAGATTTGAAATTCATAGACCAGCGCTTAACTAATCGAGCTACTACTGTGTATAGCACTATGGATATTGAATTAGGATCGTTAGCAGTAGCGCAGAGTAGGAGGTAGTCTGATGGAGTTGGAAGTGAACGGACTATTCCCTGGTATGATCTGCAAGGCGGGTCTCCGGCTGGGGACAAGAAAATGAAATCCAAGTGTAGGCCCCCATCGGAAGCCCAGACCGAGTCGACGATGCGATGAGGGTGACAGCAGACAGGGCGCAGGGTGTGTGCGCTGCAAGAGGTGAAGGGAGGCCATGTGATTCTCTAGCGGATGATCCTGTTGCCGGCTCATTTCCAGGTACCGCACACCTCACTCACGATCATCACCAGCACCGAACGTGCAGATTCCCCATCGGGAGGGCTGGCCGTGTGGTTGAGACGATGATTTCCCGGGGTTTCTTCGGCGGCCATCACTTCCGATGGCCAGCATCCGATTAATTCAGTGTGAGTGAGTGGTTCACCTCGGCTCTCCGCACAGGGAACATCACGGCCAAAAAAATGTCTGTTATCAACCGGGGTGATAATAATAGAAGAAGTAATCTAGACGTAACACCGATGACAACACGCTGGGATAAGCCCTCGTTGATTGCATGCTCATGGAGGCTGTTTAGGCTCGTCGACAGCCCACGTGCGGATCCGACCGTAGGACACCGGAACGGCCATTGAGAGCCTTCGGATCTTCGCCCTGGAGATGGTGAAACGGTTCTAGCAAAAAGTATCCTGGCAGACGGTCAGGAGCAAGCGACTCCGGTGGCCGTTGAGCCCTTGGGGCTGTCCACAATACTGACCGGCTGGCTCGGAAGGGTCCAACGAATGCAGTATAGCCACCGAAAGGTTAAGGGATCGGGTTCCTTGGGATGGTTTCGGAATCCATGGACCTCGGATCTCTGGAAGAGATTTTTTTTTTTTTTAAGAAAAATTCCCTTTTTCTATTTTCGCCAGTTAGAACGTCGTTACTAAGGTTGTTGCCATCGGCGGGCACGGTCACGATTATCGGGCCGGGGAGAAAGAAAAACGCACCTGCTTGGGTCATAACTGGGGATTAGGAAGAATCGTGCTCCGGTACGGAGTAGTAGCGATTCTCGCTCTCCCCTTTCTTGTTTCTGGGCTGATCAGTCGTAGATTCCTTGACTTGGTCCCTGGAGATCAAAAGCTGGAATCCGATCCCCGCCCTTAGCGTCCTATCCCAAGACTGAGAGAAGTTAAGACCGGGATTAGAGATAAAATAAGAACCAAGCAATCTAACTATAACAGACGGGGTGCTTCACAATTCTCTCTCTCTCACACACACAAACACACGTTCGACTGCGATTAATCTATCCTAGACTCCCCTGTGCTATGTATATCAGGTTTGGCGTACTCACCCTCCACTCCATTGGGGCTGAGCGTAGCGTGGTGTCAGAGCGTTCCAAAGTACGCCATATCTACGGTATCCTCGTCGCAGACGACAGCGAACCTGTCATCCCGGTGGGCGAATCACCGGAGATGCAGGTACACTCTCGCAACGATGGGCGCAGGGCCACATTTCACCCGCCAGCTTTTCAATCCTTGTGGTACTCCATAATCCCTCCAGATTCAAATCCGTGTGGTGCACCCACACTTCCTTGGCCTCCACTCTAGCCAGCCACGGTGACGGAAGTATGAAAATCATCCGTCCGAAGGCACGCTACGCTGCCTGCTTGTCCATCTGTACGAAACTACTAGACTGACCTACCGACGCACGACGGGGAGCTGACGAGATGCAGTAGTTGTCTCTTTTCTTCTTCCCCAAGTTCGGCTATCTCCTATCGCGCGCCCTGAAGACTCCCGAATTAGACACCTGCAGGTTGCAGAAAGACCTGGCGATAGACCAGCCAGACTCAGCAGCAGTCGGGGGTCAGTGCTCGCCCGTCGAGTTTGTCCTTCGCACGAGGGTGGCAACGTGATCAGTCGCTTGCCGGGGATTAATTAAGGACTGTAGCGGGAGGGCTTCGCCCTGTCCCCGAAGCACTACATCGTCTGACAGCCTGGGGTGGTTTGCAGCAAACAATGCATCAGCCAGGCCCAGAAGTGATGTATCAGAAAACCGTAGGGCGCAACCTTATCGGGGATCGATGGCGAAAAAAGCACCGCCGCGGAAATTGAAGGGCGAGGGCGCCAGGAGAAAGCGGAAATGACGGTTGGGTAGGAAAACCCCTCAAATTAGGTAGCAGCTGGTTTTCAGCCGAAGGTTTGCCTTCTCCCGGGGGAGGGGGGGGTTCTCTAATTCTCTGGATTGGACCGGACCGAGAGGTACAATCCGGGCGGGCAAGACTACTATCGAGGGGAGGGGCCTCGGGAAGATCAGTGGCAGAGATCCACCCAACGGAGAGATAGCTCTGGCGCTCTGCCCCCTTTTGCCTCCCAGATCGATTAGAGCCTTAAGAGGTCCTACTAATGGAGATGGAAGGATCCAGGCGACTCCACCGCAAAAGGCAGCCGAATCGGTTTTCATTTTCATTTCTTGAGACCCAGAGAAGGAAAGGGTAAAGGAGGGGGAAGAGGTGACGGTGGTGGTGGTGGTGTCATTGATGTGTGCTGCTTGGAGGGACACCACGATTGCACTCTCCACCATCGAAAACCACTAGGCAGCGTTAGTCCGCACACTATTTCCCCTACGTCTCCAGTCATGCACTGCTAACAGCCTAGCACAGGCACAGGCACTGGTACCCCCCGGTAGATAATAGTATAGTCGTTGATAGCGTGAACCGCGGTAAGATGAACTGGTTGGTGCTGTTTGACCGCGTTTGCCCTTCCAGTGTTAGCGGGATTCCGCTGAGGTCGAGACCCTCAAATTTTCAAATCTGGAAGAAGGTGAGCTGGATCGCAAAACAATGACAACTCCGAAAGCAAAAAGACTTCCAACGGCCGGAGTCTGTTTGGGACCTTCAGCTGCATTTACCTGGTCAGGTTTCGATCCTCCGGTTCAAGCGCCGTCAAAATGATTAGGATCTACAGTATGCATTTACAGCTCGTGTCGGATGATGCGCATAGCATGTACAATTCCATTGCAGGGACAACGGGTAAGAAGTCAACAAGTCTGCAAAGTAAGGTTATCATCGCCCATCGGTACTTTAGGTTCAAACGTATGTCCATACACCTCTTCCACCTGCAGGAAAACAAACCCTCAATATGCATCGTGAATGCCGAGATCGATACATTCATCCATGCATGTACAATGCACATAGATAATTGTTTCTGAGCCTTCAGCTCTGCAATCGCGGGGATGGAAAGCCACTGACTACACAAGGCAAAGAAATACAAACGAAAAGAAAATAAAAGAAAAAAGTAAAACGTAAAAAGTAAAACTATATATAACACAACCTGCGGGAGAACTCGCACCTGATGGAAAACGCGGAAAAGCAAGAGCATACCGAAAGGCCCAGCCCATCTTGCCTCCTGCCAGCTGTACTTCTGCTTGCTTGCTTCACGGCTGAGAAAAAAACATTCTGCTGCCGGCTCCGCACAGGGCTTGCCCCATCCGCAGTGTCTCTTGTCCTATGGACAACCATCGCTCTGACGATGGACCACAACATGACAAAGAACGGTTGAGAAGCCATCTGATCGCCTCCTTTGACTTTCTCCGAGGATTACCTGTCAGAAATGGTGGATTCTGCCAACATGTCCAGTGCGTCCTCCGGAGATACAGCGCCATTGATTACAGCCTGAAGGCAACACCGTTAGAGAATGTAGATAATAACAGCTGAAAGAACTGGGGTAAAGAGAGAGGGCGATTAGGCAGTACTGGTATTGATCGGTATTTACCGACCAGCTCCCCACGGAGTATGTATATGATTAAGAGGCAGTCAGTACTAATACGCAGATGGTGTATCTAATGTCCTTGGTAGATATAAAATTTTGTTGTACTAGGTTGGTTTGATCCTCCGTGGACACATCCAAACACCTAGACATGGAGTATGGTGGTTCAAACTAATCGAGGGAATATTCGATCCAATGAGTCCAGGGTTTTATCACCCATGTTTCAACAGCACGATCAGAAAAGATGCCAATCAGCTCGTGCTGGAGGAGGGAACCAAGGTACCAATGTCGCATCACAGCGCATCACAGCGCATGGCATTGCATGACATTGCAGCTCACTCATTGCATCGCATCGACGGTTCCCGATTCATGTACATACATACCTAGTAGGTACTAGGTAGTGACTAAGTAATAATCCCGGCCGGCGATGGTTTTCTACATCTACTCCGTACTCCGTCCTATTTTAGTACCTGTCACACCCCTGTAGGTATGTACCTTAGAACGTGAAAGTACCTCAAGGTAGACGGAGGGGGTTGAATTTGATTTTCCCCTCCGGATCCGTTGCCTCCTCCCACAGTCATCTGCTTGCCGAAACAGGCAGTTCGACAGATGCGCCAAGTTCTCGACCGAGTTTAGACTCCTATTGGGGGGGGGATCCTCCTTTAGAGTCACTAAGTCGCCCGCTAAAGTACGGCTCACTAGGTAAGGTAAGGCCGGAGGCCACTAAACCGCCTAAGAGGCTAAGAGACTACTACTAGGTAGGGGGATCGCCCTCGATGGCGAACAAGATGCCTACACAGGACTAGAGCCCCGGTCTGGATTGTGTTTGGAATGTGAACATCACATCTACGATCTCAATCCCCATTAATTTCCCCTACAACCTCTATCTTAATTAATCACAGGAGATTGGCTTTTCCTTATCGGACTATCAATGCCATTTTGGGCCACATCCATTGTGCATTTTTAGTGTTAGATCTGAATTTCTAGGTCGATTGGCAATGGGAGATGCAGAAGACAAAAGGTAAAAATAAAATAAAATCAATAATAATACAGAAGGATGGGACCAGCAAAGAAAAAAGGATGAAATAAAAAAAAGAGAGACAAGCGAAAAGGATCAAAAATAAAAAGCAAAAGCAAAGCGCAAGGGGGATGCGAGCCGTCAGTTTGACATGAACAAGGGGGAATATGATGTAGTATAAGTCAAATGGCACTATTGGCGGGATACCAACTAAGCAGCCCAATGAGAATATTCTCCTGCACAGCAGACGGGGCAAAGAGGGGGCCAAAAGACCTAAGTGCAGCAAAAAGACATAAAGAGAAAAAATAAAAGGTATCAGATGACAACTGACAAAATCCCGCGATTAGACAAGGTGACCCATCAAGTCCAATTGATAAGTGGTCAAGTATTGATACTGTAAATTGTAATGGGGTAGACACTACATAGGTGTCCGAGAAAAGGCATCCAGGAGGTTGGTCTGGGTACCTGATCCATGACTGCCGTCACGGGTTGCCGGAGAAGTGGGAGATTGGAAGATGAGTCTCTGTACGTAGGTAGAGACCTGGGCCGCCTGAGAATGGTACAAACCGTACCAGTGGTTAAAGATAGGAGATCATTATTCCCTCTCCATCCGAGAGCATCATCCAATTGCCTCCCTCCCATCCGCCATCCACGGCAGTGGCTGCTGCGCTGCTCCCTGGGTTCTCCAACTCATGACTGGGGATCGACGGAAAAGCTTACCTCAGGGCCCAACCCACAACCATGGAAAATCAGCTCCTGGATTAAACCTGAATGACAGGACCCGAGACAATGGACGTACCACCAGCAGCAGAAGCAGCTAAAAAGGTCCGGCCGAAAGGGCGACCCACTGGCCCCTGCACCAATCACCACCGTCAAAGGGATCCAGCGCCCAGGACTTGCCCAATGGGGGGTCATGGCCGATGCCGTTCCCTGGTCATCGTCGATCTCCCATGCGTTCGTTCGTCCTGCTTGCTGGGGGGCGCACGAGCGTCCGCCTCGATCGCTCCTGGAGTAAATACCTAGTGGCACTGTGGTGGACTGGTACCTAGTAGTACCTTTCCTGACCCATTCTGCCCATTATTCTTTTCTTCGCCCTCCATCAACCCATTCAACCACCCACAGCCATATCCACACTTTTACCAGGCTCCACCCGCCCTCCTCAGTCCTTTTTCCCCCTCAATCCTCAAGGAGTCTTAGCCGTGGTCGTAGCCGTAGACCGGGCGATGGCGTCTTTCTCCAGCGTGGATCCATCCACCCATTCCCTCCGTACTTCCTCTCCCACCACCTTAGCATCTTAGTGTGTACCTGGAGACTTTTACTGGTCCATTCTCTTCATTGGGTACTTTGCTCCGGACCCTCCACCTCTGGTACGGCCTCTACTCCTCGGGCCCCGAGTACGGAGTACATATATCTCAGATCTTCCCCGATCGTCCTACTATATGATCCCTGATCTTCCCCTTCTACACCTGTGTATCATCAGCACTTCAAAGTCACCCAAGTGTCTTCTCTCTTTTATAAGGCACAGTCAGATTTTGAACCCTTCAGTCTGAGGTCCTACCTCTCCACTTTCTTTCTTCCCCCCAATCTACCTTTATCTTTCAGGATCCATCCTTGATCAATAGGAAGCCGCCCAACTGTGACTGAACATGAAGAACTCAATCCCATCTGACGTGTGGGAGAGAAAGAAGGCCTTGATTGCCAAACTGTATAAGGATGAAGAATGGCCTCTGAAGCAGGTTATCAAGCAGATCCGTTCTGATGATTTCAACCCTAGGTAAGACCAAGCTTGAGACACGGTAAATGACATTCAACCAGTAAACTAACACTTTCTCAAGTGAAACCCAGTTGCGGAGCAGACTTAAGAAGTGGCGGGTCACCAAACCCTCTCGCCAAACCCGCAAGAAATCCGACGACAGCCAACAGGAAACTACTGGAGATGACAGTGGCCAAGAAGACGCATCCCCGAAGGACCAGGCTTCCACAATTTCCCCCAAAGCACGCCCCCCTCTTCGTTCAGTCGCATCCGACCTTTCCGTCAGCGAACCGGAATGGTACATGGCCAATGGTTTGCCCACTACAATGTGCCTTGATGGACAGCATATCTCGAATGTGTGGGCCCCCGTGATGGCACAACAATCTCCACTGAGCCCGTCACACAAACAGCGGGATCCTTCCCATGCCTCTTCCATGATGGTTCTTCCCAGCTCCAACTCGTATGACTCACCACACACGTCGCCCTTGATGGATAGCATGTTGATCAACTCGACATCAAGTATGGCGTCGCCATTCCCTGATCATTCCTATGCCGTCACCACGGACTGCATGCAAACACCTGCGACAACAGCTGGGCCGATCCAGTGGTCTATTCCCCAGTGGTACTCAATGCCTCTAGAGGCTGGCAGCCCATTCTATACTTCAGCACCATTGAGTCCTCCCATCGACCCTGCGATGCATCTGATGTCTCCACATGCCCAGACACCGCCACCTTCCAGCATCGGGCGGCAGCAGATGGCCGACCTCCAAGAGGGGACATGGAAACGTGCCATGTCTGCTCCATATGTTCAGGATGCCGCTGGCGGTCATCCGAGATTGGAACAGAAAGGGCCGCAACCACGGCCGCTCGAGAGGAAAGCCTCGCTCCAGCCAAAGCCGGCCGGCCAACCTGCTATGGGGTTAGTGTCTCCGCCGTCCTTCTATCCCCATGGGCAACATCCTATGTGTGCGCCCATGTACCAATATCCTGGATCCGAGAATCTTGTGCACAGGCCTCAGAGTATCGACTTTTAAGCACGACACGGAGCATCTTGCCTTTCCCTTGTGACACTATTTAATTTCTCATGTTGGACTTCGATTTGGTTCGACCTATCCAGCCATATTCCTTTTTTGGTGTTGATTCTTACTTCTCACTTGTACTATGTCCTCCTTTATTTGCTGATTACTTGACCCGTTTCTTTTCCGATTGGACGCCGATGAGAGAACGGGTGGTTGAACGTTACATCTTGTACACCAAGGAAACCAGACCTAAGATTATGGGATACCTGGCGTATCGGCTGGTTGTACCGAATCATGGAGTGGAGTGCACTGATTTTGATGATATCCACGTTTGGGACCAAGGAGTTTGGGATTGCATGTACACGTGTTGTTTATCAATTTATGTGTGCATGGGTTTAATGATGTTTGCATGGGATATTATACATAGTCTTGATCGACAGGACGATCGGACCTTGAAGGACTGGTTCCCTCATTACATCCCCGATGCGTATTATGGATGCGTACGATTGTCTTCCTGTCTATATATATGCAGTCAAATCTACAATAATATAGTACCAACCTACGAGACCTGAAATTCCCCATGCAAAGAAGCGGAGTAGCCAATGACGATCCACCAGGGTCTTGCTTTCCCTCGGGGTTATCCGGCGGCGGACCTCGGCTAGTCAGCTTAACCTCCCCCGGCCTGGAGAAAGCGTTCTCCCCTTCATCTGCCGCGCCCATCGGGCTCAACTTGACCAAAAACAACCTCGCTCCTTGTCGGCCGCTGTAACCACGGTTCCATTGCGTCTGTACAGCTTGATATCTTTGAAAACCCCAACGGTCACCCATCAGCATGCGAGCCATCCAAGTGAGGGAATATGTCAAGGTAACTAGCAGACGACATCTCCATCCTGCGCGTCATAGACCAGTTGATTCACTCCCATTGAACAGGGACCTTTGGATCTCCAAGTCGCTACTCTTCCTACGCCTTCTCCATCTGCAACCGAGTACCTAATTGAGATCCACTCAGCGGGCACCAACTTCTTCGACCTACTGCAGATCCAAGGCAAATACCAACATCAGCCTCCACTTCCTTGGATCGGAGGTGTAGAGTTCGCTGGGACCATCCTGGCCGTTCCAACAGCAACGCAGGCCTCACTGCGATTTCGAGTCGGGGATCGAGTCTTCGGCGCCACGCAAGGCGCCTACGCAACCCACATTCTAGCCCAAGAGCACACCCTCCTCCCGGTGCCGGCGGGCTGGAGTTTCGAAGATGCTGCGGGTCTCTTTGTCACAGCTCCCACCTCATACTGCGGTCTGGTGCACCGAGCGAACGTGCAGCCAGGCGATTGGGTCCTCGTCCATGCTGCAGCTGGTGGAGTCGGGCTGGCCGCCGTGCAAATCGCCAAAGCTAAAGGAGCAACGGTTATTGCAACAGCAGGTACGGAGCGGAAGCGGCAGGTCGCGCGCCAGTTTGGAGCTGATCACGTTATCGATTATCGTGAGAAGAGTTGGCCTGAAGAGGTGAAGCGGCTGTGTGCCCAATATCGGACCGGGAATGGAAAAGATGGCGTGGACATTGTGTATGACCCGGTGGGCATGATTGAGGCTAGTTTGAAATGCGTGGCATGGAATGCACGCCTCTTGGTCATCGGATTTGCGGCTGGTAAGATCGAGAAGGTGGCACTGAACCGGGTACTGCTCAAGAATGTGAGCCTAGTTGGGTTGCATTGGGGCCAGTATGCTCGATTTGAAAAGGAGACTGACCAGGCTGTCTGGAGGGGGATTTTTGATATCGTGACACAGGGCAAGTTCAAGGGTACGGCCTTCATAGATGAGAGCTTTGTGGGTTTGGAAAGTGTGCCCCGTGCGTTGCAGGCGCTGGGCGGGCGGGAAACATGGGGGAAGGTAGTTGTAAAGATCATTGATGATGATGCTGCTGTTGCAAAGAGTAAACTATAGATGGGAGAATGCATCACCTAGCTTGATAAGGAGTACTAGGTCTAGCAATGTGCTACGGTGCGAAAAATTTGGAAGTGCATCAAGCCATAATAAGCCATGATCAGTTCAGAGATAGCAAAGTGAGCTATAGCAGACCGATGATACTACATGTACCTCCGCCGATCTATACGATGTAGGTGCGCAAGGAGTCATGCTCTCGTAGCAAGTTTAACGCGAGCAACATGAACTATGAAGGCCCTAAGGTTTCCTCTAGCAACATGACAAAAGAATCAAGGCCGGGACTCCGAAGAGCCCCGACAATCCAGCTCCAGTCGACCGCAGTCACAAGACGTGACATGCGATGACTGTTCTCCGGAGCGGAGAGTCCGTGACGGAAGTTGAGTACCCTGTATCAATCCGGAGACCAAACAGAGCCATCGACCTAAGACAGCTGGATTGTGAAGTTGCGATGTGGGAAGACGGGGGTGACATTTATTGGTGGTCTTTTGTGTCTTGCAGTTATTCTAAACGCAGCAGAACATGGCTGTCTGACTGGTGATAGATGCGCAAAGAGTCGTCAAGCAAAAGCAGAATCCTATCACATCATGAACTCCGGCCCATGCTCCCGCTGCGCCTGTGATGAGGGTTGAATGATAAAATGCAAAAAGGGGCTGGTGAGCAACTGATTTTGTTTAGTTACTCGCTTAATGGATGAGTCATCATATATCTATTCCTTATCGCCATGTGACCAACCAGGATGGAGATACGGCAGAAAGGGAGCCGTCATGCCTAGGTCCGATACTACTGATAGATATACCTACCTACTTGCATCTACTGTGTCGATAGGTTCTTCGCTTGGATTAGATAAATTGGGTCATAGATGGTTCACTCACAGCCATGGCGAGTGCGTACAAGGTAACATCAAACTACTAGTGCACGAACGGGAATGAAACGGTCTTATTAGATGTCTATCCGCCATGCCCGTGAAACACTAAGATGGCGGTCCATAAACCTTCTATCTTGCACGATGCGCCTATTCATTGGAGACATAGGGGGAATATACAAAGCTACTAGCCATTAGACCATCGATTTCCCCCGACGATAAGGCAGACGGGGCCTTGACGTTGCCGGCGCTGGCTTCCAATCGGGCCATCTACGTCGTCGTCATATCGGCGTCATGTTAGCTAGTCTCCACCAGAGTGCCTCAGTCCCCTACAGAATGGGTTGTCTTCTCGGCTTCCCGGTTTTCTGAATCCCCGTTTCCAGGCTCGGGTCACGCAATAGCCCGATTATAAGAGTCCAGTCTATTGCTAGGGATTGCCGGAACCCGAGATCAGCCAATTCAAGCTAGAATTACCCCTCAATGGCTCAGTCCATCCTGAGACTGAAACCAAACCTGCCCCTTTCCCTCTTAGCATCGCACCGCTTTACATCTCACAAGTCTTTCACAAAAATGTCTGCATTGCCGGGGTCCTCGAAATTCAGTCACCTTCCCCGAGCTACGTCGGGGCCTCTGGTGTGTCCGTACGAGGTAATTCCCCTGTAAAATTTTGGCATGGGCGGCTCATATGCTGAGACATCATATAGGGAAGAGATGTTCTACAGTCAAGCCAGTTCAATAAAGGCTCTGCATTTACGGAAGAAGAGCGCAGATCATTCAAACTTCATGGCCTCCTGCCTCCCAACATCCAAACACTGGAAGAACAGGTTCAGCGGGCATACGAACAATATAGTAGTCGAGACAATGACCTGGCCAAGAACACATTTATGGCTAGCATGAAGGTACAGAATGAGGTTCTGTATTATAAGGTATCATACATCTTTACCTCTGATGTATACGTCTACTATTTGGTACGGCTAGGCGGCTGACGTTGGATATAGTTGATTGACACACATCTCAAAGAGATGCTCAGCATCATATACACCCCTACAGAAGGCGACGCGATACAAAATTATTCTCGTCTTTTCCGGAAACCAGAGGGTTGTTTTCTCAATATCAGAGACCAGGACAGAATTGAAGAGTGCCTATCCAACTTCGGCGGCGGTGAAGAAGTCGATTATATAGTTGTCAGTGATGGCGAAGAGGTAATTCAGGATACCTACAAGGGCTATATAATTGAGGGATTATCTGACTAGCGGCAGATTCTAGGGATTGGGGACCAAGGTGTAGGCGCCATATTGATCTCGGTTGCCAAGTTGGCTCTCACAACCCTGTGTGCCGGAATTCATCCAGCGAGACAATTACCCGTGGTCCTAGACTGCGGAACAGATGTAAGACAACAGAAGAATCTTTCAGACACTTGCTAACATTGGTCGGAGAATGAATCGCTTCTAAAGGACGAGCTATATTTAGGCCTGCGACAGTCGCGTGCCAGAGGCAAAGAATATGACCAGTTTGTGGAAAATTTTGTAGCAACCGCCCGAAAGATGTTTCCACGCGCGTACATACACTTGTAAGTACCGGAATCTTCTGCAAAACTCTATCAATCCTTTCTTGATAGGACCTGGCTGATATCATTTAGTGAGGACTTTGGCCTCCATAACGCTAAGAGGATATTGGAAAAGTTCCAGCCGCATGTCCCGTGTTTCAATGACGACATTCAAGGAACAGGCTGCGTTACGCTGGCTGCCTTGTTGTCCGGTTTCCACGTGAGTGATGTTAAGTTGGAAGACGTGCGTGTAGTCATCTTCGGATCTGGATCAGCGGGCACTGGCATTGCGGAGCAGCTCGCCGACACTATCGCAACTGAGACAGACAAATCCAAAGAAGAAGCTTCGAAGCAGATATGGTATGACATGAACCAGCTTGTAGACTTCCGTCTCCAATATCCTGTTACTAAGCCATTGCTGGGATCTAGGTGTCTCGATAAACCGGGCCTTCTGCTCAAATCCCTTGGGGATCAGTTGACGCCAGCGCAGGTCCCTTACGCGCGGGACGACGATGATTGGCCTGGTGAAGGACCGCCCGATCTGCTCTCTGTGGTGAAGAAGGTGAAGCCTCATGCTCTGATTGGGACCTCCACCAAGCCAAAGTCATTCACTGAAGACGTTATCCGGGAGATGGCCAAACATGTGGAGCAACCGATTGTATTCCCCCTCAGCAACCCGACCCGCTTGCACGAAGCACAGCCAGAGGACATCAATCAATGGACTGATGGGCGAGCTCTGATCGCCACTGGAAGCCCCTTCCCCCCGGTTGATCGCAACGGCGTAAAGTACAAGATAGGTAAGCGAAGTTCCAGAGGATGAAGTGAAAGTTGGAATCCCTCAGCTAATTCACTGCCCTTTTAACGTTGTAGCGGAGTGTAACAACTCGACTTGTTTCCCCGGAATCGGACTGGGAGCAGTTCTGTCGCGAACACGAACTATATCGAACAAGATGCTTGTGGGCGCGGTCAAAGCATTGGCAGCGCGGTCGCCGGCATTGCAGGATCCCAACGGACCTCTTTTACCTGATGTTGGGGATGTCCGGGAGCTTAGCATAGACATCGCCAAAGCCATTATCAAAACCGCGGTCAAGGAAGGGTCTGCCGAGGAGGAAGGTATCCCCACGGATGAGGATGAGTTGGATGAGTGGATTCGAGCGCAGATGTGGGAGCCGGTGTACCGACCCCTTGTAAAACCACAATAGTCATGTGTGCTGCAGTTAGTAGCTACTAGCTAGACGGTCGGATAAACCAAACTAGTACCTTGGTAGAAATAAGCGGCCCCCGGGCCAAGTTAACCCCGCAAAGTTAAATGAGTGTTCAGCCAGGCTGGGCTGAGACAGGTAGAAAGTGTAGTCAATTGGTTACGTTGCAAGAGAAAGAAAATAATGATGCAGATGACGGGGCCCTTCAAGCCCTCATGCATCGCCACCAAGGCGCAGGCAAGGCACAGGAGAGGTGGATCCAGCGGCCTTCTTTCCATCGGCATTGTAGTGCATAGTACTTATGTGCCGAGATCCATACTCTAATAATATACTAAGTACAATACCATAATGTCATAATCAACATGCCCGCTGTTACGATTATACTTTGAACCGCTGCTGCTGCATGCACCGGCGGAAGCTTAATTTTTCAGGGCGCACTGAATGCTCGCTGGTACTTTCTTTATGTGAACGGTTGCCCGCTCCTCTTTCTCATCACATCTGTTCATGCACCCAGATTCTTCCTATCGCACTTAATATAACCACATTTTTACATTCTGTCTATTCAGAGCGGTGGATCTTCAGCGGAGCCCAGCTTGCAGCCCATGTGAACGGTGCAAATAAGCTACATACGTGGTGCAACAACCAGGTTTCTATTTTCTCTATGAGGATAACAATCGCCACTGCGCTAGCTTTTCTGCTCACCATCTTAGCCACAGCCCTCAGCATCCCACTTACTCTCCGAGATGCATCTCTCCTTGCAGATCCCCACCCACTGCCGGATCTAGCTAAGCGGCGTGGAGGCGGCGGAGGTAGCGGTGGGAGCAGCAGCAGCAGCGGACGCACAGGGAGTGCTGGGAGTAGCCCGAGGACCAGGTGAGTGATGCCAGCCAGGCTATTGCGGGGGTAGGGAAGGTGGGGAGGGCAAGAAGACCTAGAAACTAAGATGCTCGTCAGCTCCTCCCGCAATAATGCCGGGGGCTCATCCCGCAGCGGCTCTGGAACACGGCCGGTGTATGGGGGCGGTTACTACTATGCCGGCGGTGCCAGGACTCCCTATACCTCTGGTGCACGATCGCCTTCAGGTGTGACGCCTTACTATTTGCCGGCGACTGCCATCCCACTCTACTACCAGGGCATCTGGGCGTACGGGTTGTATGTCTACCCCTACAGCCATGGCTACCACTATGTCAATAACACCACACACCAAAACGAGTCGATGCCCATGGCCTGTACATGCCAGAAGTACCTGGAATGTGGGTGTGATGACAATGCCAACAGCACTTACTATCAGTCGCTCTTCAACGGCAGTAAACCCTTGAATACGAGCGTGACAAGTGTGGTGGAGGTGAACGGCACTGAAACGGTCTATATCAATGGAACCCTGCCCAATGGGACGACTGCGGCCGATTCATCGTCGGCTGCAGCCCGCCCCATGGTCCATGGGTATTGGATGATGATTGCCGTCGTGGTGGGCACCGTCTGGATGTAACAAGGTACTACGTATTATGGACTTGTATACTGTATAGATCACAAAATGGACTTATACCCACGGTTAGCGTAGATTTTATTTTATTTTATTTTATTTCATTCTTATGCTTTTGCTTTTGCTAATACTTATCGCGGTGTGACACGGGCGATATCTAGAACTAAGATTAGAACGACTTTGATGGACCCCACCTGTAGCGGATTAATGAACGGAATCTCCACCAGCGGGCCTGCATTCATCATCATCATCATCATCATCATCATCATCATCATCACCCTTCTCCTCCAACTCCGTATCTGGACTATGCCTCGCATCCTGCAGGTTTCGGATCATGCCCACGGAAGGGTCTTCGCGGCTTCCATCTACGGTGGATGAAAATAATAGAGATAGTCTGCCCAGTGTCCACGTGTCGAGGAAACGAGCCTAAAGGCGTTCCAGCCCATCCTTCCCCTCCACCTGTCACTGTCATCGGCGCATCGCATCGAGCTGTCAGCGTTTCAAGTTCCAACAGGGCCTCGAAAGCCGCAACCAAGCTTGAGCAGTCGAGAAGCGTGTCCCCTGTCCCTTGTTCCCCTGTTCCCCCGCCAGCCCCCAAGATGGTGGCTTTGGACATGTCACACCCTCGCCCTTCCTGGATCCACTGGAGCAGCAGCCCTCGAGTGGACTGAAACCTCCCCAGTCCGACTCGTCTGTCAGATCCGTTTCCTCCTTCCTTTCTTTCTTTCCCTTCCCCTTTTTCTTCGCGCCTTCTCTTCCCGAGTATTTTGGATCTGGAGTCCACCAACCTGTGCTGTCGCTCGCTCCTTCTCAGCCGTGCTGATTTCTAACTCGCTCACACCCTCTTTCACCAGAGCTGTCACTCCTTTCCAGCTCCATTCACTCTTTCATAACCTTTCTCAACCGATTAATAGCATAGTGGCGGCCTTCTTCCATCCACTATTAGCATCACCAGCCACGAGCACATTGATATCGACAATCAGAACTGATATCTACCCCATACTTCACGCCGCGTCTATATCGACTCCCAGCGCTCTGATACGCACACCATTATACATACCCAGCCAGATAGGATGTATCTCACTAAAGCTCTTCTCGTCACCTGTGCAGTCTTCGCCCCATTGGCCTCTGCTGCGGTGCAGGCCACGTCCACCACCACTGTTGTCTTCAGCGAACATACCTCGCCCACGCCGTTGGCACCAACCCCGACTCCTGTCTCTTTCAATCCTCTTCCTTCTGCCAACAGCAGCGTCACTATCAGCAGCAGCGCAACATTTCACTCCAGTTCCTTCGCATCGCCAAGCCACAGAGCAAGCTCTAGCCCTCGCATTTCCAGCTCTGCTATCGCCAGCTCTTCGTTCGCTAGCTCCTCCATGGTCAAGTCTTCTTCTTTCACTAGGTCGTACATCACCAAGGCCTCAGCTCGTCCGACCAAAACATCAACAGACGCGGAGTCAACATCGACCTCAAAGTCGGAGTCGGAGTCAGACTCCGCTACCACAGCGGCAGCTACATCATCTGCTACCCACACCGGCGCCGCCGCTCCGGCCATGAGGCTCTCCAGCAGTATGGCTGCCGGTGTACTGGCTGCCGCAGGCTTCATCATGCTTTAAGTTGCTCGCCAACCGGATCGTTGCTCCATTGTTATGCCCTGTAAATGCCACAAGAGCATGCGAAGCTGTCAGTATCAATTGGGTAGCAGAGGGTGACGTGCCAATGTGAAAGGAACCCTAACGGAAATGGCTGAGATAAGAAGTTCATATATATCGCATCACTCGCTAGGACCCCGAGCTTGACAGCTACTTTCCCGTCTCCTTTTGTTTCCACTTTTTATTGTATTTCGTTCCCTAAGTCTTGTATATGTCCACCTGACAGATCGGGGGCGCGCAATTGTTAGGACTGACATTAGCTCCTTGCTGGGTTTTTCAAATGCAATTTTGATGTTTTATTATCCTCCTTTCATTTCCCGATGGACACACAGGGGTGTGTCTGTGTTCTAATCCAACCGAGTTCCCTCGTTGCTCCCTTCCAACGGCTTCTTACACAAACAATCTGTCGCAATGTACTGAATGTAGAACTAACAGTTTTCTTGGTGTACTGGGGCATCCCACGATTTAAGTCAAAGCATGGATTCTTGGTAGCATGGTATATGGGGTTAGATTGAGCTTGATTCTACCTAGAGGCATGCCCCGCCTTTTTGTACCTATGAAATCATCTCTTCGGCTCCGCCGTCTTTGAGTTGGTCGGCTTTAACAAGATTGCAGCGGTAAGAAAGCATCAGATTTTAGATAGATTTGCTTTCGCTGCGCATTATCCTCGACCCCTAGCCTTGGTTCGGCGCAGGAACCAAATACAACAACACATATGAATAGATGTACATCTAATGTGAGTGGAGGTAAGACCGCCAAGTAAGGCATCCATGCCACCGATTGCTGTTTCAAGCAATGAGCGAACATGAAACATAGCGGGAATAATGTACAGGGAAGATGTGGGACAGACCGGAAAGACAACGGAAGGAAAGAAAAATCACATCAAGGAACCTCTACGAAGCTTTGAAGGTCGCCTCGTACCTCTTTCCTCGGAAGGCCCAGAGTCCCCAATTGCCACAGGACACGTCATGCGGATCCAGATCATTCAGGTCCCAGCGTAAACTACGGAAAACGTTCTCCCCAGGCTCTAGCAGAATGTCGAATTCACCAGCACATTTCTCATGGACCCAGTTGATGTCTCGCTCCATGTCCCACTGTGTATAACCCGTAGTGATAATGGGCACCTTGGTCTCCAGAAGCTGTGGCAGCGTTTCCTCCCATTCGTGGGAGCTGGCCGGATGTCCAAGACCCGGATGGAAAAGCATAAAGCAATCCAGATACGGATCGAAAGGTTGGAAGTACTGTGCTTTGTACATCGTGTGGAAGTAGTCAACATACGTCGTGATCTTGAACTGACCCCCAAGCCGGTCCTCCACAATGCCACCGAACGGATTTTCGGGCGTGCGCTCGGGGAGTGGGAATTCGGCATCTCGGTTGGCCATACTCTCTGGTCCAATAAAGATCAGATGGATCAGCGAGCGCGGGAAAATGTAGCTAAGTTGAAGCCAGACATCACGCGGTAGGGATGACTCGGCACGTGCACCCAGAATGAATATCCGCACAGGCGGGGCCTTGAGGCGGAGTCCTTGGATATCAACGCCTTCACCGGTTTTGGAGGGGTGTAGGGTGTACCGGAGTGCTATATGACGGATCAGTTCGCGGGCATTGGAAATCTAGGGAAGATTACAACTTACCGCTGACACTCTTGAGACCCTCCACTGTAAGCCTGCCTCCTTTTCGGACATTGTAAGGGCTAAGCTCATGTAAGACACTTCCAATTGTAAGTGGGTAGGTGAGCATCCTAGTCACTTGTCGCATGCTTCGGTCATCATTAATCGCCTCGAATTCCCGCGTGTACATGAAGGTATCCCAGTTCGTCATGTTGATGACAAAGTTGTCGTCCTGCAGCCCCGGGTACGAGAACTCCGGGAAGAACCGGCCGGAGTGTAAATCATGATCATCTTCGTTGATCTGTCGGATGGTCTCACAAACCTCTAAGTGGGCCTCGAAATCATCCATCCAATGGCCCTCTGAGCAGTATATCGGAACACCGCAGTCGGGACATTCGAAATGAGAGTGAGCCGGTGGCAGACTCTCCGTGCTCGGCAGACTCTTGCGCGACTCCGAATCATGAGGGGAAACAGGTAAACGGGTCTGTTGATGACTCGGGTGCGGGCAGAACGCGTTTTGCTTGATGAAAGCGGCACGCTGTCTAATTGTAGCTGCTGGCGACTGAGAGAAGGAATGGAACAGGTTGTTTGGTTTCAAAAGCTCCCGCGCCTCCGGCGAGGCGTTGGAGGTGGCATTTGTGGCCTTCTGCACCACCGAGCCGATATTCTGCGACCCAATTGGAGAGACCGACAAGGTTGGTGACAAGGCAGCCTGTCTGACTGGCCCTCGCAGAGGTTTGGGCTCAAAGGAACCACTGCTCCGCGAGCTCAAACTCCGCACGCACGAAGTGGGAAATCCGTATCCCCCTCGGCTTGGAGTAGCGACATGATGCCAGCGAGCCACGGAGTTCTGGACAGCAACCCTTCGACGGAGCACCTGCAGACAGCGCCCACATGTATATTCGCCAGGCATGGTGGGTGCAGCGCGACGCCTGGATGGGACGCTCGAAGGAAGGAGTGGTTTGTTCCACGCGGCTGGCGAGAAGGGCCGTCCTACGTAGTCGTCCGCCGGCACGTGATGGAGCCCCGGCCGGCCGAAGACATCTTCAATCAACAATCACAATCGTTACAGAGATAATAGATAGCTAAGGTGGTTATTGCCTCGAATCCAAGCATACTGCATGAGCTAGAATATATCCTCGCAGGCGCTCCAGTCGCCGCTTTCCCGGCTCGTCCAGTATCGCCCATTGTGCGCCCAGTACTCCTCACCAGTAACCGCGCACTTAGCTCTACTGAACCATTTGGGTTGATACTCCTCGCCTCTCGTCTCCCTCTCCCTCCGCTTGGCCCGCTGCTTTTCCTCCACCCGATGTTTCTCATTGGCAGCTAAATCATATTCACCCTCTTCCATCGCACGCTGATCGGGCCGAAGCCGCGTATCGGTAGGCGGTAGACATTCCTTGAGTCCCTTGGGCAGGGCGTTCAACGTGATGACGAAAGGGGTCAGGTTGAATGGGATTCCGCTCGGCCGAGCGTGGCATTGCCAGACCAGAATCGTCTTGGCCGATTCGGGATCCTGACCAGATACTGGCGCCTCGAATCCCGGGGTATGGCGCGCGTAGATCTTGTCATTCCATCGACCGCCAATACTCCACTTGGGTGAACCATCACGATCCACGACCTTACCACTCACCTGGTATGCGGACGCAGCCTTCCAGCCCCTGGGTTTGAAATCCAAGTAGCAGATTTCGCCCGTGGTCCAGTTCTTGATTTCCATCAAACCATAGTTGTCAACCGTAGGACTACCGGTGATGATGCCAATGACGGATGATGTGACCTTCTTCCAAGTGTACAACTCCTCCCCCCCCGATGAGGGTCGTAACCTCAAGAACCAAGTCCCTAGGAGATTGATATCAAAAGACTTCCCGTAAAACTTGGACTTGAGAGCAGACTCGCCCTGTGCAAAGAGAATAGGTCAGTGTGAATTGGGCACGTCCAATCGAAAGCACGGGAGCTGATCTTACATAGTAGTCCCATTTCGCCGACTCGGCCCAGGCAGCACCTATTGGTGGATGATGACTGATTTGTTCAACAAAGAACCGATAACCTTTGTCTGGCCGCGCATATTCAAACGTCTCCCCCAAAAGAGGGTTAAACGGTTTGGCCACACGGCCTATCGTCGATGCATATTCGCTCGCGGCATACGCGGCAACATACACCAGGCGCTCCATCGAATCAGGTCGGTCGGCCGCAATGTCAAGTAGATCTGCGTACTCCAAGTCCTCGGCCACGCGTTGAAGCAGGGATGTCGGCTCATTGAAAGAGACCGGGAGTGTCATTTTCGTCATATCTTTGCCAATCATCGACTTCAATATACCCTGGAAGCACGTGTGAGACTTGCAGCAGAACACCATTTTAACGACATGCTATAGCGACTACCTACCCAGAGTGAAATCTTCGGTCGATTATCGTAGTCCATCTTGAGTCTCTGCCGAATAGGCTCTTCATATCCCTTAAACGAAGGAACAATTTCCAATCTCTTCGAGGAACGAAGCTCACTGCCCTCCAGGGATTTCTGCCCATCGTCCTCTGAGCCAAGTTTCTGAACCTCAATTTCTCCAGAATCAATGGCATCAAAGAACTCGTCTTCATCATCGGTCTCCGAGTCACAGAGATTGCTAATACTCTGAGATATGGCCGGCTTCTTGTGCCGGAGAGAGCTTTCAGGATTTTGCTCTTCGAGCTCTGATGGACACTCTGCCGCCTCCGGCTCCAGGGCCTCGCTTTCAGTACCGCCAAGTCCTTCGCGGATGGCCTGCACACGAGACGGGGTTTTGCTAACTGCACGGCTCGTGGCTGTTGACTCCAACGCTTCTTTGAGTGCCCGTTTGGTACGTTTACGTTTTTCCTCGGACTCGCCCATCCGTGACTGGAGCTCTTCATGTTCCTGAGCGACCCTTGCCATGCTTTCTTCCCACATCTTGCGGAGATAGGTCTCCCTACTCAGACGATACTGCCAATATGCATCACGGTCCCTGGATATCTTCAAGAGACTTTGCACCAGGCCCTGCAAACTGCTTACGGCTGCCTCATAAGCGACTAAGGCTTGGTCAACAGCTGAGTCAGAGAGTGATGTGCTAGGATCCTTAGACTTTTGTGCCTGTAGAGAAGAGGCAACATTGGCAAGAATGTCAAGTTGAAGTTTCGTCGATTGAGCAGTGATATTCAATGCATCTTTGTCTGTCGGTAGCATATCATGACTGGACGCATAATCGCCTTCCTCGTCGTCATCACAGTCAATATCGGGAGCCGTTGTTACATGACTCGGCGCTCGGTTGACATCATTTGGCAGAGCGGTATGCTCCAATGACCCGTACATTGAGCCTTCCTCATCTTCATGGGCGCTTCCCAACGTTGTGTGAGACGTGTATGTGCTAAGCCGTGTGCCGCTGCTATTCGGTACACTGATAGACGGTGGTGCAAGGCCCTTCGCATTCGATCTTGCGACAGCTGAGCTTGGAGATTCAGAAAGTGTCTCGGACTGTCGACCTTCCACTTGGTCCATTTTTGCTTGACGGAGCACTTCCGCATGCCTCGACTGCCGCCTCTCTTCCTCTTTCGCTTCGTCCTTGGCCCATTGGATGGCATTGTTCAAAGTCCAGAACCAACGCTTTGCCTCGACGACGTGATTTGCCTTAAGGTGATATTTGACAGATGATTTTCCGTGTATCTCGAATCGGGTCTTGTCTTGTGCGTCCATATTGAGCCTAGCAATCTTCATGTTAATCGCGCCTCGGCAGGCGGAGCCAGCATCATCTGCAAAAGAAGTCGAATATCAATGATTGCCTTCTATATCAAGTCCAGCATTCATACCTTGATGTTTATAATAGCTTAGCACGCCGTCTTCTAAGACAAACCATCGCAATTTATAGCCACTTGTATAGTTTGTCCATTTCTTTAAATATCCTCTCATTTCACGAGCTTCCTTTCCGGCGAAAGGCGCTTCACTCCCGCCCGAGCGACCAGGCACACCTTGAGCTGCACTGGTACCAAGAATGGCTTTTTCCTGGATACCACGTTGTGCGATGACCGCCGCCGGTGATTTCTTGACAATCGCACGAGTCTTGTCATCTTTAGTCACATCCTGCGGCAACTTACCCTTCTTGTCACGACGAAAGGGATCCGCCCCATGCATCAGCAGAATTTGGATCAGCTGTATATCTTTCCTCCTTGCCCCTTCATGCAATAAAGTGCCCCCAGACTGGGCGGTAACAGGGTCGGTTACCAGGTCCAGACTGTTGACGTCCATAATTCCTTCGACGCGGGGCTCTTCTAGCACTTTCTCCAGCTTGTCATAATCTCCTTGAGAAACAAGCGCTTGGATATCTTGAGACTTGGCGTCGATAAACAGTGAGCGAGCAAGCTGAAGTTGCTGGAAAATCTCCGGGGTACGCGCGACGTCGAGGGCTGTCTGACCGCGATAGTTGACAATCGCATCATTGAGCGAAGGCCGGCTCAGAAGTTCGCGGATCACAGATCCCCTTCCAAGCTGAGCGGCCAAATGAAGCGGTGTGTTGCCATCTCGATCACGCCCATTAATGTCGAGGTCCTCGCCGGCAGACAAGACAAACTCGACAACCTGCGGTTCAGCACACTGGATCGCAAGATGGAGAATTGTCGTGTCAGAGAGGGTGCCAGATCCTTGCGGCTCACTAGTCTCCCTGATGGCTTTCGAGATCGCAGTGGCATCTCCGCTCCGTAAGATCTCGAAAAGGCGAAACGTCCGCACTGATTGATCTAACGACATGGCACTGTTCTCCGCATGCGATATTGACGGTAGCTTCTCGATATTGTCGCTACTTCCATGAGGGCCAGTGGGCTCCAAGGAGGGTTCAGCAGACATCGAAGGTAGGTTTGGCTCCTGGCGTGTACTTCGGCGGCTGGAGCTTCGGGCAGCTGGGACACCGGATAAGGAAGGAGGATTAATAGCCGGGGAAGACGTGACAAAGTCGGGTGAGTCACTATCGCGACCGACAGGGTCTTCGCACTTATCCTTCGATCTGTCACGGTGCAGAATCGCTAGCGCCAGCGCACTTCGAGAGCGTTTGTGCCTAAGGAGAAACAGTATACTATATCAGCGAGGCGCCCAATCTGCGGGGACACCCGGTCTTAAGTCGGGCAAGAAAGCAGGCCCGGGTGTTGGTACGGGAACGGATCCAGAAGGCAATTCAAGGATAGGTTCGCTCAACGATCATGACCCGTGGAACCGAATCACTCACCCTTCACCCCTTTCCGTCATCTCTTGCTAGCCACCAGCAGACCGAGAAGAGACCAGTCCGGTTGCTGCCAAGAGAATATCGTTTGTAGGCAGATTTTGATTGAAGAATCGAGAGGCCTGGGGCAAATTGGCGCCGTGTTGCGTTTGATTAACTAGTGGCCGCAAGGACTGATAAAAGAGATGGGATGATGGTGATGATGATGGTGATGATGATGGTGATGTTGTTGTTCCTCTTCCCGCGCCTTGGCCAAGACGGGAGTCTACTCGGTGCGCTCACAACAGGCGGAGATCGAGATTCTAGTGTACATTGATTTCTCATAGGTTTATCAAAACGAGAGAATATACGGCATATAATGTACAAATCGAGTGGTCTTCAGGGCCGAACACATTATGGATGCATCAGGACCATCATCTTGTTTCTCCACTCACCACCACAATGACGCTGCCCAACTGTCGCTTCAGATCCTCCTTGTCAACATCATGGGTATCCTCAACCTCCCCCCACATATCAGTCTGCCACTTGACTTCCAGACTGGATGCTTCTGCAGCCTCCGCAATGCCAAATCTCTCCCGCCCTGGTCGTTGCACATGACGGAAGCTCTCACTCCACTCAGAAACCAATCGGACAGCGATTAACAAGCTCTTGGCGGCCAGCACTCCTCGCTCCAGTCCAGCCAGGTCGTAGGCCTGTAAACTCGAGACCCACTGTTCAATGATGTCTTTCGTAGGCTGAGGTTGGGAGACTGGCAATATGCTATCGCTGTCGAGTATAGGTTTTATATCCACGCCAGGCCACACCTTAGTGCTCAAAAAGGCGATTGTATCTTGAGCAACCCTAACCTGAGCTTCCCGGAGGCTTTCCGGTCTCTTGCCATCGCCATCACCATCCGCCTCACCAGCAGCATGGGCATTCTGTACTGGCACCCAGCACAGCAGGGTGTCCGTGTCCAAATAACGCATCGCAGTTTTCACTATTTGATCCCTGGTAATGGTCTCGCCGCGAGCATCTTCTCTGGCAATATCTGCCGCACGGGCGGCAAGAGAGGTTAGGGGAATGAGATGATTCTTCAGCGCTTGCTGGGCGGTGGTCATGACGTCCCATTCTAGCGCAATTGCATGGGCAAGATATGGCTTCGTTGGTGGTATGTATAAGACGTCTTTCGAGGGTGTCCGAATAGGGCGCGTGTCTAGCAAAACTTGATAGTCTCCTTCTAAAAAAGAATAAGAGGTTAGCACCACTGTCTATCATGAGCCGATCAAAGTAGGTGAAAACATATACCTGGCTTCTGGTTTACATCAACATTCTTCCAGAAACGCTTCTTGAGCACATTGGATGTTTTCCCTGACTGCGGACCTGTCTCGCCTTTCTGATGCGATCCCGCATCTCTCTGCCGCTGGTCCGCATGAGCAGACACAGGTGAAGGGACCCTGGGTGGGGGGCCATGGGTGGTAATGGGATGAGCAATGGCGGACTTCAGTGATGTAGTACTGATAAAGCGTGATATAACATCCTTGCGCTGCGCACCTTTCAAGAGTGCCTGTCGGGAGATAGCCGCGACGGCCCGATGAAACGTGGGCATCGCCTTTCACGTAAATGCTTCGAAGGGTAATATGAGAGAGAAAAGGACAAGTGGATGAGTTCAAGAAACTAACATAGATCTTCCCAGGGTCTCAAATTCCCTCTTTCCCTGTCTTCTCATTTCCCGTGCAACGGGCCGATTGGTAAATCGGAGGACTACCTGAATCGGGACTCCGTTGGAACGCCACAGGCGCCACAGCCACCCCGCCACATACTAGTACTGTATGGTGTGCTGATCCGCTCCAGCGCTACCTAGATGAGTATTGACCTAATCAGTAGTAGATAATAACCAGGAATTCTACTTATCTTCCCAACGGAAGGTTCCTTACAAACTAAAACTACTTAAGACGGATGTACTTGCCTTCAACTAGGCCGATTTCTGTCTGGCGAGAACATCCTAAATAGTCAACACCTCGGGTCGCTTGCAGTTCGGCAGAATACAGGTGCATGTTATGGATTAATTATTATGCCTAACTCCCACGAAGGCTAACAGCCCCAAATCGACAACGATAATGGAAACACTCCGAGGGACCTCCCACCTGGGAGCCCAAAAACAAGGAAGGGAAGAGGGGAACAACATAGAGCCGGTGAGGGTAGGAAGTAGAAGCACACACAAACTAGCAATATCAATTCGAAAAGAAAAGTCCGCCCACGCTTTTGTAATTTACAAAACCTAGAAATTCCGGGCATCACAGTGCTCGAAGGTAACATCAAATACCAGGATCGCGTTGGCCCAAATGCAAACTCAACAATCAGGCTGCGAGAGGGGAAGATAAAGAAAAAGAGGGAAGAGGAAGATTACCTAGAGGCAAGCGACGGATAAAGAGAAATCCAATCCGAGCAAGGAAATGATACAAAGCGGCTGTTAGGGCGGTTTTGTGCATGATTTCAATGAATCCAGTCCGCGAAACCATGCCGGGGAAATATCGGGTCATAGGAATAAGATGAATATATGCGCAAGAAGATTGACACATCCACTCTGGGGGCCTCAAGGTCCTCCCATCTCAATGTTCCATGTTTAGCGTCATCAAGGCATTTCGTCGTGAATTTATTAAACCATTCGAGGTTCTGCGATCTTGCTAGAACGTCGCTGGGATCTCAACGGGGGCTTTGGCAATCAGCGCTGGGAAAAGCACCCCTGAAGTGTGAAATGTTGCTGAATATCAAATGGTTGGCAGTAGGCAAAGGCGATAGTTCGGCACGCCCATCTATCGCGCATGCAGGCATCATTGAGTTATGTAACTCGGGTAATAAGGCCGTTTCATACGGTCCAAGTCCGTTCGCTTCTTCATGCGTTCCGCGTCATAATCATCGGCACCGTCTCTGCTACCCCATGCCGTCTATAAAAGTAATTGGCTTGTTAGCAAGACTGGATCAAAAGGCACGGAACGGGGCATCTTGGAAACAAAGCCGGAGGTTGCAAGAGGACGAGCCAAGCCGAAAGAAGAGGACGAAACAATAATAACCATAGCACTAGGATGCTCGGACAGCAGAGCACAAGTGGAAAGAGAACACAAGGGGGGAAGTTAAAGGGAAGGAAATAGAAAGGAAAGGACAGCAAAAGAGATAGCGAGCTGAAGGAAAGAGTAAAAGAGGGGGGAGGACGTGAGAAAAGTCGAAAGAGGAAAAAGCAACCGGGTTATCAAGATAGGGAGTGAGTGGATACAAAAGGTGCGAAGGTGAGGTGAGACCCATGACCAATGCAGATCCATGATAGGAGGGTTGGGTGGAGAGAGAGAAGCCGGCCATTAGAGCCTACTTCCATGCTCCAAGCTGCACTTGCGCATGCACCCATTGTACAAATGAAACGTCGAAGTATATACTGTACAGTGCTGGGGTTCTGCAACTTACCACATTAAGTGTTAGTACGGCGTATATTTTGATGGCCCCGTGGAAATAACCAAAGAGAATAGACACCGGCAAAAGTATGACATCAACCGGATAACGAATGTAATGTCCGACAAGTTTGATGAACTTGCTGATAAACATCCATACCCCGAGGGCTTGCATTGCAAGCGTGTGCGTACTGTCATCCCAAGAAACTGTGGCCTTATGGCAGAGTATAAGGAGCAGTAAGTCGCCTAGGAAGGCTGGAGGCGAAAGCGTTGTCAAGTGAACAGCATACGCGCTCCAAGGCTGGCGGCTATTACATAGAATATCAAACGTTAGTGTGCGGATCAGACATGTGTACCCGCCAGAGAAAACTTTGAGGGATGACTCACTGCCAAATATGTTTTTCGTGGAACATGCTCGTAAGATTGCTCCTCCAGTTGCTTCGAGACCAGCGCGCACACTGCTTGAGAAACTTGGGATTATCTTCCAAGGTTGTCAAAACCTCCGCTTCAGGATGATATTGCATGAAAGTCTCCCAACCATGAGACACCATCCAACGGGTAATAAAATTGTCATCATCCGCATTCAGTTGATACTTTCCAAACCACCATTCTTCATTGGTGAACGCGTACGTAAACCCCTCGTTCTGGAGGATAGCTGTTCTGTATGCGACTGTCCGGCCCGACATGCAAGGAAGCCCACCATCAATATGCGTTGTGGCTGCGCAGTCGAAGTTTCTTCGCTCCAGGTAAAGAGCGCCCAAGAACCCCCATATACGCTGAGAAAATGACGGAGAGACAGCCCGTCGCAGACGCTGACAAGTAACCACGCCGCCATATCGCTCGTCCTTCTCGAAAGGCGCTAAGATCCAAGGAAGGACTGTACGTGGCCAACTCACATCGTCATCTGCAAATACAGTGATAGCAGTCCGGACTTCCGGGATCGCTCTAGTCATTTGTCGGCGCTTGTTTGGGTGGGTGACAGTGAACAGGCGGATCCTTGACTTCGAAGCTGGCATCAAGCTCAACATATCCTCAGCCTTTTTCCGATTTGCCTCAATAGTGACCAAGAGAAGCTCGTAGGGATGAGTATCGAGAATTGTTCTTAGGGTCTCGACGAGTTCATCGCCGCATCCCTCCAAGGTTGGTAAGATTACCGTCACATCTTGGGCAGTCAATTTGGGATTCTCCGGCGGAAGAATTGGTTTGAATGTCCAAAAGGAAATAAGGTTCACAGCAAGACGGAAATAGCGATATAAACTGTAGGGCGACAAGGTCAGTCAAGGAGACTTTACGGAAGCAGCTTTGAGATCATAATTGGAAGAACACTAACAACAGGGCAATGAAGGCTCGCATGAATGGAAACTCCATGGCTGGGGCTGGTAGCGAAGCCTAAACTTCTTTTTTCAGACCAATTGATAGTTTCAGACTTAATATGGTTCAGTTTAAGTGCAAACGTTACCCCGACCCTTTTCCAACACTGGACTTAGCAAGGAAGCTCAAACCGAAGGTGCACGCTGTTCCCACCAGTGATGCAGCGCGAAAGGAAATGGGTAAAAGGAGGCCGTTGAGCTCTGGCTTTGCACAGACGATATAGGTACCAACAAGGAGCAGATTGCAAAGAGGAGAGACAGATTGGTACAAGGTCACCTAGTATAAACAGAAAGGACGAAGGCAGAGCAAGGAAAAGAAAGTAGGTACAAGGTAAACGAATGTCTGGGTGGAAAGACTGCCCAGGATCTCGTCAAAGAGTTCTGGGAAACAAAAAGACCAGCTTCCAGGTCAATTGGCTTCTCAGAGGATGTGAATGCCTATGGCTGGACATGCAACATTGGGGATTCTTATTTGTTGCAGCTGGAGTCGATGGCACGGAATGGCAGGGAAGGCACATGTTCAAGTCCGGCATCCAGACAATGGCTTGAACCAATCCCTAGGAAGAAATATAAATAAGTTACTTGTGGGCTCCAGTTCCTTTGTCATTTTGAGTGTCATGCAGGTGTATTTTTGCCTCGTGCGTCAGAGACCCTGGATCTAGATGGACTGATGGAGGATACTGCGGGTGGAGAAAGGATTGGCGGCGGCCCATGCAGCTACTGCGCAGTCACTGCAGTGACATGGGCCAGAAGAGTGGGGACTGTTAATGGTGTGTGGATTTATTCCCTAACACTAAACTAGAAGCTAAGAGTGCGTTAGTGGATGTCTCCGAAATTCGCAATGGTTAAATGCGCTGGGAGGGGGGGAAGGGGGTATTCCGTACTAACCGGTCCGTCCTAGACTCCTCTACTACCTACTACGTACGGAGCAGTACCTATCGAGTCCACTCCGTACCCAGTCCGGGACGCCGTAGATATTCTTGACATGGAAATTCGTATGGAGTACTCCGTAAGCTAGTACCTGGGAGGTACTAGCCAGCTACCTATCTACCAGAATAAAGCCCAGAGGTCTCTCCTTCTCCGTAGCCATAACCATACCTTCCCCCCGCCCCCTTTCCTACAACAGGATGTTACATTCTCCATCCTTCCGTCTCGGTAGAACCTTTCTCTCTTGTCTTTCGAATAAGAGGACTTGAGACAAAATAGGTAGATAAGTACATAATCAAAGAATCGAAGGGTGGGCCCAAAAAATATATAATATAAAAAGGGGGTAAAAAAAAGCGAAATAGGACCGAACGGGTAAAATCCAGCATAAAACATCGGTGGTTCATTCGTCAAACCCGATGGGCAAGTGACGCCGACGAGCCGACAGACCAAATCACCTAGATAATACTTGGTAAGAGGTGGTAGGGGTGGGGGGGAGGAGCAGAGTTCGTTTGTCGGCTGGATGATCAACCAACAAGAAAAAGAAAAATCTCCCTCGCTATTTCCATGTGTATTATAACGTCTCTCATAAGGAATAACCCGTATGAAACATCGTCTCGTCAATTCACCTAAAAGCCACTATTACATGAGTTAAACTTGCTATAATCCTGATCCTCCATCATTCTATGGCCTTTTTTTGGCTGGAGGCGTGTCCACAGACTACATGATATCAATACACACTTGGTAGTGACGACATAATAATAGCTCACCCAAGTCACTTATGGTACCAACACAGAGTTCCTTATTCTATCCAGGTGCAGATTGCTGCTGCATACTATCGAATAGCATGGGTGAGAACTAAAGTAGCGAGCATAGCAGACCATCAGCCGAGACAAGCATCTCCGATCGGGATAAATCAAATTAGAGGTGGGAAATAAAAAAAAAAAAAGGTCGTGGGCGGAAAACAACAATAAGCCTTTCAGGAGGGGCCGGAAAATATGAGAAAATAGACCATGTTAGTTCACATGTTATCATCGGTCAAATCATCCGTCTAGGCCTCATGATTCCCTTTCCATTTTCGCTTATCATTAGGATTTAGATGGCGCTCCTGTATTATGGGAACATTCATTTTCATTATAGTACATGGGGTGTTCTATGTATTGACCAGAACCAGCTCTTTGAGCCTCCCACCAAGTCTATAATAAACTTGTAGGTATGATGGTCATAGTCATACAGATTGCCATAACCAATTCTAAGCTACTGCATAGGTGATCATATGGCCATACAAAGAAAGGGGTGCGAAAAATCGCCTATCATAAGAGTTATGTGGTTCTTAGATCAACAATAATAATACAGAAGAGTAATCTGCTAAAAGTGATAGGAGAAATCAAAACCCACAAGAGGGTTCCTAAACAAGGAATTGGCCCGAAGAACTAAATCATTATTCATAACTTCTCACAATTGCCCGGGCGCTGTGGCTTCCTTCAGCCTTCTTGTATCGATTATTACTATTCATGAGTGAATAGGCTGTCACTTCATGAATCGAAACCTATCTGGAATAGAAGAAACAGTACGGAGTAATAGCCCTGTCATAAAATACGCCGGACAGATTGCGTGCCTCGCTAAGCAATTCCAGCTACCGCGCACTAGGCTACAATTTTTGTCGAAGGTTGGTTGTCACGCCCTTTCCACCCGCCCCTCCCCCTCTAACTACTCGAATCGAATAGACAGTGAAGTGAGAAGAAACCCCTGGTCTATACCAGAGTAGGATTCAATTCTTGCTGAGAGGTTTCGGTCAGAAAATCAAAGAATATAGGGAGGACAGGCAAGGAGGAGGACGAGATTATTTCCCTGGTACTACCATTGGCTTCAAACCAAAAACGTTCAGCTTAACGGTGATCCTAGCGGCGATCTCCCAACCCCGTCTTATTAAAGCCCACCACCTGCGCTTGCTGCCTCGCACAACCAAGTGTGCCGCTAAATAAGAATTGGATCACGAAGCTTGGGTGGGGGTAACAGCGATATTGCTATAGGCTGGAGGTAATACGAAGTCGAGGCCATTCCCCAGACACACCACTGTCTCTCACTAATAATGCCATGGCCCATAGCATGGTCGGCTCCGAGAGCATGCATTTATCAGCTGAAAGTTAATTTGAGACAACTGAAGGTCTCTTACGCACCTAATCATGAGGTGAATCTCAGGTTACAGGCAAGAGACCCTGGCCGATAGGAAATACCTAATCTGTTCTCATGAGTCATGATCATGGTCATGTGCTTCAAAATCAGATCACATTCTTTCTCTTGTTCATCCTGCCCGTGTGCTCCTTTCCAAGAATGCTGCCTCAATCTCTTGACACACGCAATCCTTGGGGTTTAAACTAGAGCCGTATACATGAGTTTCCTTAGACATGCGTCCCTCCCCCGCCGATAGACATAGAGTCTGATATGCGACTTGTGGCTTGTTTAGTAGATCCCAGAAATCAATGGAGCTAAGTGTCTCGATTACTACGTACCTGATGACCCTTTTTTTATCAAAGTACACCAGCATAGCCATCAATGGTCTTTGATTGGATTTTGTAGTGGTACAGATAAGACCGTTAAAGGTAGGAATTGTCACGATCCTGCAAATTATCTTCTCTGCGTACATAGTCTGCGACATCTCGAGACCCTCGAGTGTAAGGTGCAACATCGTGTTGCCATATAGTAGATAGCTCGGTTGTAGGTAAGTAAGGTACCAAGCGTACTGTGTACCTAGTAGTAGCTTTCGGGTCTCTTAACCAATCACCCATAGGGCCGTCGTAATCTCCTCGAAGCCGTGGATACTGGATAGAGACAACTGGTACTCCACAGTCCACATACGATTAGCATCGCTAGTGACAATGAACGTGCGGCCCAAGCTCTATTTCCCAATAAAGACTTGAGTCGCATGGTTGTATGTCGATGTTGTCTTGGCATCTAGGACGCGTGCTGATGGAAGCACGGCCGTGCATCATACAGGCTACTCCGTATCTAGCACTTATTAGCACAGATAGCCCACCAGCCTTAGTGGCTGCAGATGATAACCAACCCTCCTGCAAGTCACCTTAAACGGCTATGTGCCCCAAGGCTAGGCCGGGGCTCCCCCACCCTACCGTCCGGACTAGATCGAATGCAGATTCTGAGCTAAATGATCACATAGCTAATAAGCAGCTAACAAGAGTTGGTCAACACACAGCAGGCATATCTACGTAGGTAGGTATGGCGGGGGACTGGCGGCGTGTGTCTTTTGCATAGAATGTGCAATGTCAATCATAGGGCATTGAGGGTTGCTGGCGTAATGGCTGTGGAATTCAAGAGGGCTTCTTTAAGGAACTTCGATGCCTTGATTAACATGGACACTTTACTGATAAGCAATCTACAGGTAGTATCTTTATGTGAGAGGATACTACGGAGTAGAAGGTTGTCAGACCCCCTTCACCTTGCCATGTAAACCGGGCAACGTTACATTGTGCTCACCTCCTCCCCCCACCCCCAACTGACTTGGTCTGTAGTATATTCTACCATCTCTGAGAAGTAACAGGCTCTTCCTTCGCATGGTTACCGTGGCTAGAAATATTCTAGCTACTGAAATAGTAGCCACGCATACACAACTATCCTATGGGTAACTGAAACAGACGCGTACCTATCTCGGCTGCACGGACATGACTTGCCTCCGCCGAGCTCTCCACCCTCACCCGGGAATGACCGAGGATCCATCAAGGCGCGTTCGGAGAAGAACTGCCACTTAAGTGCTAACTGCTAAGAGGAGTAGTGCTTGCTGTCTCTCTCATTATGTGCACCGTACCCCGTACTGTGCTAGAAACTGAGCTCGTACTATTTCATGTCTTCGTATCACTATTGCTGGCTGTTTCATAAGAGCGTACAGGCCGACGGCCGTTGATATCCCTGCGGCCCCGAGAATTTGTATGTAAGAGGGCAAGTCAAGAGGCAAGAGGAAGCCGTACAATGATCATACCACTGATCCGACCAAGCCCCACATGATGAACGAGTAGGTGCCACTGCATGGAGTAGTGCTTTTATTTGGCACTTGCCCGT